CCCAGAAAGATGTGTTGGTGGAAACAGACCCAACGAGGCCTAGCCTGCTTCCTTCAGAGCCGGAAGGAGGTTCACTGGAGGGCACACAGGCTTTGCAGGGTCTCCAATGTTAGGGTGACAGAGGTCAGGTCAGCGCCGGGCCTGAGAGCTTCATCTGGGGGAGCGTCACCTGCGACACTCTCAAGGCACAGCTGAGCCTCTTGCCTCCCCTCCGGCAGCTTTGCCCCCCCTGAGAATGATTGGAGGCAAGAAAAAGCAACGCATTTCTCTTCCTGCAGAGCCGGGTCTAAACGCAGCCATGGACTTGGCCGTTTGTCTTTGTCCGGGGTGCGGTTCTAGCCTTCTGTCCTCGTTTGGAGGCTTTTCCATGCACCGACTTAGCCTTCGTGAGCAGCCCGAGTCCACAGTGACCCGTTTCCCCCACGGGCTCGGGGGACAGCCCGGTGTCGCTGGCTGGACGTCCTGACGCACTGCCGAACCCTGGGCATGGGCTCCCAGCCTCGTGCCCAGAGCTCTCCTGGCCCCGTACGCAGTTCCAGCCCTTACTGCCACTTCAGGGCCCCCAGCAGTAATTCCACCCAGCAGTTCCCACTCTCCTCTGGCAGCGGAGCCCTCTGGCTCCCTGGGGTGGGCAGGACGTGCTGGGAGCGCACAACCGGAGCGGCACTCAACCAACCCAGCAGGAGTCCGCGGTTAAAGAGCCCAGCGCCCTGGATTCACAGGTGGGACCCCTCTGACACTGGTTCCCAGAGTTCCCTGCAGGGAGGGCGGGTTAAGCCCCAATTGCCCACGGCAGTCACTGACTTCCTTCTTAACCTGGTCATTTCCCAACCCTCCTGGGCTCCCAGTAGTTCCTGGGCTCCTCTCCAAAATAAACAACTTTTGCTTGAATCCCTGTCTCAGGTTCAGGAGAACCCAACCTAAGACACCCCTGAATGATTGAACCGTCTTCCAGGGTGCCCCCCTCGATGGTTAGAGCCCTGGGGATCTTCCTGGGCTCCCTTCTCCGGCTGGACCACCCAGGCAGGCACCCCGTTCACCCCACCTGCCTTTGCAGCATCTCTTGCACACGGTCCTTCGCTGCCATCACTGGTTTAGACCCTGACCACTCGTGTGGACATCGGCGGACCAGCCTCCTAACTGGCCTCTCCACCCAGGCTCCCCGATCGGTTCTCCCTGCATTGGGGAGAGAGCAGAACCTTCATGCTTCAGCCAGAGGCGACTCCCCCTCCCTGTGAGGGTCCCAGGGAGCGCAAGGGGCAGCCTTGGGCACTCAGGTACCCACTCGTGGGCGGGGCCTGGAGGAGAGGCAGTGAAGGCGAACTCATTGATCCGACCATTCTGACAATATTTTCTAAAGCATCAGTGTGCACCAGCTCTGCGCTGGGAGCTGGGAGCCAGTGGGGTCCTGCAGCGGATCCATGCACCACCTCTTACCTGCTCAGCCTCTGGCTTCCTGGCAAAAGCAGCCTGAGCCATGACTGACCCGGTCCTCATGCCCCATCCAACCTCCTCCCCACCCCCATACACCGCCCCCTCTTCCTCTAAGCAGAATCACCCTGCAAGGAGAGATCGCCAAGCCAGTTCACGAGTGGACTGCGCCAGGGGGTGTTTTCCTGGGAGAGCTAGGGAACAGCCCAGACGTGCAGGAGCTGATGGCCGGGGTGTGGTGGGCCGGGCCTCTTTGACCAGGGACAGACAGGAGGCGAAAAGGAGCCCACAGATAAAGTGCTTGTTACGGGTTGAATGATATCCCCACAAAAGATATGCTGAGGTCCTAAACCCCAGAACAGGACCTGACTTGGAAACAGGATCATTGGGGATGTAATGAGTTAAGACGGGGTCATGCTGAAGTAGCATGCGCTCCTAATTCAATGTGATGGAAGTCCTCATGTAGAGAGAGACGCAGACGGAAAGCCAGCCATGTGGCGATGGGGGCAGAGAGTGGGGGATGCATCTCAAGTCAGGGAGCGCTGAGGAGTCCTGCAGGCCCCAGAGCTGGGCCAGGCAAGGAAGGGTCCTCCCCGCAGGCTGCAGAGGGAGCGGCGCCCTACTGCCTCCTTGACCTCAGAGTCTGGCTTCCGGCTGGGACTGTCCGTTTCTGTTGGTGTAAGTCACCCAGCGTGTGGTGCTCTGCTACATCACCCGAGGGTCCCCTGCAGCCCTCCCCCCCCTTCTCTCCTCACAGACTGTTTCAAGAAGCTCTCTGGAGATGCTCAGCATGACCAAACAGCCACTAAGGTGTGTCTACCAAAACTGTGGCCAGGTTGGTAACATACCCCCTTATATTTGTCCTCGCAGCCTCTGAGACGCCCCCCCGGGGATGCTCACCTCCTGGTACCCACGCCCTTGGCAATCCCCTGCCCGGTGCAGTGTGGGCTGGACCGTGACTCACTTCTAACGAACAAAAATGATGGGATGTCCCTTCTAAGACTAGGCTACAAAGAGACTGTGGTTTACATACTGTCTTTACCTAAAGAAGGTCAGTTGCATCTCTATAAAGAGATCCATATGCCAAGGAACTGGCACCTCCAGGCAACAGCCAGCAAGGACCAGAGGGCTGCCAGGAGACAGGCATGAGTCTGGAAGCAGATCCAGTAGCCACGCCTCGAGATGACCAGTCCCTGCCAACATCTTAATGGCACCCCGAGTGAGGAGTACCCGGCCCAGCAGGGCCACATTCCTGATCCACAGAAACTATCGGCTGATAGATGTGTGCTGGTTTTTTAAATATGTTTTTATTGATTTTAGAGAGGGAGGAAGGGAGAGGGGGAGAGAGAGAGAAACATTGATTGGCTGCTTCCTGAATGCCCCCTACTGGGGATTGAGCCCACAACCCTGGGAATGTGCTCTGATGGGAAATCGAACCTTTTGGAGCAGGAATGACACCCCAACCAACCGAGCCACGCCAGCCAGGTATGCTGCTTTAAGTTGCTAGGGTTTGGGGTAATTTGTTACGCAGCAATAGTTAACTAATACACGACCTCACTTCCCTTCCCCTCGCTCTTGCTTCCCTTGCACCGGAACCCCCATACACCTTTAGTAAATGAATGTTTCCTTTGTTTTCTAGGGAGCCTGCTCCCCCTTCCCATCCCAGTGACCTCTGTGTTGTACCAAAGAAACAGAACATTTTTTCAGAGTCAGAAACACCCATCCTAAATATTCAGCAGCGTTCCACCCACTCACACTCCAGTTTCACTCCGGGAGAGGAAAATGGACTTTAGTAAAAGGAGGTGGGTGAATCCTGAAATTCTCTTTCTGGAGGCTTGGACGGGACTTCCTCTTCCCCTTGGGCCACCTGCAGACTTCGGAAGTGGCTCGGGACGAAGAGGCCACCCGCGTCAGCCCTTCCAGAAGGCGAGTGTTAAAGGGCATCTGTGTGACGCACGCAGCGGAGCCCCCGTTCCTCCCAGCATGGCTGCTCACTGAATCCTCCTGGCTAATAATAACCCGCCAACCAAGCAATTAAGCTCTGAGCGCATTCCAGGGACTCATCAGGAGGCCGTGGTTCTTTGCCCCCAGAGCTCCTACTTAGAACTGCACCCATTTCGATTTGAAGTCGAGTTTGGCTGACCCGAGTCAGTTAGTGCAGAGGGCTCCTTTCTCCTTCTGTCTCAGAGTAAAGTCACCTGGGACCCCCCCCACCCCACCCCCCGTCATGCCTGGCCACGTACCGCCCCCTTGGAATGGAACAGCCTCACTACTTATTAGCCAAGGGGGGGGTCTGGGGAGGGGTCTGGCCGGGATGGAGCTGGTCATCAACACGCATTTCCTGAGCTTTCGTGGAGACACATGGTAAGTGTGTCAACAGGTCATGGAGGTTGGATGTGGTGATTTCCTTGAGACAGTCCACACACTCAGACGTGCCAAGCGCACACAGCTACAGCCCCGGGCAGGGGGAGGGTGAGATACTGCTCGAGGCCACCTGAGGGACTGGGAAGAGGGGCGTATTTCACCAGGGACTGTACCTAAAGGGCTTGCAAGGAACCATCTTGCTGGTAAGCAGCAGTGTCCATGAAATGGCTTGAGAACATGGGCATTGGCGTCAGACCTGGGTCCAAGTCCTAGTTCTGCTGCTGATGACCTTGGCAAGTGACATACGTCCCTAACCTCAGTTCTGTTCCCCTGTAAATGGGAGAAGTACTGCCCACCTCCTGGGGACATTGCCAGCTTCGAACTCAAAGAATCCGAGCTTCTCTACCCAGTGAGACGAGAGCAGGCAATTCTCGGTGCCCGTGTCCCTCCACACCTCCGACGGCCCTGGGGGAGGGGGAGGAGCTCTGCAGAGGAATGACTGTGCTCCCAAAGTTTCCTTGCTGTTCATATTTGGGAGCCAAATTCTTGGGACATTCATCACATTTGGTGCCCGGCTCCTCACCTGACCGCTGAGAGCAGCTGCCAAAAGCGAGGGCCGCCCCGTCGGAGGAGAGGGTCTGCCCTCCGCGGACCAGGGAGGTGTGAGGCCCGCGAGCCTCTGGACTAATTTGTCCCTAGCATCCGGCCCCTGCCATCTCCTCCTCTCCCGCCCTTATTTGGAGCCCCTGACAGCCGAGCTGCACACCAACCAGGCGACTTCCCGGCATGGGCCCCGTTGCCCAGGGGGAAGGAGCCCGAGGCATCACTGGGAGATAACCAAGGACTCTTTTTTGCTCTTCTCACACCTTTGAAGTGGGAACCTCTTGAGGCAAATCAACAAGAATGTGGCTCTCAGCAGCCTAGGTTCCCCGGGTGGGGGTGTCGTTGGGGCTGCTCAAGGTGGAGGGGCTGTGAAGGGCTCTGCTGGACTGATAACTTTAAAAGGGCATCTTCTGCTGGCTCCTCACTCAGCTGCTTTATCGCTGCAAGTGACAGAATGGGGAGGGTTCTGCCCCTCTTGCGCTCTTGGAGAGCCAGGGGGGCTATAAAAAGAGGAGGCGCAGAGCAGCTGGGAGACAGAGACGAACGAAGGTCGGTGGAGGGAAACCAGGAGAAACAGCAGCCAGCAGCAGCCCACCCCTTGACTGACCCCAGCATGGGCTCCTTCTCCACCATCACCGCGAGCTTCCTCCTCTTTCTGGCCGTTCAGCTCCCCGGGCAGACCAGAGCTAACCCCGTGTACAGCTCTGTGTCCAAGACCGATCTGATGGATTTCAAGGTAGGGGCACGGTCCGGGGTCAGGGGGCTTTGTGATACTCTGCCGGTCAGTGAGACCTCTTTCTTTCCCCGTGTTCTCCTTCTGTAAAGAATCTGCTGGACCGTTTGGAGGACAAGATGCCTTTAGAAGATGAGGTCCTGTCCCCACAAGTACTAAGTGAGCAGAATGAAGAAGCTGGAGCAGCTCTCAGCTCCCTCCCTGAGGTGCCTCCCTGGACAGGGGAGGTCAGCCCAGCCCAGAGAGATGGGGGTGCCCTTGGGCAGGGCCCCTGGGACTCCTCCGATAGATCTGCCCTCCTGAAAAACAAGCTGAAGGCGCTGCTTGCTGCCCCCCGGAGCCTGCGGAGGTCTAGCTGCTTCGGGGGAAGGATGGACAGGATTGGATCCCAGAGCGGACTGGGCTGTAACAGCTTCCGGGTAAGAGGGACTGGGCATGGGAAGGGGACCGGGAAGAAGTGGTGGTCTCATGGAGTCTCACACCTCATCCTAGAACACCACCGGGGTGCCTTCAGCAGGAAAGGGACCAGCATAGAAGCTACTCCCTTGGAAATCTCTGCCCCAACTTGGCGGGTGTCCCATGAATCTAGGGACAATGGCCTCATCCTTAGCTACAGCTTGCTGAGAAAATGCTGAGGATAAAAATTACTGCCATGACCACTGGGTCCTTAAATGTTCATGGGGCCAAGTCACCTTCATACTGCTGATTGGCAGGTCACGTTCCTCCCCAGAACTGTCAGGGCCCAAAGGTCAACTGAAATTGATCAGGACTGACCTTATAAGCTTCTAATGAGCAACATGTTTATCAGTTCAGGCAACTCAGAGGGTTGTCAGGCTGACGTGGGGGCTGGTGGGACGTGAGCACAGTCCTATGAGGCTGACTTTTGCAGCTGAGCCAGGTCACCAAGCCAACATGACTTGTGTATTTTTTTTTTTTTGTAGTACCGAAGATAATGGCCAGACCCAGCAGGCTTCAACAGACCCTCATCCCCTGGGGTCTTTCACTCAACTTTGTCCCATCTCATTGCCATCAAGTTGAGTTGTGACGAGTACCCTATACAAGCTGCCTGTCAACATTTCTCACATTTTATGCTCAATGTAGATAAAGTGGCTTAACTGTGGCTTCCCCGCCTCTCCCACCCCGTGCATTAAATTTTAGGGTAAACCCTCACCTGTTACTGAAAGAGATTTGAAAACGAATAAACTTCAGCACCACGGACAGAAGCCCAAAGCAAAGGTGTCGGTGTGTTTTCTTTCTGTTTCGCTGGGAAAAAGAATTCAGCCTGCTATTTCTTATCGTTTTACCTTCTGTCAGAAAGAAGAGTGCTCAGGGGCTTTCTTCCTCCTTTTAAAAATAATTAACAAACTTTGCTTCTGGAGCAATTTTAGGTTCACAGCAAAATTGAGCAGAAAGTGACAGATTTCCCATAGACCCCCTGCTCGCTCACAAGCTCAGCCTCCCCCATTATCAACCTCCCTCACCAGATGGTACATTTGTTAGTTGATGGACCTGCATTGACATGTGATTATCAGCCAAACTCCATAGTTTACACGGAGTTTATTCCTGGTGGTGTACATTCTGTGCATTTGGACAAATTCCTCCTTCTTCCTCCCCTCCCTCTTTATTATTATTTTTGGTGGGGGTTGGGGTTCAATCTGCAGTTCTCAACCTGCTCTCTCACTCCAGCCTCATCACAGACCCCGAAAAAGCCCCAGGAGGTGGAAAGGGCACTTACGTTTTAGATTTGCTCCTATTCAGGGCCCTTGTTTATTTACAAAGAAAACTAAGCTTGTCTTTGGCTGGTTACCCCTAATGCGGCCTGTGTGCAATAGACAACTTTTGCACACCTTGTCCCTTTTGGTTGCAGCTCTTTCCAAAGGCACCTTTATAAAACGAGGGCCCCCGTTTCCTCGCACACATCTGAGGCAGTAGCTGCTGCCGCTGAGTGAGTTCCACGCCTCGTTTTAAGAAGCGTAGACAAGGTTTTGGGTTTAAAAGCTGAGCAAAATGAAGACGTGTTTGCTATGCGGACAAACTGCACGTTCCTGCGCCGTCTGTGTACTGACACGCGTCTGAAAATTAGCCACCATCTTTCCCCGATTCAGGTCCCAGGTGCCCGCACTTGTGGGCTTGACTGAGGGGGGAGCCCCTGGAGAAGAGTTTATCTGCTTCTGAAAAGGCCCCTAAGCAGACATGGTCAGGCGCTAAGGTCACCTGTGACAAGGGGTCACTATTTCCCACCGTTCGGCCCATGCCCCTCTGGATCACCTGCTGTGAAATTCCTCTTCCACCTCTGCGGTCGCGTCTTCCTGCCTCCTTTATGCTGCTCCTTCCAACCCTGTCCACTGTTCCTGAGGACACCTCCTCACTCCTCCCCAAGGCTCACTGTGAATGCCACCCCTTCCCTGGTACCATGTGCCCGGTGTAAACGTCACTGGCAGCCTTGTTGTATAACTTTTAATTGGTACCAATTGTCTGTCCCTGGATTGCAAGCTTTCAGCAACCCCGGCAGCACAGGGCCCAGTGAACTCTCTAGAAACGTCGGTCAAATTGTCCTGGTCTTGTATGGAAACGGGAAAGAGGTGATCAAGGAGCAACTCCCTCCTTGGAGAGGGAGGGGGAGCCGGAAGTGAATCGATGGTTAGGGAGTAGAGACGGGAAAAGAACTTGAACGTAACCCTCGAACATAAACCACTTCCAGTCGAAATGTTCCTCCGGGGGACGTCAGGCGCAGAAGTCCCGAGAGGCAGGGACTGACAAGGACAAAGGCAGAGTGGAAGCAGCATCTGTTCAAATCTGGTCGGGAGGTCAGGCACTGGGGGTGGGGCTGGGAGGCGCTAGGAGGGAACTGGTAGCTGGCCGGACTTCCAGGGCATCACCGTGGCAGTGGGTCGGCAAAATGGGCCACGCACAGACCCCCAGGAACTCAGGAAACGGGATAGGTGGGCGGGGACTGAACGAGACCACTTCCTGTGCTGCTGGAATGGCAACCGGAAGCAGATGAGACAGGAAACGTCACACTTCTGGCCAGACAGGGGTGGACCAAAAGCAAGGACGCACGGCAGCTGCCACAGGGCAGCCGTCTGCAGACCCAGCATGGATTTCATTTCCTCCAGTTGGCTCTCGGGGGAGTCTGTGGGGCAAATTCCCAAACACAGGGCTGCCAGGGATACAGATGGGCTCTCCGCGCCGGCTACGGAACGGCAGCTGGAGGGAGCAGGCGGTTTCTACAGGAGGCGGCTCAGCACACGAGGTCGGCCAGTGCCTACGGGAGGGAAGCAGAGTGGGGACTTCGTGACCTTTGCAGGACCCCAGGGGCCACCTGGCTCCTGTTGAGGTGGTGAGTGATGACTCCTGCTGGGAAACCTATGAGGAGCGGAGACTAAAACTACCTTCTAGCTTTGCGGTTTCTACACATCGGTAAGAGAGGGCACTTTGAAGAAGAATAGAGGCTGAAGGAGACAGACGAAGACATTTTATTCTGACATGGCAAGGTTGTAATGAGAACTTCCAAGTTCCAAAAGTTCAAATAAAAATAGGATTTTACAAATTAAAAAAATACAGTTTATATACGCAGTGGAATTAGCTAATGTTACCGTATAAACATAGAGTGCAAACAGAAGAAAGGAACCTGCTACTGTCGACGCGACCGAGGTCCGCAGGAGCTGCGGGCAATACTGTCCGTGGACCGCCGCCCGGACAGCCCCGGCCTCTCCAGAGGCTTCGTAGTGGCCCGGGGCTGCGGCCCTGTGCAATCTTACATCAGAAATGGCCTGTGGGTGGCTGGGTCAAGCCAGCATCCATTCCGGCCAGCAGCCGCTAGTTAAACACGGCCACAGGCGAACCACCCCTCAGAGTGCACAAGTCCCACCGCCGTGGGCACCCGACCCCCGGCCCCCCATCTACCTCAGCCGGGACCACGAAACACCAGGCTGCAGACAACCCAGCCACCTCTAGCCAAGCCTGGGGCCTCCGGGGAGCTTTCTCTACGGACGGGCCCTGTCGCCGGGAGGCCGTGCGGCTGCTGGTACCAGGTGAACGTGGAAAACGCAGGTTTCCAACAGAAATCAAAGGAGCGAGGCGTAGCTTCATTCCCAGTGGGCAGTGGTCGTCTTCGGGCTCATCGGGAAAGGGCAGCCTTCCCGGAGGGGCCCGGGCTGGTCCTCCCTGGCAGCCATCCAGTCAGCTCGGAAGAGGGCACTCATGTTCTGCAATCTCTCTGGGCCACACGGACGGGACAAGTATCTGGTGACTTACACGCAGCACGACGTGCACGAGGGTAAATCCTGACGACGTCACTGGCTCGGCTGAGGCAGCGCCTGGTGACAGGCTGGGATGCGAGGTCCCCCTGTGGGACGCAGCCCACCAACCTCAGGGGCTGGGGAGAGGGGCTGAGTCCCTGTGAGGGGCAGGCGCGCACTCCGGACTTGTGCGACTGGTCCCTCTTCATGAAGGGAAGACGTGATGTTGCCGGCTCTGGACTGCTTTAAAGTGGCAGCGGGTCGAACGCGATCACCTTCAGACGGGCCAGCCTTCTCGGCCCTTGTGGTTTCCTGAATGACGTACCGGGGACTCATCCATCTCACAGGTCGGGTGCATCCGGGGAAGCTGAAAACTTGGACCCCAGAGTACTGTTGGTCAGAGGTAAGAAGACGGGAAGGAGGGGCCAGTCTTTCGGAAAAGGCCTCAGCGGCCCCTCAACTTGCGTGGATTCTTCACTGTAGTGCGCTGAGCACAAGACCTGGGCCGGCAGCGCCAGGCTGACACCCACCCCGGCTACAAGGGTCTTGGCATCAAAGTCGGCTCGAGGCGGAGGGGGAGAACCGTGTTGCCAGGGCCTGGCCCTGATGCCCTCAGGCAACTTCCATAATTAAAACACAAGAAAACGAAATGCAAACGAATGCCAACTTGAGCCCCAAAGCACACCTGCCACAGGGCCGCCCGATGGGCACAGGGGGCTGATACACGTGGAGAGCGCGGAGGCCAGTGACAGCAGATGCCCAGCACTCAAATGTCCACTTCAGGGGCCTGTCGGAGGACCAGCCAGCCTGGGGAGCAGCAATCACTGAAAGGCGGGGGGAGGCTCCCTAGGTTTGATGCTAAAACCCGGGGCACACCCAGGCAGACCCTCCCGTTTCCATTTCTGAGCCCTCAGCAGACAGCAGACGGGGTGGCGGTAGCAAGGAAGTGACGGGTGTGAAGGGCAGACAACCCGTCCTCGAACACGCCCTCTGCTTCATCACCCCGCCGGGGCTCCCGAAGGCTCCCGAAGCCTCTCACGCACCTCGTGGCGGTCGGCTCAGGCCTCGCTCCGTCCCCCCGGGAACGACAGCACCACTGTCCAGAGCCGAGCGGTTTTATCTAGGGGTGCCCTGCTTTCAGTCAACATGGGGGGCTGGGGGGAAACCAGGACCCTCTGGGCTTTACCAGGAAGATGCAGCAGAAACTAAGAACGGTTTGGAAATTTGGTGGTGGTGGAAGGGAGCAAGGATGAGTTGGGTAAAATGCGTCACTAGGGGACCAAGTAGCGTGGGAAAAGAAGAGAAAGCTGCAAAGGTGAAAACCAGGCGGATGTAAACCTGACCCCACTGTCGGATTATGCAGACACCGGCCGTCAGGGCTTAACGCTCTGGCTTCTGGAGCGCGGAGGTTCCACGGTGCCGGAGACCACGGGGCCAGACCAGAGCCTGCGCGCGCCCCGGAGGCAGACCACCCCCAGCGAACTGCTGTGGCCCAGCGGGGAGGCCAACCTCTCGGTGCCCAACTGCTGAACCAGAAACTCACTTCATTTTGTAACTGCCGTCCCCCCAGTGTTTGCCGGGGCCACAGTCCCTCCAGTCACGGTTTAAGGCAACAGCTGGGTCCCCTAGGAAAGCAGCAGAGGGGGTGGGAACTGCTCTGGGTGTCACCCTCCATCTGGGGTTAGTGGGGTGGACAGGCTGAGCCAGTGCCCAGAGGGAAGGGGCTCGGGAAGCAGGGACCGGGAAGATGCTTGCTGAGAAGGTCAGGCAAGTCCAAACTGAAGGGTCTTGACTGGCAGAGTGCTCGATGACAGGACTCGGGCTTCCCGAGCGGAGGGCGGCGGGGACCTGCGGGCCCTGGAGCAGCCTGCGGTGGCAGAGCGCAGCGAGCTGCCTCCCGGACTCCGGCGAGGAGCCAGGCCCTCAGTTGGTCTGGTAGTGCTGCCGCAGTCGGGCCTGCAGAAATTCGAACGTCAGGTTGTGTCGGGTGATGATCCCAACAATCTAGGAGGAGAAGAGACCGGGTCACCTGCCGAGTCCGACCCAGCAGGGCAAGACCGGGTCCCACAGGGATGACAGACACATCATCGGGACACTCCCTTCAAAGGCTGCCTGATCTCCAGATGGAACAAGACTACAGACAAGTAGGGTTCATAACAGGAGGCGAGTGGGGGCAGCCGGGCCAGCTACATCTGAGTGTGCCTGTCTGAAACGGGGCGCATGCTCTCCAGTTCCCGCCACCCCCGCTCCATGTGCGTGCACGAGGCAGAGCCCAGCCAAGGCTTCTGATGGGCTCTGAGCCCACGGCCCGTAAAGCCACCTTCAGAACAGCCTGTCGCTGTCTGGTTGACTTATGAGAAGAAATGCACATTTGGTCTTCGTCCAAAAGGCCCCTAAAACCCTTGGAATTGCCTCAGTGGTAAGAGTAACAGGGCGTCTTTCACTTTTCATAATGCGTCCCTTCCAACCATACTTGAGTTTATGTTGACGATGTGACTTCTAGAAAGATCCTAAGGATGGAGGCTGGTTGCCAGGGGAACCTACCATGTGAGAAGAGGATGAGAACTTTCAGCCCAACCCCTATTTAAGTGGGGGAGCTAGAGGTTGAATCAATCACCAATGGCCAATGAAGTAATCAATCAAGTATGTAATGAAGTCTTCATTAAAATCCCTGAGCTACAGGGTTCAGAGAACTTCCAGGCTGGCGAACGTGGAAGGTGCTGGGCGGACGGCACGCGGGGCACAGAAGCTCCGCCCTCGTCCCACCACCTGCCCTGCGCACCTCTTCTACCAGGCTGTTCCCGAGTGGATTCTTTCATCACAGACCAGCAATCTACTCGGCAGAGCCTTCCTGGGTTCTGTGATCAGGGGCTGTGGCAACCCGACTGACTGCCAGGTCAGAAGCACAGGGGACAACGGGGACTGTCGACTGCCATCTGAAGCGGGGTGGAGGGACAGTCCCATGGGACTGAGCCCTAACCTTTGGAGTGGACGCTCTCGGACAGACAGTGGAGGCTATCCAGAGAATCAGAGAAGTGCCGGGTGTGGGGGTCGCACATCTGGGACAAGTGTGCGGCAGGGGTGAGGGCGGAGGACAGCGCTTTCCCCAGATGGCCACTTTCCAGTCGTCGCAGTGACTCCCCTGTCCCCGATGCGCATGCCCCACAACGTAAACTGCCGGAGCGGCCGGTACAGTTGTTTCGAGGCACACAGTCTGACCCGCAGCATCCACCTGCCTCAGGGAGCTGTGCTGTGCACTCTGACCTCAGAGACGGGTCATTTCTGGGGGGCGAGCTGGCACACGTATGGAAAGCCTCAAAGAGGGGGTCACTGCAGTGAAATGGAACTGAATACCCCCCAGGACGATGAGGAAGTGAGTGGAAGCCACAGAGTGATGCTGTCAGGCCACTAAAGAGCACCAGTGAATGCTTCCGCCGCGGGAAGTCATCTTCTCTAGATTAAGCAAAATATTAGGGCATTACACAGTATAAATAGTGACAACATTTTCAATAAAATGTGGTATATAAAATCTCTTTCTAGATGCAGAGAAAAGATAAAGGATATACCTAAAAATTAATGTGGCTGCCCTGGCCAGTTTGGCTCAGCGGTTAGGGCGTCGGCCTGCGGTCCAGAGAGACCCGGGTTCGGTTCCCGCTAAGGGCTGTACCTCAGGTGTAGTTTGTCCCCGGCCCTGGTTGGGTCGTGTGGGTGGCAGCCACTCGATGTGTCCCTTTCACGTCGATGTTTCTCTCTCTCTCCCCCTCCCACTCTATCTGAACAAAAAATGGAAAAATGTCCTTGGGTGAGGATAAAAAAAAATTAAGGTGGCTAAGGGTTTGGTATTTGTTTTTTTTTTTTTTTTTTGGCTTATCTCTATTTTCTTACTTTTCTACAATCAAATAACAGTATCACGTGATAGGAAAATAAGAGTTCTGAGGAAAAAAATGAAAGTCGTAATGATCACTAGGTGTTGTCTTTTAAAACTCTCCCAGTATTTGCTTGAAATTCGCTAATGTTACAAATGCCCAGAACAGGCGGGGAACTGACACCCCAGGCGCTGTCAGGTCCAGGGAAGAGGTGGCCCGACAGGGCTCCAGTCCCCGGCACCACTGGCGACACCTGCTGGCCACGCTGGACACAGCATGTAAGAAGCAAGGCAAAGGGGGGAAAGGTGCGGGAAGCCACCCCAGCCCGCCTGCCCACTCCCTCCTCACTCCTGGCGGGTGTTTCAGAGGACATTTTAGTCTAGAACCTCCCTGCCGGGTCCTGATGTGTCCTCAGGACGGAGAAGCCCTGACTCGCAGAGCGCTGTGGCTAGAGGGTCCTTTCCGGAAGGCGGTGGACGGATGAGGCCGGCACAGCTGCAGGCCTTGGGTTCTCCTTCCTCCCTCGGGACTCACTCACCTCTCCCACGGCGTTCACCACCGGCAAGTGCCGCAGCCCCATTGTCCTGAACAGGTTGAAAACCTGGGAGACGTTGGTGTTGGGTGACACGGTGAAGGGTGATGGGTTCATGTAGGGGGTGACATCCTACAGAGGAAAGAGAACTCAAGTGACCTGTGGCCGGTTCCACCCTAACCAGGATGAGACGCAGACCAGCACGAACCGGCAGGGTCAGCCCTCCTCACCACAATCATCCGTGGGTTCAGCAGGGTCAGGTCCAGGTCATGGATGTCAGGGTAGCGCGGGTAATCCTCGGCCATCTCCGCGTAGGACAGGCGCGGCTGGCTGGCGCTCTGCAATCCCAACCGAGACACTGTCCTTGCAGCCCGCGCAGCAGCCCAGGCCACACGTGGAGCCCCGCCCTCTGTGTCATCTCCGCCCAGCTCACCCCCTCCCCAGAGCAGGGGGCGCAGGGCAGCGGCCAGAACAGGCGCTTCGAGGTGAGACCATGCTCTGGAGCTCAGCCTGTTCCTAGCTGTGTCACCTGGACAAGTTTCCTTGACCCTCTGAACCTCCCTTTCTTCATCTGTAAGAGACACTGGTCATTCGCAAGTTTACATGGGAAAAGTGCTAATACTAGCTGCGTGGACTGACTTGTGTCCCCCAAAAGAGACGCCCAAGTCTTCACCGCTGGTGCCTGCGAATGTGGCTGTATTGGAAATCAATTCCCTGCAGATGTGATCAAGTTAAGATGAGGTCATATTGGACTGGGGAGGACCTTAAATCCAATGACTGGTGTCCGTATGAAAAGAGAAGACACACGGGGAGACCGTGTGACGAGGAGGCAGAGATGAGGAGATGAGTCTGCAGTCAGGAGACACCAAGGACTGCCGGCAGCCACGCGGGGAGGGCGGGGAAGGACCCTCCCCGGAGCCTCCAGAGCGAGCAAGGCCCTGCCGACACCTGGACTCTGGCCTCGAAGACGATGAAGAGTAAAGTGCTGTTTGAAGCCATCTGTCACTGGCAACGGGATACAGTAGCCTCGGGAAACCCAGACACAGCTCCGTCACTGCTCCTCCATCCTGAGTCCCGCTGCTGCTGTCACGGGCACCTGGGCCACATGTGACCATGGTGACAAGTGCTAGTCACTGCTCTGCCTGGCCTCACTCCCCTTAACTCCACTCTGCACACCGCTCTCTCCGCCACCACCCGAGTCCAGTGCGGGCAGGCCGGCTCTGCTGGGTTCCGCATGCAGGCAAGGCCTCTGTGCTCTGGCTCCCTTCACACCTCCAGCTTCCTGTGCCCTGTGCTCCGCTCATGCCTCTGCCCCACTTCCAGCCGGGCTGGTCCTCCCCACAGACACACCCTCAAGGCCCAGCCTCTCCACCCCTGGCCGTCCCAGCCGCTCCTGGTTAGCTGCTCTCCACAGGCCAGCTGGACCGCCAGCGAACTCAGGCTGACCTCCAGTGGACAAGACCCCAACCAGGAGCGTCGGCTTAAAAAATAGGTCTCTAAGAAGCTTTTCAGTCTCCACCTAGAGGGATGGAGCATGTGAGGGTGAGGGGGTCTAGGTGGCTAGGGACCACTCTGAACAACACACCCCACCCACCTCTGCTGATCTCTACAAAAACTAAACAAAAGAGAAAAAACTACAGGGGGTTCACAGGAAGAACGGTATTTTTTTTTTTTTTAATCCTCATCCAAGGACATTTTTCCATTTTTTGTACAGAGTGAGAGGGAGAGAGAGGAAGAGAGAGAGAGAGAAACATCGATGTGAAAGGGACACATCGAGTGGCTGACACCCGCACGACCAACCAGGGCCGGGGACAAACTGCAACCGAGGTACATGCCCTTAGCGGGAACCGAACCCGGGTCTCTCCGGACCGCAGGCGGACGCTCTAACCGCTGAGCCAAACCGGCCAGGACAAGAATGGTATTTTTTTTGATAACACATGTACGGGAGTCCACGCCAACCAGAAACAAAAACGCAGAAGCTGCAGAAAGCCCTGGAGGCGGCAGGACACCCGACAGCAGGTGCGCAGAATGACCCGAGGCCGCGGACTGCGGCGGGGGGAGCCACGCCCAGCAGCCCGCTGGCCGGCACACCACCCCGGGCCCCTCTGCTCTCCCCGCGGTGGAGGGCGATGCTCCGGCCCCGAGCCTTCCAGAATCCCGGTGCAGACAAGAAGAGACACTTACCGACTGACTTTCGGAATAGCAAACTCCTCGGACGAGCAGGGTGACAAGCTGCGACCGAAGGATCAGGCCGTGGAAGGTCAGAGGGCGGAAGCGTTCCTCCATGGTCCAGTCTTCACTTGGGGACTGGTCAGGGTATAGGTTGGGGTAGGGAGTGTATCTGTTATATAAAAACCAGACGCTGCCTAGCACACCCTCAGCAGGATCGCGTCTCGCCCACATCCCCACCCGCTCCCCGAACTCCCGGCACTCAGGGGCTCCCTTGCTGAGCCTGCAGGCCCCGGCAGCCGTGCGGGGAGCTGCGCTCACCTCCGCTCCAGCATCTGCTGCAGCAGGTCCTCCTTCTCGGCTGGCTCCTCCGGGGCGACGTGCTCGTCGCACATGTTGCGCAGCTCACTGGACGGGTAGGACTTCATGGACTGGCTGCGTCTGCGCTGCTCGCCCGCGCGGGTGAGGATGCTGGATTTCTGTGGGGGGAGGGGCGCGAGGCGGAGGTTCTGCAGGAAGGCCGGGCCTGCGGCACGTGGGCAGGCACCCAGTGTCTACTCGGCGCAAGGATCTGGGCGCAGTGGGGGCGAAAGCACACGCCGACGGGCATGGCAGACGTCTTCAAGTGGCTCGGGCCCTGGATTCGCAGGAGCCTCTTGGAGCCGCAGGGCTCGCTGCAGACCCCGAGGCTTCTGCTGGCCCGACGTCCCTGGCTCCTTTGATTCTGGAACAGCACCTCCATTCTCCAGAGGGCAACAATCCCCTCTCACGGCATGTCTTGGTGGGACTGTCGGTCTCTCTGCCCTCCAGCCCCCAAAGCCAAGGGGTGGGCACACGACCCAGGGGAGGCAATGGGACCCTCCCTTTGCCTGGATTTCAGACCGGGAGCACCCAGGGACAGAGAATGGCCAGTCCAGGCTCCTGGCCTCCCAGGGTCCACTAGCGCCTGCACCCCAGAGCACACACCACTCTGGCCCTTCCACCTTCTGCTGGTCCTGCAGCTTCCAATCGATGTTTCTTTCTTAAGGTGGCCAAAGTCCACTTCTGTGGTTGGCAACTCCAGAACCCTACCTGATACAACCTGCATGAATCCTGAAGCCGGCTGACTAAAAACAAACCTGCCCACGAGCCTGCCGGGGAACAGACACGTCCTGACAGCCTAACGGAGTCCACATCGCTGTCGCTGCAGTGCTGATTCCCCCAAGGGCCACCCAGAGCCACCCACCTGCAGGGGGTGGCAAGCACCAGAGTGAGCATGAAGGAACCACTTGCCATCTGTCACCCGCCTCTCCTCCCGGGCTGTTCTCTTACCTTGAATTTGATGTTGTTACTGATGAGCTGGTTGCCCTTCATGAACTCCTTCTCGTTGCCCCGGTTCTCGGTGACCACCGGGAAAGCGTGGTGGACGGTGGTGCGCAGGATGCTGACCAGGGACTGGATGCGGGTGTGCGGGTAGACGTAGGTCAGGTTGGGCTCCATGATGTCACTGGCTCGCAGTCTGGGGAGGGAGGAAAGCCGTCCAGCCTCTCGCCTGAGCCCAGGGCACAGGAACAGACCGTGATGGGCTGCCTGGTTCCCTCGCCGCCTGGACCACCAGGGCGCCTCTCCCGAACCGTCTCCTCTGCACCCGCCCTTCCCATGCCTGGCACGCCCTCCCCTGCTTGTTAAACTGGGGGGCCTCAACTCATCCCTCGGTTCAATATGAAAAATCCCCCCACCACGAACCCCATCCTCTTGGGCTGATTGGCCATCCCCTCCCCCATGGCACATTCCCTGTATTGCTAATGAATTGCTATACTATTGGAATTACAAAATGCTGGGCCCTGGCTGGTGTTGCTCGATGGTTAGAGCACCAGCCCATGTACCAAAGGGTTGAGGGTTTGATCCCTAGCCCCGGTCAAGACACGTGCAACAAACACCGATCAATGTGTCTCTCTCCAATCGCCCCCACCCCTCCACCTTCTATTTTCTCTAAAAATTGATGGAAAAATATCCTTGAGTGAGGATTAACAAAAAAACAACAAAAAAAGTTTGGTGTCCCTTTAGGCCAGAGATGGCAGGTATAGCCCACAGGTGAAGTCTCTAACGTCTCGTCCACACTGTGTGGCTGCTTCTGCACTTCGAGGGCTGACGTCTATGGCCTGCCCCTTTACAGAAGCTTGCTGACCCCTACATCACACTGCCAGGGCCTTCTGTGGGCTGATGGGTGATGTGGTGATTATGCCCGAATAATCACTGCTCATAGCACGAGGTTTCGTCAGGCACAGGAGTTGGCTGGTTCTCAAACAGAGCTAAACCCTTGGTTTACGCATTCAACCCTAACAGACTTCACGTAGAGCCCTCACTTCCTGCCTGACCAGACCACCGCAGGGACCACACCAACCAGGCATCGGCCCTGCCCGTCCCCTGCCCCTGCCCCCGGCCCCGCCCCAGCTCCCAGCCACGCTCAGTGCTGCTTGGGGACAAACGTGCTTGCTATCTGGATGACCCTCCTGTTATTTACCATTTCACTTAATTCCAACCCAGGAATCTAAAGAACCGTTTCCCACACTAATACAAACATCGCTTGGACCCTCGAGTTTATGGGTTCTGAAGCTGGGACATGAAGAGACACCACGGCCTCACTTGTCCATCTCCACGTCCGTCTCCCAGCCCAGAAGCGGTGCTCCTCGCAGGCCCACGTGGATGTCGTAAATGCCATGATTGAAAAAGTCCCCTGTCCACTTGGCCACCTGAAACACAAAGTCAAGGCTTGGAAAGAGGCTGCTGTGGGGTGACCTTGCCCCTGAACCTGCAAAGGGCCTGGGAGGGGAGTGCTCACCATCAGAGTGATCATGATGGGAAGCCCGTAAGTGATCTCATTGGTAGACTCGATCAGGATGACCGTGAGACTAATGGTCATTCGAACGACCCCGCCCAAGAAAGCCGCGGCACCAATCAGGGCAAAGGTCCCCGAATAGATGTGGCCCAGTCCGATGTAGCTGTGCAGGAAGAAAACGAGAACGTGGCTTAGAGTCACGCCGAGGGGAGAGGCGGGGGCGATGGTCCATGCACATGCACACGCGTGCACGCTCAGGCACACATACACACTGTACCTTTTGAGGACATTGGCCACCAAACGTCCAAAAGCAGCGCCACACAGCAGAGAAGGCACGAAGAGGCCACTTGGAACAGAAATGCCGTAAGTCCAACATGCAAGCAAGAAATAGAGGACGAAGAACAAAGCCAAAGTGATGGGGCTAAAGGTACCTGCAAGGCAAGGACAGACCTGAGTCCCACTCCCAGGTGCCTGCCAAGGCCCATCGGGCTGCCCCTGGTTCCTACAAGATCCTTCTGTATCCCAGCCAGTTCACCTCCGACACTAGAGGCAGAAACGCCAACCTTGTCTGGGTTGGAATTACAAAGGAAAAGTTCTGGTTTTGCTCAGAATTAAGGGCAAGCCTGGCTGTGTCTGAGGGCCAACAGAGGAGCACGGGAATTATTATTATTGTTCTCTGTACAAAACCCACTGACTCAGGAATGGGCAGGCGCACAGGAACTCACCGTCCTGGTGGAAGAGCTGAAGGATGGCAGCCTCCTGGGGGTTGAAGAAAAGTGTGGCCATGTCATTGTAGGTCTCATTGGGACAAAAAAAGGTCTTGATACTTGAATTCACATCATCTGATGTGACCTAAGAAACAGAAATCAAAGCCAGTACAAGGTCAGTACACCTGGCCAGGACATTTGAATCTTCAAGTGGGAGGTCCCCAGATAGGTTGGAAAAACCTGGCATCCTTGCTTTTCCCGTAAGTTAAACAAGCAGCAAAAAAACAGACCTATACTCAAGAGCAGCCAACTGATACTGTATTCCTGGCATTTTGAGAATGAATGAATCAGGACGGGGGCCCTCGTTCGTCCACGTCCACAATGAAAATGTGAGTATAATTAGGAATCACTGTGGATTTGGCCCTGTCTCTTCTCCCAGTGCTAGTTTTGTACGTGATGCTCCTGGAAGCCTGGCCTGAGACCCTGTGGACTGGGGGATGAGGCAGGTGACGGACCAGTGACTGGGAATTGACAGGTTTAGAGGAGCATCCAGGGTGTGGCTTGACCTAATCCTCCCACTCTGGTTCCAAATGGAGAAAGCTCCCACCCTGAATTTGCTGTGGACCTCGAGCTCCTGGCTGCCTCTCCCCAGGCTCCATCTGGCCGAACTAAACACCGACTGGGCAAAGAGATTACTGCTCCACATTTCAGACCTCTCCTCGCCATCACTTTGTGCAGGAAGATGGAAATCTGGTCCTGCCTAACTCACCAGGGGGAAGGAAATCTGGATCATGAAGGTCCTTGTTCTGTTTGATGGTACCACAGCCCTTCACACCTATCGCCGGGTGTACGAAGCGTGTTATTACAAAGCTCACTGAAGACAGAACTTTCCCTGGACTCAGTTCTACAGATAACACTGTAGAGATGCCCTTACGTGGACACTGTAACAACACTAGGTGATGGGTTTGTACAATCCTACCATATTGGTCCTTTATTTGTCACATGTGTCCTTTTCGGCTCTTTAAAACTGTGAAAACCACTCTTAGCTTAGGGACAACACCGAAACCAGCAGCTGGCCGGTGGGGGGGGGGGCCCACATGTGGGCGTAGCTGCTCATCCCTGGCCTGACACACTCCAGCTGCTCATGGACCAGTCCTGGGGCACCGAAGCAGCAAAACGAAGGCCCACAGGGACGCCGAGGACTGAGTGCCCACTCAGGGGCTGTAAGACAGTACTCGGCACTCCCCTGCCGGCAGAGCCACACAGCTGACCAACCACAGCCCAGCTCTCAGCCCCAACGCCAGTAGACCCCAAAACGCAGGGTAGAGTAAGCTCCAATTCCTACCTCACCAACCCTGCTCTTTCAGGAACAGGTTCTGAAAATACCACCCACTGCTAAGAAGGGAAGAGGAGAAACGCAAGCAGGACGTGTGCCAGCAAGTGACCTCGACGCCGGAAGAGCCAGGACTGCCGCCCGCCCCGAGGCACAGTCCTTTCTCCCCAGCCTGGGTGGCTTTCACCACCACGGGGCGGGGGAGATAAGGCTGCTGGCTCGCTCCAGGTGTGCAGAGCTGGAAGAGGAACTTGGGGCTGGAGGAGAAGCAGATGGTCCACTTCCTGAGCCTCTGTTTCCAATCAGTTTTGTTCCACAGAGATAGACAGACAGACAGGAGATAGACAGACTAACAGGAGTTCCCCGCAGTGATGACCAGGATTATTCGCAAGCGTGGAAAAGGCAGAGGTGCACATCCTCTTACGTAAAAGGCTTCCACACATTCCTCTCTCAGCACCCTGACCAGGCGTGGAGCAATGAACCCACACACGCATGAGCTCTGGACGAGGCCTGCCACCCTCCCTGGACCCTCCCCGAGACGCGGGCAGAGGCGGCAGGGGCGCGGGGCTCACCTGCAGCAGGAACGAGTCGTTCCCGACTGGGCTGGAGGACATCTGTCGGCATTCTCCTAACACCATCGAGGCCACAAACACCACCACGGTGGTTACCAGAGACACCAAGAGGCTCTCTAAGACTCTAGGAAGCAAAGGACAGCTGTCATTAGCGACAAAAACACCCCGGTCTTGGGAACTGAAACACAGCCCCTCCTATCTGAACTTTCATTTCCCCAAAGAGCATGCTCATAGCCCTGTCGGTCACATGTGTGCAGAATGTCAGTGACCTGCTGTGTTCCAGAAATTTTTATGTAAAAAGTGGGCAGCCAGGAACATGGCTGCTGCGTCCACATCTCTCTCTGAGGGACAGAATGGCCTTTCGTGTTAGGTCCTGGAGTGCACCTCACTGACCCTCGGGCTGTGTCACGCATCCTCGGTGTGAACCAGGAGAGGCTGGGCCCCTGGACGGAGCTGACTCAGCCTTCTGGCCTGCGACAAAACAGCAGGTCACGGCCTGTCTCCATTCTCATTCTTCGACGCGAAATCTAAGCTGGCGTGGGAAGCAGGGTCTGTTCACGTAACCACCTCCCCGGGGAGCGGGGGCCCAGCCCACTCAAAGCTCGGGGAGCCACACAGCCTGGGGGAGCGACCGCTCAAGTACCTGACGAGCTTAGGTTTCGGGTGCACGTTCCGCATACGGTACTTTGCAAGCCTCTTGTTCAGACAGTTGAATGTGGCTCCCAGGAGGCCCCCAATGACCCCCATCACGACGAAGAAACCCAAATCCACAGCTGTCCAGAGATGACATTTTTTATCCGAGTCAGAGCACTGAGAAGGGAAAGAAAGGGAGAGGGACACACCACAGTGCCCATGAGAACAGGGAGGGAGGGAAGCGGAGAGAGGACAGCCGGGCAGGGCGCACACGCAGGGGGCCAGAGGGCAGAGCCCACAGGCCAGAGGTCACTTCTCTCTGGTGCTCAGAGTGATTATCATGGTCAAGCAAGAAATTCTGGGGATAGAGAACAAAGCATACCTTAAACTCGCCAAAGTTCAGCAGCCCAGGGAGCTGGAAGGAACCCCAACTTCCAAACTGAATCCCAGAGCGAAAGAAGTTGAGGGTGAAGGTGGCAGACATGGAACAGAAGAGCTAGAGACAGGTGACAAAGACAAGGACATTCAACAGTGGCAAGTCCAACTTTCTCCCTGACCCTCCTTGTGAAACCTACTGCTCCACAGAGGCCGCCAGCTCCAGGGGACCCAGCACCCCCGCAGGAAAGGCACCGTGTGGGCGGCGTACCACCGCCCTGCTGCGCGAACCTAGCCGCTCACCCACCGCGCACAGGCGGTGCCGAAGGGAGCAGTAACACGAGAGGAAGGCGCCGCTCCATCTAAGGCAGGAGATGGGGGTTCAAGCCCGGCTCTGCGGCCGCCTCCCAATGACCGGCACTTTGATGTGGGGAATGCAAGGGCTCGGGTACGAAGAGGACAGGGAAGTCTGCGGAGGGCAGCTACGGTGTCTGAAGCAAAGGAACTTCCAGTCTAGGCAACCATGCTGATCTCAGAACTACGGCTTAGATCGGGGTGTGGTCACATGGAGAAGGTTTCTCTGAAGGTCCTGCTCACCACTTTCCACGTGAGCCCTTGGTTCCAGAAGGACGAGCCCTCCTCCAGACTGAACAAGGTCCCCCCGATGGGAGCCCCGAAAGCTGCAGCGACGCCGGCAGCCGCCCCTGCTGACACGAAGTCCCGCTTGTCTCTGAGGAGAGACGACACAGCGGGTCTCTTGGACGAAGCCTCGGCCGCAGAAGCTTCCCCTTCCTTATCTAACGTTTGCTCTCAGGACCCAGACGTCAGGGCTTGAGGGCAGGTCTCCGGTGAGGCCGACTGGGCCACAAACAGGTTCACCCGAGAGCCTGATGCTCTCCCCGCCCGAGTGCCTCCAGGGGGAGGCCCCTCATGTCAGAGTCCTCTGAACGTGGGATCCCAGCCCCAGCTCAGTCCCTGCTGAGCCTCACTCGTCCCAGAGCTTCCTTCCAGAAGGCCACGGCATCATGGGACTGTCAAAGTGCCGGTGACCGCAGGGGGGCAGGTAACAATGAGTGACCTGCAGGAATACCAAGGCAGGACGGTGGACCAGAGCTCTCACCGGGGGCCGATTCCAAGGGCCTTGTGTGCTGGACAGTTAAACACACACAAACCCCATAGGGCAAAAAACTACCAAGAAGAGCACCTTCCAACCCAGAAAGGCAGCGATCCAGTACACTGCTTTGGAATACGAAATACACTCTTGATAGTATGCCTGTGGACTGTCTCAGTTGTGTTGTCTTTTTTTTTATTTTTGGTTAATCCTCACCTGAGGATATTTCTCCATTGATTTTTAGATAAAGTGGAAGGGATGGAGAAAGAGAGAAACATCAATGTGAGAAAGAGACATGGGTTGGTTGCCTCCCGCATGACTCCAACCAGGGCTGGGGATCGAACCTACAACCCAGGTATGTGCCCATGACCAGGAATCAAACCCACCACCCTTCAGTCCACGGGCTGACACTCTTAACCACTGAGCCAAACTGGCCAGGGCTCGGTCGCGTATTTCATTGCCCGAGACGCGTCCAGGCCTTAGGTCAGGACAAAACAGAAGCCGTGAGACCAGCCAGGCCCTTGTTGCTTATTTTCAGGGCAGTAGCTCAAAGGCCACCTCCTTCCTGGCACCGGGTTTCAAGCAGCCTGCCCAGCAGGGGAGACAGTGAGCCGGCAGAGCGAGCATCGGGTCTGAGGAGCAGTAAATGCAGTTTATCTTTTCATGAAAATCCAAGTCCTATTGTCAACAAGGCAAGGAATAGCAAGTGTTGGAGAGAGCATGGGGGAAAAGGAGCCCTCATCACTGCTGGTGGGAATGCAGACTGGGAAAGCCACTGGGAAAGCGGTCTGGGGGCTCCTCAAACCTTACAGGCGTTATCGTTGACCCAGCAACCCCGCTTTTGGGTATCTACCCCCAAAATTTGAAAACATTTATTCACAAATATATATGCATCCCATCCCTATGCTCACTGCAGCATTATTCACGGTCACCAAGACATGGAAACAACCTAAGTGTCCTTCAGTAGATAACTGGATAAAGGTTATACACACACACACACATGCACACACATACATATACACGTATGTATACGTGTATATATACAGGAATACTACTTAGCTACAAGGAAAGATGAAACACTACCATCTGCGACAACGTGGATGGACCTTGAGGACACTATGCTAAGTGAAATACGTCAGTCAGGAAAAGCTGAGAACCATATGATGTCACTCATATGTGGGATATAAAACTGAAAAGTCACAGACACAGAACGGTATGGTGCTTACCAGAGGGAGGGGGGTAGGGGGAGCAAAGGGAGCCAAACATATGGTGACAAAGATGATCTGACTTTGGGTGGTGGGCACACAGTGCAATAGACAGACCATGTGTCATAGAAATCTACTTGAAACCTAAGTAATCTTATTAATCAATGTCACCCCAATAAATTTAACTTAAAGAGAGGAAAAGAAAGGAAAATCCAATTCCTAACCTTTCCATACCTGTCACTTCGGAAATAGGGGAAGTTCACCTGGATCTTCCGGAAGGAGATGCTCTGGAACTACAACAAGAGGAAAGCAAGTCAGAGAGGGGCCCCGGGGCCAGGTCTGCAGGACCCCTGCCTTGAACACACCTGGGCAGATGTGCTGCAAGAAGGAAGAGTCCACAGTAGCAGCCCGGGGAAAAGAACTTCCTTTCTTTCCCGCCCCGAAATCTCTACGCTCTTCAGAAATTGCATTTCGTACACAGTCAACCAGTCGGAAGGAAGAAGGGGAAGGAAACAGCTGAGCGCAGGGCTGGGGGAATGAAAGCTGCTGCAGAAGACACGGGAGCCCTGCTCAGGGGACGAGGGCAGGGAAGGGCCCGAGCGCCACCTTCACCTGCACCAGTGCCCAGGCCGCGCCCAGGCCCCAGCTTCCGGAGGCAGGGGCTGCATGCACGCGCAGGGAGGCGGCACGGAGATCAGAAGGCGGGCCCTGGACGGTCTTCTCTGCTTTGCTTCCACCGCTCACTCCCTGCCACTCCCTCCCCTCGGGCTGAGAGAGGGCTGTGTCCACAAGTGACCCTGAGCCCGAATCGGGAGCAGCCCGTGAGGACGGCAGCCTCGGCGTCCTGAGCTAGCGCCTACCCTGCGCTGTCATGGGTCCTGTGCTACCTCGGGCGCACTCAGCACAGCCCTGCGCCCGGAACCCCCCCAGCTGTGCTCCCAGCATCTTGGATTCGGCAGCGCTGGGCTGACCCGCTGAGCCGCCTTCTGCAGAGGGGCTGGCCAGTGGCTGTGGGGCACCAGGTGACTTTCATTTACATTTCTTTTTTCTTTATTGATTTTTAGAGAGAGAGAGAGGGAGAGATAGAAGCATCGATGAGAGAGAACATCAATTGGTCACCTCCTGCATGCCCCCCACTGGGGATCTAGACCACAACCTGGGCATGTGCCCTGACCAGAAATCGAACCGGCGACCTCTTGGTGCATGGGTCGATGCTCAACCACTGAGCCACACCGGCCAGGCCAGGTGACTTTCACTGAAACAGACTTTCTCTATGTCCCATTTCTGCTCCTAGGCCCTCATTAAAGCTCTGAGGTACCAGTTACCCACTCTCCCAGCGACAGGCCACATAGTTTTCACATTACTGACTTCAGATTTCAAAGCCATGTTAGGGTATTCCCAATGGATGTTTTTCCAGAATGAAGCACAGAATGCCCCTCCCCTGGAGACCACTGCAAGGGTCTCGCCCTCCCATCAACCCTTACCTGAGGTAGGCCAGCTCCCACCACGGCCCCACTGTGGATCATGGGGCCTTCCTTCCCCACAAAGAGCCCTGGGAACAGGTGAAGAAGGGGAGACCATCATCAGCACAGGACACCTCTGCTGTGTGAACCTTCCACTTGAAAATATAAACGAGATGTCTGTGCAACTGTCTATCCAAAAGTGAGTCAAATTCCCATTAAATAAGAGAAAATACTCTTTAAACTCTAAACTGGGCATCAGTCAACCACAGTCTGCGGACCAAACAGGCTTGCTATTTTTGTACAGCTGGAGAGCTAAGAATGTTTTAAATGGTTACGTAAGTGTAAGGACCAAGTAACATTTCCCATCTGGCCTCTTGGCCCACAAGGCCTGGAATGTTGACTATCTGGCTTTTTACCCAAAAAACTCACTGACTTTGCAAAGAGCCAACTCCATAAACCAACTAGATGGTGGTCTACTTCCAAACTGAACGGTGAGTTAATCAGAGAGCTCTGAACGGTAATTCACTAACAGTGCCTGCATTTTATATCTTTTTTATTTTTATTTTTTGTTAATCCTCACCTGAGGATATAATTTTCCAATGCCTTTTAGATAGAGTGGAAGGGAGGGAGGAAGAAAGAGAAACATGGACGTAAGACACATCGACTGGTTGCTTACCACACAACCCCAAGTGGGGTCAGGGATAGAACCTGCAACCCAGGTACGTGCCTTTGACTGGGAATTGAACCTGCGACCCAGAGGCCGATGCTCTAACCACTGAGCAAAACTGACCAGGGCCAGAGCCTGCATTTTATAAACTAAGCTATCTGGCCCAACTGGTGTGGCTCAGGGTTGAGCATCGACCCATGAACCAGGAGGTCACTGGTTCAATTCCCAGGCAGGGCACATGTTTGGGTTGTGGGCCAGATCTCTGGTGGGGGGCATGCGGGAGGCAACCGATTGATGTTCTCTCATGGATGTTTTTCTCTCTAAGATTAATCAATCAATCAATCAATCAATTAATTAAAAAATAAAAACAAAGCTGTCCAGCTGGTGTGGCTCAGGGTTGAGTGTTATCTCAGGTGCCAGCAGGTCATCGGTTTGATTTTTAATCAGGGCACATGCTCAGGTTCAGGTCTGATCCCTAGTAGGGGGCCTGCAGGAGGCAGTGGATCAATGTTTTTCTCTCATTGATGTTTCTACCTCTCTCTCCCTCTCCCTTCCTCTCCCTCTAAAATCAACAAAAACATACTTTAGAAAATTAAATAAATGAAAATAAAAATAAAAAACAAAACCATCAACAGAAAGCGCAGGTCTTCCTATCCAAATCGACTTCATTTACATACACAAAGCTTCCTGTCACCTTTCCCCTTGAAGATGTGAAGGTGGAAGTCAGAAAGCCCCTCCTCACCTCCAGCCACACTGAACAGCACTCCGAAGGCTTTGCAGAGCAGGGTCCGCAGACGGACGATTCCGGGCACCTTCACTCCGTTCAGATAGCATTTGATCTCGGGTATCCCAGAACCTGCTGCCACAGGCTGGCGGGAGAGCAGCACACCCACACTCAAATCCACGGGCTCCGTGGCCCACCCTCATCAACCTCACTACAAAGGGACAACTGACTCCATCAGCATCGCCTGGTGGGCCTGGGTTTCTGACTCCCTAGGTCTGGGAGGGGATGGGAGGATGTGCATTTCTAACAAGTGCTTGGTGATTCGGCATCGCCAGGAGCCTTTCCTCCAACGACGCACGCAGGCACCAGTCCAGACGTTCTGATCGCACTCACCTGAGCTGGGGCCCAGGTAAGAGTCATTTTTAACGTTCCCCAGGGGATCCTAACATGCTCCCCAAGGTGGAGAACCATCCTAATCCAGATGTTTGCTCTTTAATCTCTCTAGAGGCTAAAACCTTTACTTTCAGAAACATTTCTGAGTAAGAGGCCACTTTCTGCAGGAATCTCGATTCCAAGTCTAATTCAGTTCTCTGACCTTCCAGTAATGGCGATGAAGATAAGGAGGGCAGGACCCCAAACCCTGAAAGCGAAAGGGCAGCACCCACACCCCCTCACCTCAATTAGGACGAGAAGACTCCCCAAGAAGACAAAAATCAAGTTGAAACCCAAGAGTTCAAGAAGGGACAGGGCGAGGCACCCTTTCTGGCTGCATTCCTCCACCGCTGCAGAAAGTGGGTTAAGGAAAATGTGCTCCAGCCGACGGCTTTCCTGCGAACACCTGGACTGGTGCAGCTTCTTCTCTGAGACATGCTGGCTGCTCACTGCACTGCTTCCCGTTTGCCACGTCTCCACTAGGAACCATTTTTCATTATGAAATGCTTCAATCAACACAAAAAGTAACATCGCCCTGGCTGGTTTGGTTCAGCCATTAGAGCATCAGGCCACAGACTGAAGAGTCTCAGGTTTGATTCCCGGTCAAGGGCATGTACCCGGGTTGCAGATTCCCGCCCTGGCCCTGGCTGAGGTCACGCAGGAGGCAACCAATTGATGTGTCTCTCTCACAATGATGTTTCTCTCTCTCTTCTAAAAAACAAAAAGCCCTGGCTGGTGTACTCAGTGGTTAGAGCATCACCCTGCACACCGAAGAGTCATGGGTTCAAATCCCAGTCAAGGTCACATACCTAGGTTGCAGGTTAGATCTCCAGCCGCTGGTTAGGTATGTTTGGGAGGCAACCAATCCACATCTCTCTCTCACATCGATGTTTCTCACTCTCTCTTTCTCTGTCCCCCCTCCCTCCCTTCTACTCCTCAGGTGAGGATTAACAAAAAGTAACCATCACTCATAAATTGCAATGTGATGCCACATTTGCTCCAGATATTTTTTAAAAAATGAAAACATTAAGTCCTGGCCAGTGTCGCTCAGTGGTTGAGTGTCGTCCATGCACCAAGAGGTCGCTGGTTCTATTCCCCCGATGGGTTTGTGGGCTTCTATCCCCAGTGAGAGGCATGCGGGAGGCAGCCAATCAATGTTCCTCTCTATTCCTCTCTCTCTAAAAAAAAATTAAGTGTCATTAATAAAAAATCTTTACGTTTCTGTCCATCTCTCCTCTGGGAAAAACCACTAACCTGGAGCTACTGTGAAACATAATATAAATGGAGTCACTTTAAAGTGGAGTCAGAGCTGCCATCCCAGAGAAACTAACTACCTGTTTGCCTGACTCCCCGAACCTTTGGAATGTTAGCACTGGGAAAATTAACCTTTGGACTGGGCCTAAAGCAGCAGTTTTCAAACAGCTGTTTGCAAAGATAACAAGGAAACAGAGAGTAAGACTAATATTGCAAAGATAACAAGGAAACAGAGAGTAAGACTAATATTAGCATCACTTAGGATAGCTTATCCGCACCTGTAGGAATTCCTTCCATAGCTTAGTAACACCCAAAGAAATTTCTTCCTCCTGTTCATTAGCTGTTCCCTTCTCCTTCTCATAAGCACCCCCTGCTTTCACCTCCTAATAGCAACACTTGGATTTCTGCCTGAACCAGAGCTTCCCAAATAGCTGTCTGTGAATCTGGAATACATACTCGTTGCCTGTCACTTTGGCCTTTTAGTCTTAGGTTAGCACATGTATGTTTCCAGATGTATCCATATTGTTCTATGTTTTTAAAATTAAAATAATGGCATTGTATTCCACGCACATATTCCAACTTCCTTTTCTAACTTTTGAGAATTAGCCAAGTTGATACACAGTCCTGGTTTGTTCATTTTAACTTCTGCACAAAATCGTATCATATGAACATACCATACTTGTTTCATTTCCCCATTTGGTGATTCCAATTTTTCGCAATCATGAAGCTGCAAGGAACATCTTCGTATGTGTCTCAGGTCTACAGCGGGAGAATTCATGAGTCATGCGAAGGTGCAGCTTCCTAGTTATTAAATTTCCATTCCCCTGAGCAGTGGTGGGGTGAGCACTTTTCCACAGGTTTATTTACTATTTAATTTTCCTCTACTGAGAATGTCCTATTTGTACACTTTACTAATTTTTCTACTGGGCTGCTTTTCTTAGTGTTGTAGTTCTTCCTACATTATGGATACAAATCATGCCTCTTATTTTGTTTTTGTTTTAAATATTCACCTGAGGATATTTTTCTATTTATTATGAGATAGAGTGGGAGGGAGGAAGAGAGAGAGAGAGAGAGAGAGAGAGAGAGAGAGAGAGAGGGAGGGAGGGAGATTGATATGACAGAGACACACTGACTGGTTGCCTCCTGCACGACCCGACCAGGGCTGGGGACGAACTGCAACTCAGATACATGCCCTTGAACTGAATCGAACCCGAGACTCATTGGTCCGAGGGCTGGTGCTCTAACCGTTGAGCAAAACTGGCCAGGGCTTCAAGTTTTGTTTTGCCTATTTACATCTTCGTACTTCTGAAATTAATTTCTAGTACAAAGAAGGAATCTATTTCTCTATTTTTCCATATGGATATCCAATGTTCCGGCATCTTTTATTAAATAACCCATTTTATCCTCACCGATTTATCGCTGACTGTCATTCACACAGGCCAGCGTCTGCATCCCCATTACCTTCCATTCACTAACTGGGTGTTCCTGCGCCAGTGTGACACTGTCCCAATGACTGTATCTTGAATTATAAGTCTTGACATCTAGTAGGGCAAGTCCTCCTGCATGTTGTTCAAAACTATCTCAACTACTTCTGGCCCTTTACTCTTCCACACAAATTTAGGAAGAGAACTGTCAAGTTCCATGAAAAATCCTATTGGCATTTTCATTGGAACTACATTGAATTTATAGACCGACTGGGAAAAGCAGGCATCTTGGTGGTTTGTGTCTCACCAACCATGAATGTATCTCTATTTATTAACACGTTCCTTTTGTGTCCTTCAATGTTAATCACAAACCTTAAAGCTGAACAGCTAATGAATAGCTCTTCACAGGTCGTATCTACTGTTAAACTCATTTCTAGACAAGAAAGTAAAAGCAGAAACTGCTGGCATCCACGACCACCAGGAACCGTGACAAGGATACATGTCTGTACCACTCCAAACTTGAGCTGGGTGAAGAGGCGCACAAAGAAGTCCACAAAGAGACCCACCTGTGAAGAGCAAGGGAGCGTCAGTCACGCAGCTTTCCCGAAGGTGTGACGGCACTGCCCCGAGAGCAGACTCCCCCACTGCGCTGACGGCCCCGGGACGCACACCGGCGTTACCAGCAGCAGTGGGGGAGTGGCTTCCATTCTCCAGAGGCCCTGCTCCAGCCTGGCCTCACTGCCCCCCAAGAACAAAAGGACATGTACAGCTATGTTGAGAGGAGGAGAATAAAACAAAGAGGGAAAAGAATGCAGAAAAAGATATGAGACCAAGGAAGACCACTGTGTCTTCAGTGATGCTTAGCTGAATAAGCACATAGCTTAGATTACTTTGAAAAAATTTTTTTAATTGATTTGAGAGAGACAGAGAGAGAAACATTGATGTGAGAGAGAAACATCGATCGGCTGCCTCCCATACTTGTCCCCACCGGGGATCAAACCCACAATCTGATTGGAAGTCAAACCTACCATCTTTCAGTGTATGGACACGGTCCAACCAACTGAGCTGCTCTGGGCTGGGCTAGCTCAGAGTACTTTGAATGGTGACACTCACTTAGCTGTGCATGGGTTTTGCATGTTGGCTATTTCTATTTTACTAAGTCCCTATTTTCACTTAGAACTGTCTTATGTAGTCAGTGGTTACCCTGGTAAGTAAGAGAAAACCGCTCATGTTCCACTCTCCACTCTCATAAGTCCCTGCTCTGGGCTTAAAGGGGAACTGAAAAGACTTCTGACTTCATAGGTTCAGGATCGGAAGCTTCATGCCTTTAACTCCAGATTCCCCTCAAGCCAATGTCAGGGGCTTTTAAATATCAACGCAGTAGGTGGTGACAGACAAAGGACAAGAGAGCCAGTAGCAAGAGGAACAGGTAGCTACATTATAAAGGCAGGTCTGCCTTCCTATTACATGAGGGTGGGAGGTAAAGGTGTTAGTATTGATAAATGCAGTTCAAAGGAGTTTGACGTGAAAGTGGCAGAAAGACTAACAACCAGATGGAAATCTGTTACAGGGAAATGTGCTGTCAGAACCATATGCAGCCAAGTTCACACTCCGAAATTTCAATAAAACAATGAAATCAACCCAAGTTGCCCCACACCAGCGTTCACCAGAATGTTACCAAAGAGGCCTCTAAATGCCATTAGTCTTAACTAGTAAGATGTTCCCTGACCTCTAATTTGCTACAGTAAAAAGCTGACAAGTGCTATGAAGACAAAACTGTGACTATCCCTTGTGGCTGTATTATATTAAACACGTCTATGTTTTATGGGTCTATCATGTAGACGTAAGTATGAGGCCTGTGGTCAATTCTAGAAAAAGGTGATAAATAGGATGGAATATCTATAATCACTATTATGGACTAAACGTCTGTTTGTGTGTCCCCCCCCCCGCCCCCAATTCATATTGAAATTCTAACCCCTCCAAAAGGATGGTATTTGGAGGTGGGGCTTTTGGGAGCTGATAAGGTCTTGAGGGTGGAGCACTCATGAATAGGATTAGTGCCCTTATAAAGAGACCCCGAAAGGGAAAGGGGATTGGGGAGGGCAAAATAGGTGAAGGGGATCAATTGTATAGTGATAGATGGTAACTAGACCTATGATAATGATCACCATGTAGTACATACAATATTGAATTATACTGCAGTATACCTAAAATATATATTATATTATCTAATATACCAAGTCAGGATTAAAAAGAGAGGCCCTGCCAGAGAGCTCTGTTACTCCCTTCTGCCACGTGAGGACAGAGCAAAAGGGTGGTCTTCTATGAACCAGGAAGTGGGTCCTCCCCAGACACTAGTCTGTTGGCCCTTGATCATGAACTTCTAGCCTCCAGACCTGTGAGAAATAAATGTCTGTTGTTTAAGCCCCCCAGACTACGGTAATTTTGTTACGTAGCCCGAATGGACCAAGACAACCCCCTATTCTAACACTGTATTGAAGGAGAACCAGAATGGACATGTATCATTTGGACTGACTGCTGGCTTTTCTTCTCCAGGTTCAGCAGCTATGGTTCCAGACCTTGCCCTACTATCATCTTTGGCGATGTCTCATAATCTTTTCTTGTTGGTCATTCACCTGTGAATGTGCTGACCCCACAACCCTGTGTGACCAGGTGTATTCCTCTGCCCCTAACCGCCAGTTCCACCTTCTAGGAAAAGTGAGCAATGTGCAGGGAAGAAGCCCAGGACAGCACAAAAAATTCACCGAGCCTGACTGGTTTGGCTCAACGGTTAGAGCATCGGCCCACAGACCAGAGATTCCCAGGTTCAGTTCCTGCTAAGGGTCCGTACCTCAGTTGCAGTTTGTCCCCGGCCTCAGTTGGGGTCGTGTGGGTGGCAACCAGTCGATGTGTCTCTCTCACATCGATGTTTCTCTTTCCTTTCCTTCCTCTCTCCCTCCCACTCTATCTGAAGATAAATGCAAAAAAGTGTCCTCGGGTAAGGATTAAAAAAAAAAATTCACCGAGATCTACAGTGTCCTGTTGCCTGGCACACTGTGCTAAAGGCAAGGCCATGTTTCCAGTTTAGTTCCCACTACTTTGCTTTTACCTACAGAGTGACCTCAACATCCTCTGGGTACTGTGCCCCCCATGTTATCTACCTGATTGGACCACACCCCTTATCATAAGAGATAGGGCAAGACCAAATAAATTACTGAGTGCTTTCAAGAACACCAGAGTTGGTTGCATGGCTCACTTTCATTCCAAAAAGTGAAAGCAAAAGAGAAATATGAAAAAGTGTCAGGTGATTCATTAAAAAAAGAAAAAGATGACTACGCAGTCCCTATTATAACAAACAACTTATTTGTCAGGCTGGAGCTTGACCTCTGACCCTTCCACCTTGCCGCCCCTCCCCCCCATTCCCCACCTGCTCACCAGACCCGTGCAGACTCCAATGGCAAACACCATCATCCACTTCACCGCCTCATACCTGCGACCTTTCTGTTCACACAGGAAAAGAATGACTGTTTGTCAACAGGAATATGTTTGCAGCAGGGAAGGAACATAGCTTGGCCAACCAGGTTTAGAGTAAATTTCACATGGACAGCAAAAATGGCAAAGATGATGTCTGATGTGGAGGATGCTTTATAATGTAAGAATGATGAACTCTAAGAGGCTGGACCAGGGAGTACTCTGGTCAGCAGGATGAAGGACTAAGAAATAAATGCTGGTATTTCATGAAAAGGGTTAAAAGGGCAAGGGGTAAAGGTCAAGAGCTATCATAAGACCTCCTTAGTCCCACGAGATCAATATGGGACTTACCTTATTATCCATGGTCTCCAAAACTTCCAGGTAAGGGTCATTGATACATCGATCATAATCCAAACTCTGAAAGAGGGACATGCGAGTAAAAAGTCACAATGTGGTACAATATGATCCCATTCTGAATAAACAAAATTAAGATTATTTGTATGTCAGCACACATAAAGCAAAAATATCTGGGAAAACTGTTAACAGTGCTATCTCTGAGGAGATATTTTAGGAGGTGTTCACATCTGGGTATTGGTTGAAATTTTCACAGCAAACACGGTGTACTTTTTATTTATTTTTTATTTTTATTTTTTTAATCCTCACCCGAGAACATTTTTGCATTTATCTTCAGATAGAGCGGGAGGGAGAGAGGGAGGAAGAGAGAGATAGAAAAACATCGACGTGAGAGAGACACATCGAATGGTTGCCACCCACATGACCCCAACTGGGGCCAGGGACAAACTGCAACCGAGGTACCTGCCCTTAGCGGGAACCGAACCCGGGTCTCTCTGATCCGTGGGCTGATGCTCTAACCGCTGAGCCAAACTGGCCAGGGCCACCATGTACTTTTTTTTTTTTTTTCAAATCCTCATCGGAGGACACTCTTTTGCACTTATCCTCAGATAGAGCAGGAGGGAGAAAGGGATGAAGAGAGGGAGAGAGAAACATCGACGCGACCGTGTACTTTTCATATCTGAAAAAAAGTATTTGTTTTTTTCTGACTACAAAACAAAAAAATTCTGCTGAGAAACTAGACTCATCCATGAGTGATTAAGTGTGTGTGTGTGTTTTGTAATCAAGTGAGTGACATCACACCCTAGGAACAAACAGGGAGAAAAATTAAAATGTTGAAAAATATGAATAACCTTCATACCAAGTATTTATAGAAATGACTGGCCAATTAAGTATTTGCTTGATGATTTTTTCTAATAATGCTATGCCTCTAAGAATATTTAGAAGGTTTTCAGGCCTGGCCAGTTCTGCCCAGTGGTAAGCGCCAGTCTGAGGACCAATGAGTCGCAGCTTTGATTCCAGTCAAGGGCACATACCTCAATTTCGGTTCATCCCCAACCCTGGTTGGGGTTGTGCAGGAGGCAACCAGTGGATGTGTGTCTCTCTCTCTCCCTCTCTCCCACTATATCCGAAGATAAACAGAAAAATATTCTCAGGTAAGGATTAAAAAATAAATAAATAAAATAAAAGGCTTTCAGATGTCCAGAACAGGCACCTCTACAGACAGAAAGCAGACGAGTGACATGCCTAGAAGCAGGGACAAGGGAACAGGCAGTGACTCCGCTAATGGGTGCAGGGTTTCTCTCTGAGGTGACGAACATGTTCTAAAATTGACTGGTGGGGGCTGCACAGTTCTGAACATACTGAACACACCACTGAAGCATATACTTAAATAGGTCAACTGTAGAGCATGTGAATTATAAACTAACCCCAACCCTGAATAAAGCTGATCAAAGGGGCATTTACGAACAAATGCAACGCCAGAACATCAATCTTCCCCCTTTAAACAAAACAATCAGTCAATGTAAATATGTACCAATGAACTGCATGACCTGTTATTAAAATCAGACATTGTTACTTCTCCTTTGCCATGTCTAACTTTATTTTATTTCTGCTGTTTGGTTTGGGGGACTAACAACTTATTTTTTTACAGCTATCTTGTAGGGCTGCTGCTTCTGGTTATGAGCAAAATGGTACCTGGCCAGGGGGACAAGTGGGGACTAAAATGCAGCCCAAAAAAAGGGCACTGAGTGCTCACCGAAAAAGCACCTTCAGTGGGCCTCGAACTAGGGAAGTTGCTATGGCCCAGAGGGGCAGCTTTTTATCCCGAGTCCTCTGCTCTGAGGGGTGCCTTTTTCTAACTCAAAAGAGCCTGTGACCCTGGCTGGTGTTGCTTAGTGGTTGGAGTGTAGTCCCCTGCACTGAAGGGGAAGGGTCGCAGGTTCGATCCCGGGTCGGGGTCCTGGTGGCAACCCATCAGATTGATGTTTCTCTCTCACACTGATGTTTGCCCCACCTTCCCCTCTCTCTAGAAAAACAAAAAAAAGCCTGTGTCCTGCACAAAAACATTACTGTTTGGTAATGGCACCATCCAAGTCCCAATGGGACAGATAGGGGGTTATTATTCTTCAAACCATCTATGGGAATGAATGTCAAAAAGGGGATTCTAACATCTCATAAGACCCCTGACTTATCAAAGAAAGAGTCAAGTATGTGTGATGAGCTCTTACTAAGACAAGGAGCACATTGTAGACAGATTTTCAACAGAAGGGTTTTCTAGGTGAGTGTTAATACTACAATCCAGCCCTGGCCGGTTTGGCTCAGTGGTTAAAGCATCGGCCTGCAGTCCAGAGAGGCCTGGGTTCGTTTCCTGCTAAGGGCGTGTACCTCGGTTGCAGTTTGTTCCCGGCCCTGGTTGGTCGTGTGGGTGGCAGCCACTTGATGTGCCCCTTTCACATCAATGTTTCTCTCTCTCTCTTCCTCTCTCTCCTTCCCACTCTACCTGAACAAAAAATAGAAAAATGTCCTCGGGTGAGGATAAAAAAAAAAAAAAAATACACTCCAGCCCTGGCCGATTTGGCTCAGCGGTTAGAGCATTAGCCTGCGGTCCAGAGAGTCCTGGGTTCAGTTCCCGCTAAGGGCACATACCTCGGTTGCAGTTTGTCCCCGGCCCTGTTGGGGTCATGTGGGTGGCAGCCACTCGATATGTCTCTCTCACAACGATGTTTCTCTCTCTCTCTTCCCCTCTTCGCTCCTGCTCTATCTGGAGATAAATGCAAAAATGTTCTCGGGTGAGGATTTAAAAAAAAAAAGAATGCAATCTGAGCAGACTGTTCTGAGTAAGTGCCTGGCTAAATCTGCTCTAATACAAAGCAAACTCTCTCAAGAAGCTCTCACTCAAAAGATGGCTAATTGAGAAATATTAATGACTCACATGAAAGAACATTCACCTATAACATTTATATAAATATGCACATTGACTGAAAGTAAACGCTTTATAAATGCCAGTGCAATTCAGTGAAAGGAGTGGAGGGGGCTAGGGAACAGCAGGGTCCATGGTGCAGGGACGTTGTGGTGAATTCCCAGGAGTAGGATGAGGGCAGACAGTTTCAGTCATGGTAACAGTCAGGATGATATCACCAGTTTCAATGATGAGACGATACAATATAGAGCATCTTATATTAATTCTTGTTAATCTCTCAAGTACAGTAAACAGATATTTTTTAAATATTTGAAAATATATCAGTGGATACCATGCTTTCTGACTCATTACAAGAAGCCCCATCAGAGTAGCACATTAAACTATACCATAATGGGCAAGTTCCGGATTCCTAAAATTATTTTGTCAAGTCAATTTCAAGAGGAAAAAAGATGGAGAGACCTAAAGATAAAAGAGTTTTAAAATATATATCAAACAAATGCAATGTGAGGATCTTATCTGGAACCTGACTCAAACTATTAAAAAATACATATGGCTCCTACAACCACATCAAAATTACAACTAAACTACAGAACAAACATCCTTTGGAATCACCTGAAATCAAGCTGAATGGAAGGCCTACAACTACAAAACTGAAGAAGAGGCCACTTGGAGATTGTACGAGGGGCAGAGGTGTAGACGAGCTGGTCCCACACCCACATGTAACACATAAAAATCAGGAGGACACCTTGGCTGGGAAGATCCTCCCTGAGGAGTGAGGGGTCCCCATCCCACACCAGGCGCCCAGCTCAGGGTTCCAGTACCAGGAAAAGAATCCCCATAACTTCTGGCTGTAAAACCAGCAGGAACTGAGGCTAAGGGAGGCTGAGGCTGCGGGAGCCCCTCCCCCCCAGCTCCTCTTAAAGGGCCAGTGCACAGACTTACTCAGACTTGCTCCCTCTGAGCTCCAGCAAGGGGGAGGCAGCTCGAAAGGCACCAGAGACATACAGGAAGAACTGTGTTGTTTGGCATTGGGGCGAGGACTGGAGAGAAAGCTTTCTCCTGGACAGAAGTGCTGGTGGAGGCCTTTGTTCCTTGTTCCTTTGGTGAGCCCTTCCCCCACGAGGACAGCAGACAGGCGCCATATCTGGGACTCCAGCAACCTGGCTCATACAGTTTGGCCCGCCCTGGTGATTCCCTGAGGCCCTGCCCCACCCAACCTTCGGGCCCACCCAAGCTGTTTCCAGTGGCTTTACCATAGGATTGGCCTGTCTTGGATCCTGCTTCAGATTTTCCTAAATTCTCTCAAACAAGCAGCATCTGGCCTCAGCGAGCCCCATACCTCTTGTTAAGTGGCCCCAGGCCTGGCACTAGGTGCAGTTAGCCTTGGTTCACAATTTGGCTTTGCCTGGGTACCCCCAAGCCCAGCATAAGAAGCAGCCATCTGCAGATCACTTTGTAGCTTATGCCTGGCCCCGGGTAGAACACAGGCAGTGGCTGACCTGGCCCCAGAGCCAGCACACCCAGTGGACAGCTTCAGATCATGTCAAAGCACCACCACCCAACCACCTCCACAAGTGACACACTCAAGGAGTGGACTCAGTGGGTACCACAGCCCTGCTGAAGTAAGTCTTGCTCTATGTGGGGGGCCCCTGCACAGCTGATCCTCTAAGGTAGTCAGAGGTCGGTGGACAGTGGGCACAGCCAGTCCTTGCAGCTGATCAGAGTAAAACTCTCTCATTGACATGCCAACAGCAATCAAGACTCAATTACAACAGAAGGGTGTACAGTCTGCACGAGAGGTACACCTTGAGGGCCCAGCTGGGAGACCAGGGAGGCTGTGCCACTGGACCCTACAGGACACCTACTACAATAGGCCACCCTAGGAAGCCCAGGAGACATAGCAACTCTACCTAATACATAGAAACAAACAGGGAGACAGCCAAAATGAGGAGACAAAGAAACATGTCCCAAAAGAAAGAACAGAACAAAACTTTAGGAAAAGAACTAAACAAAATGGAGATAAGCAACCTAACAGATGCAGAGTTTAAAACACTGCTTATAAGGATGATTAATAAACTTAGTGAGAACTTCGACGAACTTAGTGAGGGCCTCAAGAGCATAGAAACGGACCAGTCAGAAATGAAGGAGGCGCTAACTGAAATAAAGAATAATTTACAGAGATTGAATACTAGAGTAGGTAAAGCCAAGAAGCAAACCATTGATTTGGAATATAAGGAAGCAAAAAACACCCAAACAGAACAGCGAAAAGGAAAAAGAATCCAAAAAATGAGGATAGGGTAAGGAGCCTCTGGGACAGTTTCAAGCATACCAACATTCACATTATGGGGATGCCAGAAAGAGAAGAGAGAAAAAAAGAAATTGAAAACCTATTTGAAACAATAATGACAGAAAACTTCCAATCGATGGACATATAAAGTTTCCCAGACAAGAAAAAGCTAAAGGAGTTTACTACCACCAAACCAGTAATATATAAAATGTTGAAGGGTCTCCTTGAAAAAAAAGACGATCAAAAATATGAACAAACGCCCTGGCCGGTTTGGCTCAGCGGTTAGAGCGTTGGCCTGCAGTCCAAAGAGACCCGGGTTCAGTTCTGCTAAGGGCACGTACCTCGGTTGCAGTTTTTCCCTGGCCCTGGTTGGGTCGTGTGGGAGGCAGCCACTCGATGTGTCCCTTTTACGTCAATGTTTCTCTCTCTCTCTTCCAATCTCTCCCTCCCACTCTATCTGAACAAAAAATGCAAAAATGTCCTCAGATGAGGATAAAAAAATATATATATGAATAAACAAAATGGCAATAAATACACCTCTATCGACAGTTGAATCTACAAACAAAATAAACAAGCAGAACAGAAACATTCGCACAGATACAGAAAATATTTTGTTGGTTGCCAGATAGGAGGGATTGAGGGAATGGGTGAAAAAGGTGAAGGGATTAAGAAGTACAAACTGATTATTAGGCTGACAAACCTCAAAGGGAAGGGGGGTAAGGGGGGGCGGGAAGAAATAAACCAAAGAACTTAATATGCATATATGCATAACCAACGAACACAGACAACAGTGTGGGGAAAGGCAGGAAGAGGGTGGTAGAGGGGAGGAGAGGGTCAGTAGGGGAAAAAGGAGGGATATCTGTAATACATTCAACAATAAAGATAAGTTTAAAAACATAAAACAAAAAAAATACATATGACATTTATAAGACACCTGGAAAATTTGAACACTGGGTATCTGATATCAAGGAATTATTGTGTATTTCATAGGTGTGAAAATGGTATGTTGTTATGCTTTTAAAAAGTCCTTGTTGTCTAGAGATGCACATTAAATTATTTATGGGTGAAACGCTGTGATGTACAGAATTTCCTTCAAAATAATATGGAAGGGGGTTGACAAAAGAGTGATTGTAGTCAAGTTAACAAAATTATTTTAATCAGAAGGGGCTGAAACACGAGAAAAAGATCTCATTTTACTTTAATGAGCCTGAGGACTTAAACTTTTGAACTTTTCAGGTGTGCATCAGTGGAGATATATGTAAGTCCTGTAGATAAGCCTCTGAAGAATTTAGGAAGGAATGCTCAAGTATCCAGACTGCCCGACATCTGGAAAATCACCATCTCAGACCAATCCATGAGCTGAAAATGCAGGACTCATTTTTCTCAAAAATGTACTTTTCACTTGTAAAAACCCTCACCTTTTCTCTTTTCTTCAGAACACTCTGGGTGTTTGTGATTTGCAAATCTTAAGACCCTTTAATAAAATGTTGCCATTTAATTCTAATAAAGCTTCCTGATTCATCTTCTCCAGGTGAACAGGGAAGTGGATGGGAGCATGGATGTCACAAGGTCAGGCAGGAGCTGAATGACTGCTAAGGCGAAGTCCAGGGGGTTTCAATATACTGTTCTGTCCATTTCGGTACATGTTTGAAATGGTCTGTAATAGAAGGTTTTTGTTTTTGTTTTTTTTAATCCTCACCTGAGGATATTTTTTCCATTTATGTTCAGATAGAGTGGGAGGGGGAAAGAGAGAGAGAAACATCGATGTGAGAGAGACACATCAACTGGCTGCCTCTCACACAACCCTGACCAGGGCTGGGGACCGAACCACAGTTGAGGCACGTGCCCTTGACCAGGATCGAACCTGCGACTCTTTGGTCCGAGGACCGATGCTCAAACTGGACCCAAACCGGCCAGGGCTATAATAAAAGTATTTTTAAAATTTCATGCTACATGACAAATAATAATAGTTACACCAACTTCTACAGCAATAGAAAGATAAAATATTAAGGACATTAGTCTGAGTATACTATTTCCCTAGATTATTGAATTTTTAAAGTGTACATGACAGTTTTTTAAAATGCATTAAAGATATACATGATTAATTCCACTTCTTGGAATTAATCCTAAGGAAACAATTAGGGATGAACAAGAAAGGATGGTCACCACCATGCAATTCATTAAAACGGAAAAATCAGATTAAATAAACTGTAGCACATAAAATAATACTTCCCTATTTAAAAAGATATTGTAGAAAAGTATCAAGTGATACAAAAATTGTTATCAAGTGGGAAGAAGAGGTTAAAATATTTAGAATTTCACTTTTGTTCCTTAATAAAAGTATGTATGTAAACAAAAAAAGGATATTTAACAAAGTAGTAATTACCATCTTTTTATGAGCAGGATTATGGGTTTTTCTCTAGCTTCTTTTTGTAAATAGGTTAAGAATTCTCTATCACAACCTTGGCTTTTTTGTCATTTCAAAAGTCATCATGGCCCTGGCCAGTGTGGCTAAATGGTTAGAGCATCGGCTCATGCACTGGAGGGTTGAGGGTTTGATTCCAGGTCAAAGGCACGTACTTCAGTTGCAGGTTCGATCCCTGGCCCTGGTTGGGGCTCAAGCAGGAGGCAACCAACTGATGTGTCCCTCTCTCTCTCTCTCTCTCTCTCTCTCTCTCCCCTGCTACCTAACTCTCTTTCACCCTCTCTAAAAATCAATGAAAAAAAATATCCTCAAGTGAGGATTAATTTAAAAAATGTCATCATGAACCGATTACATTATGTTTTACTCCAGTGATGTTGGAATGCAACACATACACACTCTATGAGTCACACGTTCAAATCAGGAACTACAGTCAAGACATTTCAGAGAGAAGTTGCCTGAGCAGAGGAAAAAAATCTTCTGAAAACTAAGCTCTCTCAGAAGAGAAGCAAGGTCTACTGGCCCACACCTGCTACACTGTCAGTGCCTTTGACTTTGGATCTCTCTGAGTTGTAACAGTAAACCGTTTAATGGCAAACACATACTCTACCCAGGCTAAGGGGCCACAGATCCATGAAAGCATGGAGACACCCAGACCTTGTTTTTCGTTTGAGGTGAGAAAAGGGCTTGGTACACAGCCCCTTTCCCAGAGGGAAGTTACTTCTCACCCTCTTACTCCCTTGGATAGGAGATCAAAGAGCACCTCTAGTTGGAATCCCAATGCCTCCATCTTAAGGGACCATGTCATTTACTGCTTTTGTTACTCAAGACAGCACCTAAGAATCTCACCTCATAGTCTTTCCTTGGAAGGATCTCATCTTCCTCCTCCTGTGTTTCTCCAAGGATGGTCTAGAAAAACAGATCCACAGAAGACCATTTTAGTGGTTAAAAGTAGAAGGAGGCAGTACTGTTTCTTGAAATCAGTTGTTTGTTTCTAAATCATCTGGAACCTTTATCATCAATGGGAACAGGACCTCCAAAAGAAAAATCCTTTTGGGATAGGGGGTGATGTGGGTGGAGATCCAACTGAGCTCTTCATTTCTATTGATACATTCTCCAAATTACTACTCCTGTCTTCAGGACACATCAAAGATGTTCACTGCCAGCTTAAGGGGAAAAAATTCAGATTCCATCTGACAATGTGCCGAATCTGGAAATCTGAGGGGTCCTGTCAACTCTGGGGACGCAGCAACTCAAGTTTTCCCAGGGTGCTTTGCAGGGAAAATACGGATCGTCAATGACCCAGAAGGGGTTAGGGATAGAGTGAGAAAGGTCTGGAGAAACCAAGCTAGCTGCATGATAAGCACAAAGTCCAGTGAAAGGGCTCATTCTGAAAATGCCTGAAACATTTAACTCCTTTCAGATGGAAATTAAAAAAAAAAATGTATGGGATTCATTGAAGCTGGCCTGGATTCTCTCTTAGATTCAGGGCAAGAGTTATGAGAAAAAGACTCCAGACTCCGGCACGTGAAGCAGGGCAGATGCTACGGAAGCCCAGGATGCGGTCCCCAGGCCGCACACGCTGCCACCTGCGGGCCCAGCACGGCCCAGCCCCACCTCCGGCAACGCCTCTCACCGTCCCTTAGCAACTGCCCCTGCCCGAGCCCGATTCTCCCCGCTCCTTACCAGCTCCTCGGGGGTACGGGTCTCACGCTCACCGCAGCAGCAGCACCACCTGCAGCAGCAGCACAAGGACCCCCTGCATCCCGCCATCTTCTTCTTTCACTGACACGCCAGACCCCCTATGCCAACCCCCTCCCACCCGGGATCTGAGCCTCACGTGACTGGCCCCTGGAGGGTCACGTGTTCCTCGGGAGCTTGGCGATCGAGACAGGGAGTGGCTGCAGATGGGTGGGGCGAGGGCTCACGTCATTGGACCGCGGTGGAACAGCTTCAAACCAGACCGCTGGGTGCGGCCATGTTGGGGGCGGGGTTTCCGGTCGCCCGTAAACCCCGCCCCCTGGTCCCGCCCCCTGGTCCCGCCTCCCTTAGCAACAGACTCCTGAGCCGCGCCTCCGCCGCGCGGGTCCCGCCCCCTTCGCTGATGCCGCCGCGGCCGTCACTCAGCGGCAACTGGAGCGCGTGCTCTGAGTCACCCGCGACGGGAGGGTGAGTGACGGCGTAGCCCCGGGTCTTCGGGTAGAGAGACCCGGCATCCCAGCCCACCACCTGGCGCGGGGACTCACCTGTGTGCGGGGAGCAAAGGAGGCCGGCCTGCCCCTCTAGCTGGGGGCTCCCGCCCCCTCTGCGGGCTTCATTCGCTGGACTAGTGTAACCCCAATGGCTGTCACCCCCAGGAATCCCCAATCCTGAAATGAAGACTCTCATTTGGTCCTCGGCCTGGACAGAGGCCAGGAGATGAGGCAGCCCTGAGATGGAGGTGGTGACCCAGCCTCCCGGAACCGGGCCTCGGCCCGCGTCTGCGCCCCCTCTCGTGCGGGACTCATTGACCGGGTGACTCGATTCACGACCCTCAAGCCACCTGGGCGCGGAAGGTGTTTTTCCGGCTACAGCCATTTAAACCTGCTTCCCCGCCAAGCGCCTGGAGAAGAAGAGCCTTGGACCCCAGACACTGCTGCCCCAGGTGCTCATGGCTTCGGACTGCGCAGTCGTGGGCTCCATATACACCCACCACTCCGTGCTTTGCACCGATTAAGTAAGTGCTCAGTAAACGGCAGAGGGTTACTTTGACATCAGAGTGACAGCGCTTGGCCCGTTGGCACTCAGTGCTGGCTGTCACGTTACCCTGTGCCAGTCACAGGAACACCAGAATACCAGTCAAAGGTTTTCTGCCCTGGTCTTGGAACTCTGTGGAAAGGAAGGGAGACAAACCTGTGAACCCACAATTACAACGCAAGGTGCTGTGGGAGCTCCGCTTAAAATGGTAAGTAGTGGCACGAGAAAGAAGGTTGAAAGGATGCGTGTGCCTGGCACGTGCTAGGAAGACAATCGGTCTTTATTGAACAAATGACAGAGCAGATCATTTGTAGGCGGTTCCATCTCCTCCCCCTCTATTGATTTTGTCTCAGCAGATAGTTAATAGGCACTGTCTTGAATGTGTGAGAAAGGCCAGCTAGGCTGATCATTTTATTTATGTAAACAAAATTTTGTTTTCTTTATTCATTTTACAGAGAGAGGAAGTGAGAGGGGGAGAGAGAGAGAAACATCGATGAGAGAGAACATCGACTGGCCACCTCCTGCACGCCCCCCACTGGGGATCGAGCCCACAACCTGGACATGTGTCCTGACCAGGAATTGAACCGGTGACCTCTTGGTGCATGGGTCAACACTCAACCACTGAGCCACACTGGCCGGACTAGGCTGATCTTGATTGACACCCACCCCTTGCTCACCTCCAATGGCCATCCTCATTGAGAAGCTGGAGTTTTATGTCAGAATCAAAATGGGCATCCCTAGGGCAAGCAAACGTTGGCACAAGTGCTCGAAGTCTGGTCTTGACTCCTTGACTTTGGCTGTGTCACTGTGTGTTTTGTGCACTCGTGTGTGTTTTAGGTGAGAGGAGCTTTGGATTGTTTTAGATTCTCATGACTCTAAGACCCCAGAGTGGTTAAGAACACCAGCCTAACAGTGGACGCTCCCTGCAAGGAATGAACGTGGCCTGGTTGTTCCTCTCATTTCCATGTCACCACACACCAGATTTTCAGGACTGTGTATTTGCACCTAGTTGTGCAAGAATAGTGTTTTGTTTTGTTTTGTTTTGTTTTGAAGCATCTGTCTTATTTTTCTGACTAACCTGCCCGATAGCACTGTGCCCTTTGTTGGCCTGCCTGTGGTTGCCATGGTTCAGGGCTTGGGATGTGGTGGCTGTGCAGTCACTATGATTACTTTGACTTCAGTGGTGTGTGTGTAAGTGGTGGTGTTCCTGGAAGGCCGCCTTTGCTTTTCTTTTTCTTTTTTTAAGTTCACTTTTTTTTCTCATCGATTTTTAGACAGAGTGGAAGGGAGGGAGGGGGGAGAGAAAGAGAGATAGAGAAACATCAATGTGAGAGAGACACATCGACCAGTTGCCTCCCAAAAGACCCACACCAGGGCCCGGAATCTAACCTGCAACCTAGGTATGGGCCCTTGATGGGGAATCGAACCCACAACCCTTAGGTCCAAGGGCCAACACTCTAACTGCTGAGCCAAACTGATCAGGGAAGCTCTTTTTTCTTTTTTGTTGACTTCATCGGGGTGACAGTTAATAAAATTGTATAGGTTTCAGGTATACAGTGTTGTGATACATCATTTGTACATTGTCCTGTGTGTTCATCACCCCAAGTCAAGTCTCCTTCTAGCAGGCAGCCTTTGTTTTGAGTTGGCCATAAATTCATTCCCTTACTGAACTTGGGTCTGGCTACTTTTGGAACCCAGCCAATGTCAAGTTCTAACGCGTGACCTGGTCTTTTTGGAGTAGCACAAACTCAGGGGAAATCCAGCTGCTTTGTCAAGCCCTCGCCCATGTCGTCCTGCACACAAACTGTTCCAAGCAATAGGAAGTGTTCCAGGCAGGACCAGGACCAGCTGTTTCTTCTTTGTGGAGTGATCCAGTGACCCTGAATGTCTGTTGGCCTCATCTCCACCAACCGCTGCAGTCTCTGGCCTCCCTCCTTCCATCTGCCTGCTACAGCTGGAGCCTCAGCCCTCCCTTCGCCAGGAAGCCTTGCCCCCGCCTCTCTCTCCCCTAAGCAGGCCCCAGCTCTAGCTCTAAGTTCTTCCTCTGTCACTGCTCCGCCCATGAGGGAAACACCCGCTGGGGAAGTTTCTGTTTCTGCCTAGCTCATTCTGGGTCTAAGCTGGCAGAGATGGACCAGCTAGTACCCGAGGTTCCCCCGGCCGGGCACAGCTGTTCCTCCCTAGGAATTTGGGCTTTGAAGGCTGGCATCGTGAGTTTGTCAGTGCCACCCTCCATCAGGTAGGTGTCACTGAGGATCCATGGGCTGGAGGGGCATGTTTCTGCACCGGTGGGGGCTGTCAGGCTTGGAGCCAGGCAGCAGCAGAGGGAAACGCTTTGGGTGAGGCAGTGCCATCGGTCGTAGCTGTGGCGTGTGGAGCCAGCCGGTAGGGGCATTGTCACCTCACCGTTAGCGGCCTTCATCCTGCGTGGAAATGCAGCAACTGTCACTTGACCCTGACACTCTGGGGCTCAGCTGCCTGCCGGCTTCTGACGCCCCCTGCCTCCACCCTGTGCAGCAGGAACGCGGCCATGGTGAACGAACCCAGAGGGAATGGCGGCCCTAACCCCCGCTCGGAGGGCATCGGGAGCTCCAAGGGTATTTCGGGATGTTCCTCACCAGGGCTGGACCCCAAGCGGCATGAGAGACTCAGGGAGAAAATGAAGCGGAGGATGGAATCTGGTGACAAGTGGTTCTCTCTAGAATTCTTCCCTCCTCGGAATACTCAGGGCGCTGGCAGTCTCATCTCAGAGTGAGTTATGTTAAGGAGTGGGGCCGGATCAGGAGGTGGGGTGGGAAGAGAAGATGAACATTCAGCCCTGCTGCAGGGCCGCTTTGACCCGGCAGGAAAAGGCAGCCAGAGGGTGCGGAAAAGAGAAAACACAGGGTCGGTCATTTGATCTACAGCTTCTCAGTTGTCAGTAAAAGTCCCCCAAGCCTCTGGGTTTTTAGACATACTCTTCAGTGGGTTAGAAACGTTGATTCTCACCCTGGCCAGTTTGACTCAGTGGTTAGTGCATCGGCCTGTGGACCAGAGGGTCTCGGGTTCGATTCTGGTCAAGGGTAGGTACCTCGGTTGCGGTTCAATCCTTGTCCCTGGTTGAGGTCGTGCGGGAGGCAACTGATCAATATGTCTCTCTCACATCGATGCCCCCCCCCACACATACACTGTATCTGAAAATCAATGTAAAAATATCCTCAGGTGAGGATTAAAAAACAAATGTTGATTCTCTCAGCATTCTTTGGCAGAACCTCAGTCTGGATTGTGAGCGTAGTTTAGAAAGTCACAAAGCAGCAGCTTGGAGAACACTGTCAGCCAGTGAGGCTTTTGGATTATGGCTCTTGAAATCTAGAAATGCCAACTGAACTACGTTAGCACCTTATGAATCACAGTTCCTTTTTTAAAGTTTATGCTTTTCACCATTTGCACTCCGCATGTTTCGCTCTTCAGGCTTGAAGTTTAAGGCACAAGGATGTTTAAATACACTGTTAAACAGCTTGTAACACAGCCACGCGCCCGTGCCTCTTGAGTCCAGTTCTTGAACTGTGGCCTGGCTCTGCAGGACTGTTGGCTGCTGCTCCAGGACTGTGGGGAGGGGCCGCATGCTGGAAACTTGTGTCTGCTAACCCTCTCTATTCCTGTTCCTAGAGCGAGGCTGTGCTTGCCATGCGGAGAGTTCTCCAACCCTTGGCCGTTAAACTTAACTCACCCAAGATAATAAATATGCAAGCACTCGGAAAAGTCTCCAGTGCGGCTCTCAAATAGAATGGTTTTATTGTTGATATGTATTATCTCCACAGTAGTAGTAATCATCTAAATAGCAGCTCACTGTGTACCGGGCACTGTTCTAAGAGCTGTGGGGCCATCTATTATAATAGTCTCAGAGTTACTATGAAGTAGGCACTGTTCTCTGTCACACTGTAGAAATGAGGAAACTGAGGTTCAGAGATATTAAGTAATTTTCCCAAGATCACACTGCTAATGGCAGCAAAGCCAGGGTATGAAGCAGGTCAGTCAGATTCGAACCTGCTGTGATGCTTCTCTAACTCCCGGACCCCATGGGAAGTTGGTGAAGGGTGGTGTGCCCGAGGGAGCCCTCTTCAGAAAGACATTCCCTACAGGTTTGACCAGATGGGGGCAGGCGGCCCCCTCTTTATAGATGTGACCTGGCGCCCAACAGGAGACCCTGGCTCAGACAAGGAGACCTCGTCCATGACCATCGCCAGCACCGCTGTGCACTACTGCGGCCTGGAGACCATGCTGCACATGACCTGCTGCTGTCAGAGCCAGGAGGAGATCACGGGCCACCTGCGCAAGGCCAAGCAGCTGGGCCTGAAGAACATCTTGGCGCTAAGAGGAGGTGCGGGGCCAGCCCTGCCCTCTGGGTATCGCTTTCCCGAGGCCTCTTCTGTCCCTGAAATGGTCCTTTACTTCCCTCCGCGTCCCGCACTGGGCGCACTCAGGGTCCCATCCCTGCTGCGGGCATCAAAAGGCACTGCCCAGACGGAGCCGCCTCTTGACCCTGACGTGGTTCAGTCAGGAGTGTGTCTGGTGCCCGATAGCCCTCTGCCCTGGCTCCCTAGCTGCATCGATCACTGGTCGCACCCAGCTCTGGCCCGATCAAGAGTAGAGTTGTGGCATTTGTCCCTGGAATGAAAGTAGCTGCTTGTGCCTCTGGCCACAAGTGTGGGAAGAGGGCGCCCGATGGGCGGGGTCATGTGGCCTTGCGCTCCCCACCACGAGACTTCTCACTGGAGGAGAAAATTCTCACGGGTGGCGGGAGGCGAGAGCTCCAAGAGGGGGATGGTGAGCGGCGGTGTTGGCTGAGGGCAGGCACCCAGGTTGGGGCGGGCGGTGGGGAGGGCGGGGTGGGGTCTCAGATGCTCCAAGCTAGGCCAGCCCAGTGCCCGCAGAGTCAGCGCTTGGTACGAGTCTGACAGGCGGGGTGCTCTCTTCCCTCCAAGTGCTGTGCCAGGAAGAGGAGACACCAGCTCGAGTAACATGAGGGCTCTGCCTCCGAGGAGCTCATGGGCCTGGGGTGGGGGTGGGGAGAGGAACGGACAGGCTAGCTGGAGATCAGGGAGCCCCGGCGACTAACCTTCACCCTGCAGACCCCCTGGGTGACCACTGGGAGGAGGAGGAAGGAGGCTTCCACTACGCTGTAGACCTGGTGAAGCATATCCGCAAGGAGTTTGGTGACTACTTTGACATCTGTGTGGCAGGTGAGTGGCTGGAGTGTCCCAGTGGGTGGGGACTGAGGGAAGGAATGAAACGCTCAGAGAGGCACAAAGAGCTCCCTGCATTCAGTTCAGGGCCTGGTAGCCCAGTGCACTGAGGGCCTGAGCCTGTGCCGGAGGAGGGCGGGGCAGAGGTGGATTAAACAATGTCCTGGCTCACTCGCTGTCATCCGCTACCCGCCCAAGCTACCACCACCCCTGAAGTTTCTGTTTTTCTGCCTTTTCATGCTTTCAGCCTGTTTCCAGCCTGTTCTTCTTCTTTCAAACAAAAGAGGAATATTTATTAAGGGGCAGGGAATCTCAGAACCCAAGGTTAGGAAACAGAAACCAAGGCCCTCCCTGGCCAGTGTGGCTCAGTTGGTTGAGTGTCATCCTGTACAAGGAAAGGTCACCGGTTCGAATTCCGGTCAGGGCACATGCCCAGGTTGGGGTTCAATCCCCAATCGGGGTGCCTAAGGGAGGCAACCTATCAATGTTTCTCTCTCACATAGATGTTTCTCTGTTCCTCTTTCCCTTCCTCTAAATGGGTGTATATATATGTTTTTGTTTTTTTTTGAAAAATTTTGTAATCAAGGCCCTCATTCTCCCAGGGCCACAGAACCCCCACCTGTGTTTCCTGCTGCACATCTGCTCCTGAGGGCACCTAGTTGGTTCCAGCTAATAGCCCAGACTGATTGACAGGCCTCAATGTCAATTCCAAATCCTCAGGAGAGAGAATCAGAAAAGCTGAACTCTGGTTCCATTGGTAGAGCCAGGAGACAAGGTTTACCTGCTGGAAACGGATGGGGTGGCCTTCCCCCCTACCCCCAGTACCGAGGTTGGGCCACCAGCTTCTCCAGTGGGGGCTTGTATGGTGAGGCAGAGTGCCAGGGACACAGGAAGTCTGGGGAGTCATTGGCACATCATCTTGGCCTGACATTTTTTTCTCAAATATTTTGGGGGAAATCTTTTTTTTCCCCATTTATCTTCAGACAGAGCAGGAGGGAGAGAAGGAGGGAGAGAGAGAGAAACATTGACATGAGAGACACACATTGAATGGTTGCCACCCACATGACCCCAACCAGGGCCGGGGACAAACTGCAACCGAGGTACGTGCCCTTAGTGGGAACTGAACCTGGGACTCTCCAGTCCGCGGGCTGATGCTCTAACTGCTGAGCCAAACCGGCCAGGGCTGGGGAAAATCATCTTTTATATTCAAACCAACAAAGCCCCATTATGGCATAGTGTATCAAAGTGATCTGAACTTTAAAATAAGCCATGTAGCTTCAAGAAAATTACTTGTTGCAGGTGACTTCGGGCTTCACCTCAGGCCCCTTGTCCAAAGCAGCTTGGCTTCCCACCAGCCGGTCTCAGGCAGGGGAAGCCAGCGTCCTGCCTGCAGTTTCACTGAGGCCTGCAGTCTGCCCGTGCAGGCCGGGCCAGCAGTGAGTTCGGTCGTTTAGGAAGTGGTCATAGAGTTCCTGGAGCGAGAGGAGCCCAGGGGACCTCTGCCTCCACTCCCAGGCAATCCCGGAATCCGTCTTGGTGCCGCTGGAATGTGGGCATGCTGGATGCCCCGATGTTTTCATGCCCCAGGAGCTCGTTTTCTGTGGGGCTGCTTGGTCCGTTGTCAAAGAAACTTGAAGATGAATCTTTTTCTCCCCACGACGGACCTTTGGCCATTTAGCAACAGTTACCGTGTTCTCTTCCCTCTTTCCTTCAAGCAGGACACCTTCGCTTTCTTCCGTCTTCCTCACGTACCACGGCGTCTAGTTTTTCACGTCTTGGGCCGCTGAGCAGGTTTCATGTTGAAAGCGCTGCTTTGGCCTGTGTCTGGAGCCCAGCGCGGTGCCACACGTGCTGCCTGACTGGGCAGAGCGATGCCTTCTCCGTGGCTACGAAGCACAGGCCTGGTCTCCTGGCTGCTTGCAGGGGACACGGGGCAGCTCAGTGTGGGGAGTTTGGAGCAATTCTCCCCTCGTCTTGGGAGGGTGGCTCAAAGCCACCGCTCACCCAGGCCATCTCCAAGGCAAGGGGGCACATCAGTTGTGAGCCTAGCCAATCGCTGTTCCAGCCTGTCCATGCCGTGATGTTGGAAGGTAGGGGACCGAGTCCGGGACCATGGAGGTGGAGAACTCTGCTGAAGCTCTCTGATTTATTTTTAAAAAATTTTTTTCTTTATTGATTTTAGAGAGAGAGGAAAAGATAGAAAGAAACACTGATGAGTGAGAACATTGATTGGCTGCCTCCTGCATGCTCTCCACTGGGGGTTTGGCCCACAACCTGGGCATGTGCCCTGACTGGGAATCGAGCCGGTGACCTCTTGGTGCAGGGGTCAACGCTCAACCACTGAGCCACACCAGCCAGGCTGGTTTCTTCATGACTCACCTTGAGCAGGTGAAGCCAGCCTCTCCCTACTGTCATCCCTATTGCAGGTTACCCCGCAGGCCACCCTGACGCAGAGAGCTTTGCGGCCGACCTGAAGTACCTGAAGGAGAAGGTGTTGGCAGGAGCTGACTTCATCATCACCCAGCTGTTCTTCGAGGCTGACACATTCTTCCGCTTCCTTAAGGCTTGTTCCGAGATAGGCATTACCTGCCCCATCCTCCCCGGAATCTTCCCCATTCAGGTGAGGACCAGGGTTGATGGACCCCTCCCACCCCGTCCTCGAACAGGCGGGGGCCCTTGGTGAGGTGCTCAGTTCACGGTTAGGTTCTTTTTTTCTGCTCATCGAATTTCCTGTCAGATGTTCCTTGCAAAATGTTCTCACCACCCCATTTTGGTTACTTCTAACTTCCCCCCCAAAACAGCAACAGAACCTGACGGAGGGGCCTGTACTGTGGCTGACTGACAAGTGTCACTACACGGGAGTATTATAACTCTCACTCTAATTGTTCATTACGTCAGTGTTCCTCAAACCCAGATGTCATCAGAATCATTTGATAAGCTTTTTCAAAAGATGAGCTTCCAGATCCCATGTCTAGAAGTTCTGATTTAGTAGATCCGAGCTGGAGCCTGGGAATTTGTCCATTACGTCTTAAGTTTTGCAGGTGATTCTGATGACCCGTAAGGCTCGGGACCCCTGGGACTAGGGCTGGCTCGGACCGGCGCAGGAATGCTCTGGGCCGCTGCGGTCCCTGCAGCCTGGAAAGAGCAAGACCAGGCAGGGCCCTTGGACAGTGTGGCCTGCCTTTCCTGAGACTCTGTGTCGCACTGCCGCTGGCCAGGAGACCTGGTGGGGGGCAGAAGGGGGAGAAGTAGGGTGCGAGACGGAGTGGGACAGGGCTCCACAGCCCCTGTGTCTCGGACAGGGCTACCACTCCCTGCAACAGCTCGTGAAGCTGTCCAAGCTGGAGGTGCCGCAGAGGATCAAGGACGTGATCGAGCCGATCAAGGGCGACGACGAGGCCATCTGCAACTACGGCATCGAGCTGGCTGTGGGCCTGTGCCGGGAGCTGCTGGCAAGCGGCTTGGTGCCGGGCCTGCACTTCTACACCCTCAACCGCAGGATGGCCACCACCGAGGTGCTGAAGCGCCTGGGCATGTGGGCCGAGGGCCCCAGGTGAGGCCAGTGGCCCGAATTCAGGCCCAGGAGCCACAGAGGAGTCAGCGGGCAGGGACGTCAGAGAGAAGTCAGGAAGAGTGCACCCCAGCAGTGCTGGCCCCCACAGAAGTGCAGGGGGCTGTCTGTACCATGGCCAGTAGCACACAGGACTGCAGTCCCAGCGGGAAGTCCAGTGTTTGCAAATCAGATGGAAGAACCGAGGCTCAGTGGGTTCCTCGTCCCTGCTCCCTCTAGCCAGTCCCTTGCTCTTTCTGTCCCCATTCTCACCCAGGCGCCCCCTGCCCTGGGCGGTCAGTGCCCACCCCAAGCGCTGGGAGGAATCTGTGCGTCCGATCTTCTGGGCCTCCAGACCGAAGAGTTACATCTACCGCACCCAGGAGTGGGATGAGTTCCCCAGCGGCCGCTGGTGAGACCCAGGCGGTCCTTTGCATGCTTATCCGATCCTTGAGGGACGAGTCACGAAGGGCCCCTCGGTGGTGTGCGGGAGAGCTGTCCTGCACAGAGCCCGAGGTCAGGAGTATGTCTTGACCTCTGGGTACGTCTGCCAGGGGCAGTTCCTCCTCTCCAGCCTTCGGGGAGCTGAAGGACTACCACCTCTTCTACCTGAGGAGCAAGGCCCCGAGGGGGCAGCTGCTGAAGATGTGGGGGGAGGAGCTGACCAGCGAAGAAAGTGTCTTTGACGTCTTTGTCCACTACCTCTCAGGAGAGCCGAACCAGAATGGCTGTCGAGTGAGTGGTGCTGGGCTGGGGTCTCTGGTTACAGCCTCCACCCCGTCTCCCTGTGGACCCCCCCCCAGACTCCTCTCTCTGGTCTGGACATGGCTCCTCAGCCAAAGGAGAAGGGTGAGCTGGGAAGTCGCCCCTGGGGGCCCTGGAAGGGGCTCATGGAGGCAGAGCCAGACTGGGTCTCATGGGGCCCACGGGAGGGAGGGATCCAGGGTGCCAGATCCGACTGTCGCCCCAGCCCGGCTCACCCTCTCCCAGGTCACTTGCCTGCCCTGGAATGATGAGCCGCTGGCGGCCGAGACCAGCCTGATGAAGGAGGAGCTGCTGCGAGCGAACCGCCGGGGCATCCTCACCATCAACTCGCAGCCCAACGTCAACGGGAAGCCATCCTCAGACCCGGTTGTGGGCTGGGGCCCCAGCGGGGGCTACGTCTTCCAGAAGGTGTGCAGGGACACACCGGGCCACCCCACCTTGCGGCGCCACAGAGATGGGGACAGGGACCCCTCCTCCCGGGGGCCCCTTCGTTCCGAGTGGCAGTGGCCCAGAGCCCCGCACAGGTCAGACCTGGGGCAGGCCCTTTGACTGCTAGAGCTTCACCTTTCTCAGGTGGGGCACCATGTGCGGGGCCGAAACGTGGCAAGGCATGTGCAGCTTGGCACGTGGGAGAGCACGGGAGGCGTTCTCCAGTGGGAGGCTGCTCTCCCTGCTGGGCCGAGCCTGTCCGGGCTGCCGCCGCGGGAATGACATGCCGAAGCCCGGGCTCTGAGTCGGACCCGCTGTGCTGAGACCGGCCCGCTGGCCGTCACCAGCCCGGCCCGTCACTCACCTTCCCTGAGCTCTCTCATCAGGGAAGAGGGATCACAGGGCCCGTGTTACAGGCATCGTAGCAAATGAATTTAAATAAACTCCGCTTAATCTCCGAGACACAGCTGGTGCCCGAGAGGCCCTCAGTGTCAGTGAGTGGGGAGGGAGGCTGGGGGCAGGCCTGCCTCACCAGCCTTCCCTTGCCGAAGCGGGCTCTTCTACGGGCCTTCCCTGACGGAGCAGGTCCCTCAGACCTGCCCACCTGGGAAATGGCACTTACCTGCTCCAGCACGCCACCTTGTGGCCACCTCTAGTGCCGATGCCTTAAGTGTCCTGCCACACCTGTGTGCGTGGGTCCTTCCCTGGGGCGGTCATGGCCAGGCATCTGACTGGTGCCACTGAGTGCCCAGGAGGCGGCCAGCAGGGACCTGGGGTGTGACAGGTGCCTGCCCCCCCACAGGCCTACTTGGAGTTCTTCACCTCCAGAAAGACGGTGGAGGCGCTCCTGCAGGTGCTGAAGAAGTACGAGTCCCGGGTCACCTACCACATCGTGGACGTGAAGGTAGGCCAGCTCTGGGCAGATGGCACTCAGCAGGCAGCGTGCCAGCCCTAGGGCACCCACGGCGACTCTCCACTCAGCCAGCCCTGGCTGGGCCGGTGCAGGACACGCCTGCAGGTGGGGCCAGGCCCTGACTCGAGCTCCGAGCCTAGTGAGAGGGGCCCGTCCGTGGATAATTAGGACAGTCCAGTCCAGTAGGATGCTGGGGACCCAGAGCAGCACCCGCGCTGTAGGTCACAGGCGGCTTCCTGGAGGGTCCCCTGGCCTGAATCTTCACGGACAAGGAAGGGCGCTCCTGGGAGAGGGCGGGGCGTGCAGAGGCGTGGCCTGCAGGCTTGTGGGGGCTCTGCTGACGGGGGGCAGGGTGGGGCTGAAGTGTGAAGCAGGGGCCAGGTCCTCAGGGTCTCCATGGTGCTGCTTGGAATTTGGGCCTTCCCCCGAAGGCAGGAGGGGCTTCCCAGCAGTGCGGTGACTGGGCTCCTGGTTTTATTTTAGACAGGTCACAGTGGACAGCTGACGACTAAAGGGCCCCGGGAACACTAGAGTCAGAGGCCCTTGGGGTCATCTGAGTAGCAGAGAGAGGCCTGGCTGGGCTGGACCCGAGGGAACAGATTGGAGAGGAAGCAGGCGGAACCCGGAACCACTGGGTGTGGAGCCAAGTGAAGCCGAGAGGAGGAGGGAAATGCCAGAGAGAGAGAGAGAGAGAGAGAGAGAGACACACACGGCCTCTGGGTTTCAGGTTCACAGCAGGAGGAGCAGGTGCAGGGTGTGGAGCAGAGGGCTCCCTGGGCAATGAGGGCTCCGGTTGTCTTTGTCTCACCTGCTTTTACCTGCCCCCCCCCCAGGGGGAAAACATCACCAATGCCCCCGAGCTGCAGCCCAACGCTGTCACTTGGGGCATCTTCCCTGGGCGAGAGATTATCCAGCCTACAGTGGTGGATCCTGTCAGCTTTATGTTCTGGAAGGTAAGGGGGCCGGGAGCAGGCCTGGCCTGCCCACTTGGAACACCTTGGACAGGCCGTGTCGCTGGGTCCCCATTGTGTGGCTGGCAGCCTAGGTCCTCCGGGCTGCACCCTGACTCTGAGTCAGTTTATTTCTGGGCTGCGGGGTGGAAGGTGGCACTGGCAGTGGCCTTATTCTGTTCCTGGAGATGTCCTGTTGGGCTGTGGCAGAGCCTCTTGTGGCACTAACCTTGCCTGTGTCTGTGTGTGTGTGTGTCTGCGCCTGTGTGTCTGTGTCTGGACCTGTGTCTGTGACTACATCTGCATCTGTCTGTGCCTGTGTGTGTGACTGCGTCTGCATCTGTCCGCGTCTCTGTGTCTGTGTTCGTGTGCACGTGCAGGATGAAGCCTTCACCCTGTGGGCCGAGCAGTGGGGCAAGCTGTATGACGAGGAGTCCCCGTCCCGTATGATCATTCAGGACATCCACGACAACTATTTTCTCATCAACCTGGTGGACAATGAGTTTCCGCTGGACAACTGCTTGTGGCAGGTGGTAGAAGACACATTTGAGCTTCTCAACAGACCCACTTCACAATGAGAGGGAGACAGGCTTCACCACCCTGCACCCTGACATCCTTAGCCTCGGCCAGCTGTGTCCCGCCTTCCTCTTCCCCAGGACTGGTTCTCCTGGGGACCCGTCTCCATCTGTCTCCATGCGCTGGCCTCCGTTCCCCCACATACAATGACAGCTAGGCTGGTGTGATGCTTCCGGGCTCTGGCTGGACCTGTCAGCCCCATGCGGGAGGGAGCCTGGTGCTCCCTGCTCAGCTGGGAGATTTTGCTCTTTTGTGGGAAGCACCTCCATCCTGAAGGGGACCACGGTGGGTGGAACACTGTCCTCTCTGAGAAGGGGAGGAGACGTTACTGCTGACTGAGCCCTCGCACCAGGCAGCCGCTAGGAGCCCGCATGAGACTGCCAAGGGGACCCCCGGAAGATGGGCAAAGCAAACACTGACGGCGGGCCCTGGCGGCACTGCCGGGTAGCTGGGCACGGTGAGGGCGGCGCTCCCTCCTGCCTCCAAGGCACGGGCGGCTGGGCACTTCCTACTTGTAGCTGAAGGGCAGACACTACCCTGGCACCAGGCCCCTGGATGGGTCTGGGGCTGGAACCCCCTAATAAGCATTTCTTGCCACCGTCGACCAGAGCTCAGCTGGGTTTCCGCCTTTCTGCAATGCTGCTCTTTGAAACACTTGTCTCTGTTCTGGTGGCTCCAGGGATAAAGTAACTTAAGCGTTCAGGGTGTCTGAACCTGTGTGATGGTGGAACCCTCCACCTTCCCTTCCCCCTGCCTGTTGCCATCGAGGGCAAAGATGAGGTTCGCTTGAGCAGGGCTTATTTCTTCCCGGCTGATTTTCCAGGCAGGACCTCTCCCTGCCGGCTGCTCCTGTCCTGTGTCCCCCGGGATCTGCCTGCCTGCCACTGCTCCTCAGGAATCAGCCCTCCAGCCCCCCGCCCAGGGTGGAGACTGGCAGGTGCACACAGGCTGTTCTGTTCCCTGTCCCCATCCCTGCCTGCTGGCGTAGTGGAAGGAGGGGTGGGCATCCGAAGAGCAGCCTGTCAGCACGTGGCCCCCGCTTCCTGCCAGGCTGGCTGGCTGGCGAGCCAGAGCAGCAGTGAGGACTACAGCGGGCGTTTGTTTTATTGTCATCCAGAGCTCGTCCCTCCGTCACCAGGCTGTGGGGTGCGCGTCCGTGGCCTGACAGCCTGTACTCTCTGGACGCGGGGGCATGGTTTCTCCCTGGGAGGGCTGGCTCAGCTCTGATTTCGTCTCCATGGCAACAAATCGCAGCTGCCCTGGGCCCTTACTCCAGCTCAAGTCCACCACGCGGGCGTGGGCAGCTTCCAGCCTGCTCCCAGGCTCCTAATCCCACCTTACTCAGGGGTCTCAGGCCGCTGGTGGCTCCTCCTCAGGCTCCTGGCCGCCAGGTTCTGGTGCCTCTTCTCAAAGGCCTGGAAGCAGGGAGTGGAGAGGAAGGGTGTTTTTTTATCTTCACCTGAGGACATTTTTGCATTTACAGTGATACCTCGGTTCTCGAACATAATTCGTTCCAGGAGGATGGTCGAGAACCGAATTGTTTGAGAACCGAAGCAATGAAACCAATAGGAAAGCGGGACTCCACAAAGCGTGACTCTCTCTCTGCACTCACACTGATGACGCAAGCAAGGCGCGCTGGGCCGAATGAACGCCATTCGGCTCATCTCGGAAGTTCGAGTTCCAAATATTTGTTCGGATTCCGAGACAAAAGTTTCTCGAATCTCCATTTGGTCGAAAACCGAGGCGTTCGAGAACCGAGGTTTCACTGTATCTTGAGATAGAGCAGGAGGGAGAGAGGGAGGAAGAGAGAAACATCTACGTGAGAGAGACACATCGAGTGGTCGCCACCCATACGACCCCGGGACGACGCTCTGACGCTCTAACCGCTGAGCCAAACCGGCCAGGGCGGGAGGAAAGGTTCGTTAGCTCCCTCCTGGGCCTGTGCTGTTTGTGCCCAGCTCCTCCTGTCCCTGGGGGAACAAGAGGCCCCTCCCTCTGCCCCAGGCCCACGTGCCAAGGTTCAGAATAGATCTGACTTGTGAGCTGGGAAGCTGTGCTCAGAGCAAATTCGGGAAGGGACACGCAGGGACCATACCCTACAAGGGCTGTGTGAGTGGCAGCTGGGCCCCAGGCCAGGCTTGTTCCCAGCTGGGTGACGGGCAGGCCTGGGCTGGGAAGGAGGCTACCAGCTATATCAAGGGCTCCAGAATCCAAGCTGTTTAACCAAACTGACCCTCCCTGAAAATGAAGGGGTCCTGGGTGGCAAGCAGGGAGGGCCTGTGGCTCAGAAATGTCCAGGTGTGGCGCTGGTTTTGGAAGGACCTGCTGGAGTTTGGGGGTGCCCCACAGTCCCTGAGAAAGGACCCAGCCCTCGTCTGTTGCTGTAGCTGCCGGGCCACCTGCAGCTGCACCACCCGCCGCCACGTTCGCCAGGCCCATCTCAGGTGTCTGAGCCTTGGGGACAGTGGTGAGAAGGCCCCTAAGCGGGCCGACCGCTGCCAGGGCACTGTGCTCCCCGTAGCCCCCGTCCCCCTGGGGCACTGAAGGGCATGTGGCCAGGAGGGTGTCATCTGAGGTGTGTGTACAGTACAGGTTGCAGACTGAGTAGCTCCAAAGACCGCACTTTGAGAGCCTTAGTTCTAGGAGTCAGGATTGAAACAGGATGAGATGGGAAACCGATGTGACACCCCACTCACTAGCAACCATGCCAGCTCCTCTGCCCCTTGGGCATCTACCCAGCGCTGCCATGTTGCTGCCAGGCGCCTGGCCTGCTGGGAGCCCTGGAGCCGGCGGAGCAGTGCCTCAGGTGCCACCGCCGCAGGTGTTTCCTCCTGGGGGTGGGGGAAGAGGCCCTGTGCGCATCCTGATGGTCAAGAGCATCGCGACCCCTTCATGGCCAGGAAAAGGGGTAGAGCCAGGGGCCTGAGTCAGCTCCTCCGGGGTCCTGCTGGGACGAGCACTGGCCAGGGAGGCCCAGCCCTGGCCACGGCTCAGGCAAGCCCCTCCGCCCAAGTCCCCCAACCCCACCCGCTCCACGCATTGCTTACCCAGCCACCTGCTATCCACCTGGCCCTGGCCCTTGGGGGCACTGGTCTCAGAGCTGCAGTCCCCTCCTGGTCCTGGAGGGGCCGGGCCCGGGCCAGCAGGCCAGTCCAGGCCACTGCATCCGGAGCTGGACGGCACTGTCGCCTGGAGAGGGGATCGAGTCAGAGAGGTTAACACGCTCGTTCAGGAGGGCAAACCCCCTGGTCTGCTCCTAGAAGTTGAGCACTCCTGGAGGGCTGAGCTACCAGTGGGCTGAGTGAGCACTGTGCCCCGCCCCCCCACACCTGCCCAAGCCCCCGGCCCTGGGCTGCTGCAGCAGAGAAATGACAGGTGGGGCAGGGCGGAAGGTGCTGTTTCCGGGAGTGGCTGAGAGGCTCCGGAAGAGAAAAGGGAATGCAGCTAAATGCAGAGGACGAATTTGCCAGGGAGCGGGAAGCTCACTTCCAGGCTCTTGAGGGCTGCTGACCGGTCACCCCTGTACTCCAGACATCGTCCTTCCCGGGGGCAGATCTTACCCGGAGCCTCCTACTTGTGTGGGCACATGTGGAATAGTTCACGTGCTCCCACACGGGGTGGATCAAAGACAGCTACCACGCGGAGAGAGCTTACCTGTGCCAGGCTCAGTCTGTAAGGTGGGTGTTACTCTCCCACGAAAACTCGACAAAGTTAAATCACTTGCCTGAGGCCACACCTCTCAGGAGTGGTCTGACGCTGGGATCTCACAGGGACTCGGCCATCACGGGATGGCACTACACCTGCTCATGGTGTTGGGTGAGGGCAGAAACCAGGGGTCTGGGATTCAGCGCCCTAGTTACCATTCTCAGCACTGACTTTCAGTTTCTACAAGCCTCAGTTTCTCCATCAGGATTGGGTTCCTTGCCTGCCTTTGCTGACAGGAACGGAATGCAAGTGTTTACATACATACTCTGGAAATAAAATTGTCTGGCAGCACAGATCTAGAAATAAAATACCCTGCCCAGCTGGCTCAGTGGACTGAGCATCATCCCATGGACTGAGAGGTCTGGGTTGGATTCCCGGTCAGGGCACATGCCCGGGTTGCGGGCTTGATCCCCAGTAGGGGGCGTGCAGGAGGCAGCCCATCAATGTTTCTCTCTCTCTCCCTTCTTCTCTCTAAAAAAAAATCAATAAAAACATATTTTAAAAAATACCCTGAGCCCCCAGAATCTGCTGTAGCCACAGCCCAAATCAAATAAGTGGATTCTGCGAATAGCCAGTCAGTCCCTCTCCATTCCACTAAAAACAAAGCCAAACACTTCATCTTTTGTCTTAGACTCTTAGTCCATTAGCCAGCTACTTCCTGGCACTCTGAAACAGGATTCTTGATGATGTCAGTTCATCTTCAGGAACAGTGTGCTCTTGCCAGTACCTTGGGCTACGTGCCCCACAGGGACACATCCCTGGCCAAGCAGGGCCACCTCTTGTGCCTGACTTTCACTGAGGTCTCCTCCCTCCTGCGGGGCCGTCCAGCTTTTGCCACCATTTGTTAGTCTCAGAACTAACTGCTTCTGGTCTAGAAGTTATCTTTGGGTAGAGAGTGTTATGCAAGAGAAATTTTTTCATTCATATTTTCCGGTTTTTCTGTAATGAGCATGTTTTATTTTCCATTTTTAAAAAAACCCTGGCCGGTTTGGCTCAATGGTTAAAGTGTTGGCCTGTGGACCAATGAGTCTCAGGTTTGATACTGGTCAAGGGCACGTACCTCGGTTGGGGTTCATCCCCGGCCCTGGTTGGGTTGTGCAGGAGGCAACCAGTCGATGTGTCCCTTCCATGTTGATGTTTCTTTCTCTCTCTCTCCCTCCCTCCCTCCCACTCTCTCATGATAAATCCTTGGCTGAGGATTAAAATAAAAAACATGAGCCCAGCTGGTGTGGCTCAGTGGTTGAGCATCGACCCATGCAGCAAGAGGTCGCCGGTTTGATTCCCCGTCGGGGCACATGCCTGGGTTGTGGGCCTGATCCCCAGTGGGGGGCATGCAGGAGGCAGCCAATCGACATTCTCTCTCATCGATGTTTCTATCTTTCCTTCTCCTTCTTCTCTCTCAAAAATCAATAAAGAAAGAAAAAAAAACTTGACAAAAAATTGCTACTGTGCCCATATCCCTATCTTGATGCTAGACTGCACCACGACAGAGAATGACTTCAGGGGCCTAACAGACGGTGACCCAGCATTGGTCCTTGCAGCAGACCTGAGCTGGGTTGGCACTTGGTAAATGTTTGCTGACGGACAGGAGTGGTCTGTTTTCCAGAGCCAGGAGGCCCAGAACTAGGGAGGGGTGTTGTCCCCAAGGCTGCTGGGCCCCTGGGGAAGCATCCAGCCATGCCTGCCACCGTGGGCCGAAATAAGATGCTTCTGAGGCCCCTGGCCCTCTGGTCATTTTTGGATCTCCTATTCCACCTGGACCCCACCTCACCTGCTTCCAGGGGGCTACAGTGTCCATCAGCACCAGGAGGCGCCCTCTGCTGGCCAGCCTGGGCCACTGCCTGAGATCGGCGCTGGGCCAGGGGTGGGCTGTGCCCGTCTCCGGGGCCTCCTTCTGCGACTCCAGCCACACTCTGAGCAGCGCTGTCCGCCACTGGGCCCAGTGGGTCCGCAGCAGGTGCCTGTGCCCAGTCTGCTGGAACTGGGTGATGGCGACCCGCTGGACACGGCCCTGGGCGGTTGACTGGGCCCAGGCCTCCAGGACCCTGGGGGACAGGGAGGAGCCCACACCCAAGGCCGTCAGGGCCAGGGCTCTCTGCAGCTGTAGGGAGCCCTCCCCAGCCCTGGCCAGGGCCTGACGAAGGGGATCTCCAGTCAAAGGCCAGAGCCCTGCTCCCACCCCCCACTGCTCTGCTGGAGAACACGGGGTTTAAATGGGCATCGAGGACAGCAGAATGTCACACAACAGGGACAAGTATCCCATTCCTAGGAAGGACAGTCCTGCCAGCTACACTTTGCCTCTCCCGTCCTCACAAGAACCCCATTTACTGAGCACCTGCTGTGTCTGTGTCTGGCCCTGTTGACGTTCGTTATCTCTAATCTCTGGGCCACCCTGCACAGCAGGCCTGTTACTCCTTCGGCCTTTACAGTTCGATTTCCCCAAGCGGGTCACACGGCTGGGAGAGCAGAGCCGGCATCTGGCCCGAGGACTGCAATGCCAGGACCACCTCTCCCTATCACCCCAAGCCTCCAGAGCCCTGGCCGTAGCCACCAGATACCCCCGACCCCTGCCCCAAACCAGCTCCAGGCCCAGGCTGGAAGCACAGTGAGGGGCTGCCCTCAGGCCACGGGCACCCACCTGGCGCTCAGCTTCCGGGCAGCATGGGCTCGGCTGAGCCGGTGTAGGCGGGACTCATGCTCCCACAGCGTCCAGCACAGGGCCACCTGGGCCTGGGTCCGAGCTCTCTCTTCTGCCGGCTGGCGGGCCTCACAGCACTGGCCTAGGGCCACTCGCCACGCTACAAAGGCCTGCTGGGCCTGGGCCCCCGGCACGTGGCTTCTCCAGCGAGCGACGGAAGCCTGGGCCACGCGACGCTCGTGTGTCTGGGCTGCGGTCACTTGGGCTTCGCACCACACGGCGCAGGCGGCCCCCAGCACCCGTCTCCTCGGGACATCCTGGAAGGCTCGATGCCAGACGGGGAGCATCCCTGCGTCTCTCGCAGATCTAGCCCAGGCCTGGGAATGGCTGCAAAAGGGGGGCAGCGGAGGGGCCCAGCTGCCGTCACAGTGAAAAGTCAGTTATTCAAAAGTACACCCGCAGCCCACCCCCAGAGTCCTACAGGTTACACAGTTTCACACACAACCAGGCCTGCGCCTTATAAACCAAGGGGCTGATGCGTAACCGGGAAAGTGCGGGCTTTCGTTTGGGGCCCGGTGCCCGCACCAGCTCAGGGCAGCTGCTGCCCAGGCCAGACCCACTGATGGACGGCCCCTGCCTCCCCTCACGAGCCCGCTGTGGGCACAGTCCCCCACTCCTGAGGGGCCAAAAACTGCCCACGGCTTCAGATGCGGAAGCACAGGGTCGGCGCTTCGAGGCCTCTGTTCGCTGGCTGTGGGGTCACTAAATGCCTGCGAGTTTGTTTTTTATTTTTTATTTGTTATACTTCTTCCTAAATGTGTTTTTGGAAGGAAGAGACAGAAGCATCGATGCGAGGCCCGATGCGCGGAGCACCGGCTGCGGGTCTGATCTGCGTGGCGGGAGGAAGGAAGCGCCACCCGCGCCCGTGCTCGCAAGCGTAATGGGCTGTGTGTGTCACTAGCACACCTCGGTTCTTAAGACTCAGCCTCCTTGGGCTGCTGCATACGGAGTTCCCCTGCGCTGACTCCCCAAACAGCACGTGTGCTGGGACGCAGGCTACGGTGGATATCGGAGGGGTTCATTTCGGCGTCTTAATTGTACCCTCTGAAATCAAAGGACTGACCTGGCCAGGAGGAAGCTGAGGTGGGATGAGGGGCTGAGCCACCCCCACCTCCCCCACGAGCCCGTGGAAGGTTGTGGTCATGGTTGTAAGCTCCAGGCTGCGGTCCCCCTGCACGTCCCACGTTTCCCAGGCCGCAGGCCTCCAGCCTGGACTCCCCTGGAGCTGCAGAGCCACCCCCTGCTTTTTCCAGGGTGGGGGCGACCCTCAGCCTCCACTGCCAGGCCCACCCACCTGCGCAGCAGGAGCTGCTCTGGCCTGGCCGCCCTCTGCCTCCTCCGCCTCCGGTGAGCCGCCGCCTGCCGCCAGCTCTGGAACAGGGCCCCCTGCAGGCCCTGGCGGTGAGCCCGCAGCCACCGCTGGCACTGTTCCCGCAGGAACTGCTGCCCTGTGGCCAGAGAGGCGCTGCAGTCCCACTGGGTGCTCCTCCTGGCCTCCCCCTGGCCCCGGTGACTATGGGCCCTGCTCAGCCAGACCTCTGCCCTTACCCAGGTGGAACCAGAGGAGGCTACTCTAACTGTCTTGGTTAAAATGCTTTGGTTAACCCTGGCTGGTTTGGCTCAGAGGTGGGAGCATCGGCCTGCGGACCAAAGAGGCACATACCTCGGCTGCAGTTTGGTCCCCAGCCCTGGTTGGGGTCACGTGGGAGGCAACCAATCGATGTGTCTCTCTCACATCGATCTCTCTCTCTCTCTCTTCCCCCTCCTCCCTCCCTCCCTCCCTCCCACTCTACTTGAAAATCAATGGAAAAAATAATAATAAATTCATAAAATGCTTGGGTTACAGGTGTCCTACTGGTGACCAGGCCACCCAACTCATAGAGTTGTTTGGTTTTTTAAATTTTCTTGGTGATGTTTAGGAACCCTGAGGATTTCATAAAAATCTAGATTTCCAGCCTTTCTTCAGAAAAGTAGGTCTGGCAACACTGGGCCGGCCTTCCTGGGCAACTGGACACTTGGGCGGAGGAGCAACGGCCTCCCGTGGGGAGCACAGCTTTCCAGAACCGCCACGTCCCCACCCGGAGCCCACTGAGCTAGGCGTCGGGGCAGTGGGACACCTCTGAAATGTGCCCAGGGGTCCCTGCCTTCTGTGCTGGGCTCTGAGGGTGCTCTGACTCCCGACAGCCAGGTGATGATGACGAGGATGAAGATGAACAAAAACCCTGCTAGGAGCTGGGTTCTGAGCCCAGCATGTTGGTGGATTTTCTCACAGGATCCCCACAATCCCCGTGAGGTGGTACTGCTGTTATCCCCGTTTTACAGGTAAGCAAGCTGAGACTCAGGTTAAGTAGCTTGTTGTTTCAAGTCCACATAGCCAGGGAATGGAAGTGGGGACATGAACCTGGGACCTGTGCCCCCAGATCCTGTCCTGCCACCCCGGTCCGGGACGTGCCCTGTGGGGGTCCCACTGCTGGGCTCTGTGCTGGCGGATATGGACTCCAGGGTGTCCCCGATGGACCCTGCCCTTCACCCTTGGGGCCCGTCCCAGTCCCCCACTCACTCTGCCAGCAGGACGGCCAGCGCTGCAGGGCATCTCGCACGGGTCTCGGGCCTTGCTCCCCGGCCCGCTGCTCTGCCTCCCGCCTCTGCTCCAGCCGCCGCCGCCACAGGCCCAGCGCAGCCCTGCGGCTCCCATCGCAGGCCCAGAGGGCAGCCAGCTCTCTCTGAGCCCCTTGGGCCACTGCCCAGTGGCTCCAGCTGAGGAGGACGCTGGGAAAGGGAGTGTCCACCCTGAGGATGGTCACTGCCATGGGGGGCCAGACCGGCCCACCCCTCCCACAGCAGCAGCGAGGGGGGTGGGGCGACTCTTCTCCCTGTTTGCACCTTGAGGGAGAGTCGTTGCTGGGGGCTGGAGGACTGGAACACTACTCAGAGGGTCGCGGCGCCAGGTGATGGGGAAAGCTGGGGCCCCGGACCTCCAACGCCAGTTGTGTACTCAGCCTCAGTGCTGCACGTCGCTATGGATGGACTGCGTGCCACGTGCCAGGCGCTGTGCTGGGGGATGCACGTGTCCCCGCTGAAGTGAGTACTGTTATTACCCCCACAGACAGGCTGATGGAGGCACAGAGAGGTTAAGCAACTTGCCCAAGATCGACAGCCAGGGAGGGGCAAAGCTGGGATTAGAACCCAGGCAGACTGACTCTGAAGCTCTGTGCTGTGAGGGACTCCATGAATGAACCACAGCTGTGACATCTCTGAGCGAGAACAGCCCTGCTGAATGCCGCGCCACCATCTCCCTGCATACTCCTCTCAGGAGGGCTGGGGGTAGGAGGGCAGAAGGTGAGAGGACCTGAGTCTGGCGGCCAACTGACTGGGACATGAGAGAGGAGCCCTCTGGGGTGCAGACCTCAAGGGGATGCTGCTGTGAAGGTCACGGATTGAGGGGAGCAGAGCCGGGGGCAGCACGGCTCGCCCGTCCTGGGCAAGGGTCCCTACCGCCTCCGAAGGGTGTGCTGCTGCCACCTGGCCACACGCTGGGACCGCTGAGCCCGAGCCTGCCCGAGCAGAAGGCACCGCGCCCCCTGCTGCCGCCCTGCTGCCCACAGAAAGCTCCGCCGAAGGGTGTCCAGGAGGGCGGGGGCCCTGGAAGCCTGGGGAAGCGAAGTGGAGTCCTGGGTGCCCAGCCCTGCCTCCCCTTACCCCCTCCTCCCACCTGTCCCCTACCCACCCTGACCTATCCCAGCCCTGCCCCTCACCTTGTCCAGTGAGCTGCGGGGTGTGTTGCAGCCCAGCGAGCCCTCTCCTCCAGGTATGCTGCCCAGCGGTTCTAGGGCCCAGATGGTCCTGGTACTGTCTGATGGGGTACCCCGATCCCATACCCTCGAGTGCCACGCCTGCAGGATGCGCCTTAGCATCCGATGCTGCATGCCCTGGCAGAAGGAGCTATAGGAAGGGGGCAGGTGAGTCCCTGGGCCCCAGCCCCAGCCCCTGGTTAGAATGACTGCCAAGCAGGGGCTACTCCTAGCCAGGCCCCTGGGAAAAAGCCGAGCTGGAAGGTGCTGCCATGTGCCAAACACCTGGCCAGAGCTCTGCCGGCCGCACACCAGGGGCTCTAAGAATATCGATGCCCACCAGGTCCCACCCTCAGATTCCCATCTAACGGTCTGGGTGTGGCCCGGGTTTCCTGACTTTTCCAAAGTTCCCAGGGTGACTCTCCTGAGCAGCTAAAACCAAGACCACCACCCCACCTGTGCCGATCACCTGGATGACCCTTGACAGACTCCCGGGGCGGGTGGGGGCCATGCAATTGAAGAGGGATGGAACTGGGCCCCAGGTCCAGGGCCCCCAGCCTCAAGAGGCCACATGCATAACCACACTAGTACTTCCGCCTCACTCAGTAATAAAGATAGGGAAACTGAGGCCCAGGGGAAGGCATTTCCTCAAATTCCAAACAGCAGCAGACCTGGGATCCAAACACTCATCTCGGGTCACACGGCAGCAAAGATATGCCACAGGGAGATACCGACTGTGCCCTGATGCCCAGAGGATGGACGGGGGGTGGGGGGCTTCGTTCTGAAGGATCACAGTGAACTGAGTTTCCCTGGAGTTCCAGGGGTGCATTAGAAGAGACTGAGGGTCCAAGTGGACCACATACGTGTGGGACTGACGGATGTCAGGTGTATGGCTTTCAAGGACAGATTTCTTAACCCTGCAACTGCTGGCTTACATTCTTTCTAATGTCCCGTGAGGGAAGCTGGCCCCTCCGGACCTCGCCACTCCCCTCGCACAAAACCATCAGCCTGGGCTCTGAGCCCCACTTTCTTGCTCGTGATTCACAGTGTGATCTAGAGCAGGCTGCTCGACCACTCAGCTTCAGGTTCTCTAGCTGCACAGTGAGGCAAACGGGGGCAGGGGGGTAAGAGGCTCCTTCACCTATTCAGTTACAGTGTTTATTCCGCGCCGGCCACAGGCTGGGCACCTGCAAGGTGCTGGGAGACAGAGGCAAGGAGACAGATACAATTCCTACCACCAGCAGGCTCCCACCTAGCCGGGAGATGGGAGAGAGGTGCCGGAGATGCTGGGGAGGGGGAGGAGCATTAACCCAGCCTCCCCATCAAGTTCAGCCATCTCGGTAGGAGCGTGTCTTCCCATACCTCTGCTTGCTCACTATCTCAGTGCCCCTGGCTGCCTCTCCTGGTCCCCCCACCATGCTGTTACAGGCCCCAAGCTGGAGCCCCTGGGAGGTGTGGGATGTGGCCCATTCCCCCGGGACACCCCTCCCGGTGCTGAGCACTGCCATGTGCGCCCCGTCCCCCAGGCCCAGCCCGGCCACCAGCCCCTGGACACCTACTTGGCCCGCTGGCGCTGGGCGAGCCTCGCCTTCCAGAGCAGCGGCACCGGGTGGAAGGCCAGCCTCGGGCCTTGCCCCTGGGGCAGCCCCTGGGCCTGCGCCACCCACCCCAGGCCATGGGAGGTGGCCCCTCCAGGGGCTGAGCTGCAGAGGGCCATGTTCCCTGAGAAGCAGTCAGGAGACAAATCAGCCATGTCCCCAGTGACCTCCCTCTGCCCAGAGCCACTGGAGACTGCTGCCTCAGGCCCCCTTATGAAGGCTGCCCTCACGGGCGCTTCACCCTCCCACCACCCCCAAACCCTCCCCTCCAGAGCACCTCAAAGATCCATCTTCCCCTGGCAGGGTTTGGTGGGGGCAGAGGCCATGTGTGCCACTCACCCCAGGAGCTTCCCGGGAGCAGGGACCACATCCCTTCCTGGAGGAAGATCAACAAAGTCTCCTGCTTAGAGGAGCTCATGATGGGAACAGGTCCAGCTGAGGCAGCCCATTCCAGTGACCCGTTCTGGACCCTCCCAGGTCCACCAGGCTGCACCCCAAAGAAAGGTCCCACTTCCATTGCCTCCCATTTCAACAATCCATAATTCAACGTGGCCCCCTGCAGGAGCTTAAGGGACACTGTGTGCTGGGCTGGGAGAAAGAGGGCCCCCCAGTCTGATACTTGCTCACCCACCTTCTGCGGGCAGAGGGACAGCTGAGTCAGCTTTGCCCCACCCGCTGCCCGGAGCTGCTTCATCCACATCCACTGTCTCAGGCACATCCTCGGGGCTCCCATCTGGTCAGCCCTGCGCTCCTGATACTGGGCCCCGCTTCTCCCCAGCTGCTGCCAGGCCCCGAAGCACCTGGGAGAGCCCAGAGAAAGGGCAGGCGCTAAACTCCGAGACTGCGGCTACAGCAGCCTGCCACGTGCCGGACTCACTCCTTGGGGAAGCCACGTCACCTCTCTGGGCCTCAGCGTTCTCATCTGTGAAATGGGGCTGCTGCAAGGACTTGACACCATCACCTCCGGGAGCCTGGATGGCCTCAGCAGCCTCCTGCCTGGCCGCCCCATTCACTCTTGGCCCCTCCAGTCAGTTCCTACTCGGTAACCAGTGGTTTCTTTCGAATCTCAAATCAAATCATCTTACTCCCCTGCTAAAATCCTCCAGTGGCAGCCTCCTTGCCTGTATGATAGTTTCAACTCCTTCCCAAACCTGCAAGGTCCCCCACACACCTTACCAACTTCATCTCAAACCACCCCCGGCGCCCTCCGCCCATACTAGCAGGGCTGCAACTTGACTGCTCTTCTTGGAGTTTTCTGAGCTTTGCTGCCCCGGGCCTTTGCACATGCTGTTCCCTCTGCCTGGCGCTCTCATCTGCTCTCCCTCCACTAGCCAACTGCTCATCCTTCACGCCTCCGCTGAACTCTGACCGAGGTCAGCCCCTCTGTTACAAGTTCTCATAGAAAACTCTATCGGGCCTGGCCGGTGTGGCTCAGTGGTTGAGCGTCCATCCATGCACCAGGAGGTCGCTGGTTCAATTCCCAGTCAGGGCACATGTCCAGGTTGTGGGCCCAACCCCAGTGGGGGGCATGCAGGAGGCAGCCAATCCATGTTCTCTCTCATCAGTGTTTCTCTCTCTCTCTCCCTCTCCCTTCCTCTCTAAAATCAATAAAGAAAAAAATTATTATTATTATTATTTTATCCTTACCCGAGGACATTTTTCCATTTTTTGTTCAGATAGAGTGGGAGGGAAAGAGAGGAAGAGAGTGAGAGAGAGAGAGAGAGAGAGAGAGAGAGACATCGACGTGAAAGGGACACATCGAGTGGCTGCCACCTGCATGACCAACCAGGGCTGGGGACAAACTGCAACCGAGGTACATGCCCTCAGTGGGAACTGAACCCGGGGCCTCTCTGGACCGCAGGCCAATGCTCTGACCGCTGAGCCAAACCGGCCAGGGCAAGAAAAAAATTATTTAAAAAAAACACACAACAAAATTCTATCGGGGGATGCAATCAGAAAAATGCAGACAGCAGGCAACTACGGGACAAGCTACCCTGGTTTCTTCAACAGATAAACTGCAGGGAAAAAAATTCAGGGGGGGGCCATCGCTTACACAGACCTTAACGACTTGCCAACCAATCCAGCAGATGGACCTTATTTAGATCCCAATTCAAACAAACTGTAACAAGATGCATGCTTGTGAAACAATCGGCAATGTGAATGCCGACCAGATACTTGCTGGTGTTAAGGAATTATTGTTCATCTTCCAGGTGTGGGCGTGGCCTTGTGGGCAAGTCGTGCAAAAGAGGACCTATCTTTCAGAGATGCTACAGAAATATTTATGGATGAAATGCTATGCCTGGGTTCACAATAATGTAGAGGGGGAAGTAGATGGGGTACATTTGAAAGAAGATTTCTCAGGAGGTGATTTTCTGGAAGTTGGGTGATACACAGGTGTATTAACCATTTTCTTTCCTTTTGTGGAAGATAAAAATGTCCCATAATTAAAAAGTTAACAACAAGGAAAAAAAACTCTTATAGATCTGTGTTCCTTCCCTTCACAAAACTGAACTCAGGTGGTCTTCACATACACCCCTTGTGACCACTAATTTCCTGTCTGTCCCCCACCTGGTCGCGGGTTCTATATGGGGCAGGTGCCGGGCGGCACTCGGCTTTAGTTATACTAAACGCCAGCTCCTGGGGGGTGTCTAGCAGGTCTCAGGCTCTCAGTAAATGGTCGCTGTTTTCATTTCTTAGTTCATCTTTGTCTCTCAAGACTAGAAGGAGTCACGAACTCAAAGGGCATCTCCCAGCTGCATCCCACCGGCCGCCTCAGGGAAGGGGACCCCCACTCCCAGCCCTCCCACTTCCACCTACCTGCGGAGGCAGGCTCTCTGGGGCTGGGGGGCCAGTGGGGCCACCAAGGCTGCATCTGCAGCGGGAGAGCAGCGGGCCTGGGGGGGCCTCCCCATGCTCTGAGTCAGCGTGGCCCCGGAGGCCTCTCTCCGGACCCCCTTCTCCCGCCTGGCCCATTCCTTCTGGTAGCACCACAGGAGGAAGGCTGTAAAAGGGGATGAGAGAGGGAGTCGGGGGGAGTCAGGGTCAGGAGGGCCACCGACGCCTGGGACGCCAGCTGTGTGACCTCCAGCCGGTCGCTCCTCATCTTTGGGCTTGTTTCCCCACGAGTGAATGCCGTCTAAGGGGCTTTCCCGGTCTAACACTCAAGTTTTGGCTGAGCCTGTACCAGCATCAATGGCATACAAATCTCATACTGTGCATCTTTGAGCTGGTCACTTAATTTCTTTTTTTCCTTTTTCTTTCTTTATTGATTTTAGAGAGAGAAGAAGAGAAAGGAAGAGAGAGAGATAGAAACATCGATGAGAAAGAACATCAATTGGCCACCTCCTGCATGCCCCCCACTGGGGATTTGGCCCACAACCTGGGCATGTGCCCTGACTGGGGATCAAACTGGCGACTTCTTGGTGCATGGGTCGATGCTCAACCACTGAGCCACACTGGCGGGGCAGGTCACTTAATTTCTTTGTGCCTCGGTCCTTCTCAGTAAAATGGGCACAATGCCCTGCCGGGGTCACCATGAGGCTCAAATGAGATGGTGCCTGGGAAGTTGCCAGAGTAGGTGCTCAGTAAACACTTATACACTCAGGTCCCCCTGCCCTGCCCTGTCGGGGGGCTCAGCCCTGCCCACCTCCGTCTGCTCCACTTTCCCAGGGCCCCACATCTCACCAGCCAGACGTTGCAGGGCCTGCAGGATCTGAACTCTCCTGTCTCCTCCATCTGGTCTCGGCCCAGAACACAGTGGGATCGGCCGAGGTCCTGCCTCTTCCCTCAGACTCCCTGGACTGAGAGGGAAGTTGCCCAGAGAGAAACTGATGCCCAGGGCTAAGGAAGGGCACACGACCCAACCTGTCCCCCTCAGCCTGGGCCAGATGCTGCCTGCCCGCAGGAGCCAAGGGCCCTGGGCCACCCGGCCTCTTCCAGGAAGTTCACGCGTACCTTCCCTGACCACACAGTGATGTGGGAGGGGATTCTGCTTTTGCTTCATTCTCTTCCTTACTACTTGGATTTTTAATACAAACATGTACTAGATAGATATTATTTTTTAAAGTATTTTAAAAATTAAAACTAAGAACAAAAACAATATATCACGGCAGTGGAAAATTGAGGAAGTAAAAAAATAGCCAACTTTAACTCCAGTTTTACAGAGATAACCACTAAGCACTATTTGCATTTTAGTGTTTTGGGGGTTGGGGAATAAAATATTTATTTTTAAGAGTTGTAAGATACACATAAAATAAACTTACCATTTTTTTTTATAAAAAAATACTTTTTCTTTATTGATTTTAGAGAGAGAAGAAGGGAGAGAGAGAGGGATTGGGCCCACAACCTGGGCATGTGCCTGACCGGGAATCGAACCGGCGACCTCTTGGTGCATGGGTCAATGCTCAACCACTGAGCCATAAAGGCCAGGCTAAATTGACCATCTTAACCATTTTGAAGTGGACAGTTAAGTAGTGTTAAGCCCTTCATATTACTGTGCAACATTTTAGTATTTTTCTTTCTGGTCTATTTTTAATGCACTGTTTTAGGTGCATAGAAAAAATATCTTAGATACTATTCTTTTTTCTTTTCATTTAACATTGTCACAACCATTTCTCCTTGTCATCAAAAATTCTACACAAATATCCATAAAAGTGCTTCCAGGAAGGGGGCTACATGGGGAAGGGATGAAATCTCCCACTACATTGGATGTTTTTTCCAATCAAGAGTGCATGACTGCCGTGATTAGGAACAAAAATGAAAGGTATTGAAATGAAAAATAAAGGAAAAGAGAGAGGGGAGAATATTTTCAAGTTTTCATAAATATCATGCTGAGCCGTTGTCAAATATTCATCATGTGGTTAAACTCGAATTTTCTCACTCACTGCGCACTTAGGCTGTTTCAAAGTTTTCACGAGGATGAGTGATGTTGCGAGGGACATCTTTCTGCACAAACCTCTGTCCACACCTGCTGCTTATATCCTCATTCTCTTGCTGGGAGGAGTAACGGGGGACCAGGAGGGAAGGCTACCGGCACTGCCCAGGCCACAAAGACCACTCTGGGGTGTTCCCAAGCACCTGCTTCTCTGGGCAGGGTCCACCGCTGGCTTCGTTCCTGAGGCGCGTTGGCCCTGGCCTCCCACAGAGGGTGCGGGTCCTGCCCCAGCCTGGATGTGGGGCTGCCCTTGTTTCTGCTGCCGAGTCAGGCTTCTCCACTGGATCGAGACAGAAAGGAAAGAGGGACATTGGCTGCAGCCTCAAATGTGCCCTGAGAGGGGGCACCAGGGAGGGGCAGGGTCGGAGCTGAACATTTCTATCAGACGCCAAAGCCTGTGTTCTTAAACCAGGAGACCACCTTGCCTCTTTGGAAGTGCATGAATGAGAGCAGAGATGGAGCCCAAGAGGTAGGGCTTTCCTTGGGAGACCACACCTGGAGCTGGGTCCTCCCAGAGCACCCATTTCCCAAGGGGGGAAGAACACGGAAGTGCCCTCCTACTCCTGGCCCACGAACCACTAGTGAAAACCAGCAACCACGTATGTGGTAGAGTGCCAGCTACGTGCGAGGCAGGCTTCTGGGTCCCTTTATCTATTCATTTATTTTTAAAAAAACATTAGATAGAAAGATCGACGTGAGAGAGAAACATCATCGGCTGCCTCCTGCACGCCCCCTACTGGGGACCGAGCCTGCAACCCAAGCTTGTGCCCTGACGGGGAATCAAACTGGGACCTCTCAGTCTATGGGGCGACGCTCAATCTACTGAGCCACATCAGCTGGCTGAGTCCCTTTATTTAACCTCACAACCGCCCTCAGAAGTATGTACAACTATCATCCCATTTTAGAGATACAAGGCTAAGGCACAGAGAGGTTAAGTAACTGGCCTACTGTCACACAGCCAGAAAGTGTGAAAGAAAGTAGTGGAGGCAGGACATGAATTGAGGCAGAGCTGGTTCAGCCGTCTGGGCTGACAGCCACCTGCTCTGCTGGTGGTCACGCAGAAGGTATAACCTGTGCCCCAGAAGAACCTCCTCCAGAGACACACCAGCACTTTACCTTCCCATGACCCAACCCGAAGGTCCCTGACCTTTTGGAAGCTCCGGGCCAGAAGGGCCCTCGTGTGTCGGCGCCACGCCACCTCTAGCTGGGCCTCCCGGAGCCACAGTGCCCAGCGGAATGCCTGCAGACCCCTGCGCAACAGCCGCCGGTGGCCCAGGGCCACTGCCATCGCCACCGCCTGCCGCCTCCGCGCCAAGTGCTGCCAGGCTCCGAAACATCTGGACAGCAGCTGCCGGCTGCGGGTGGACCAGGGCTGATCAGGGAATGGGCCTGCCCCAGCCCGAGGGAGCAGCTGGGGCCTCGGCAGCACCCCATCACCCTTCCAGCCCTGACAGGGGGGATGCCCCAGGCTGCAGCGAAAGGACCTCCCTCTACTGGCGGCCTGGAAATCTCAGCCTGGAGGTGGGGGAGGTGGGGGCATGCCTTAGCAGTGACAATCCCAGAAGCAGAAGTTCCATCCCTGCCCCCGGGGCCCAGAGGCCCTGTCATCCCTAGCAGGGACAGTGGAGGAAGTCCCTCCCCCTGAAACCCTGTGTGGATTGGCTGTCAGGGCCTTATCTCTATCGGGCCCTGCTGTCCATTGGCCCAGGCCAGTGGGAGACGCGCTGTCCCAGCCCATGCCGTGGCCTCACCAGGCTGTCTGGGACTCCAGGGTCACGATGTTTCTGGCTTTGTTCTTGGAAAACAAAAGGACAAGGCAGCTCTCAGGCCAAGAAGGACAGGAGTCCCCTGCCAAGCCTGGAGAAGCAGGTGGCAAGGTGGTGACGAGTCTGCTAGTTTGGAGTGAGAATCCCTGGGGGAGGCAGCAGTCCCTGGAACACCCCCAAATCCCTCTCCCAGACTCCTCTGGCCTCTCCCTGCAGGGCACGTCTGGCTGGGGCCGCGGCAGGTGGACGGGAAGCTGTGCTCTCTTCCTCCCTGCTGGCCGGCTCCCGGGGGCCTTCTCCCCGCCTTCCTGCCCGGGCAGGAGACCCTGGCCTGCTGTGCAGAACGTGGAGGCGCAGAGTCTGGCCTCTCTGCGGCCCACCCCTTGAGGGAGCAGGGGGTCCCCCCTCTGCCTCCTGCTGCATGCAGGCCTCTCTCTCTGCCTTAGGGCACAGGCAGGAAGGACCTCCTGCTCGGGGTCCAGGAATTCCCCAGTTGGCACCCCCAGAGTGGTCTCCGGTGGCTGCGATGCGGGCTTGGTGCTTGCCTGCCAGTCTGCGAGGCCAACCTGGAGCCCTGGTGTCTCTGGGAAATCCACAGCGCCCCTGAGACCTCGGGGGTGTATCTTCTTCTCGTCCCAGGAAACGAGGCCAGGCTGGCTGGGCTGGGGGCAAGCAGGGAGGGCCTGGCCATTGCTGGTCCGGGGCTCCTGCTGAGACGGGCCTGGGGGTCGCTGGGGCTCCTGGCGCGCGCGGCGGGCTGCCTCGTGCTCCAGGCGTTGCACGGAGGCCAGGAGCTGGGAGATGGAGGCCTGGGATGGGGCCCCAGCCTGGCTCTTGACGGGGACAGCCAAGTCCTCCAGGGTGAGGGACTCCCCCAGGAGCCTAGAGGTCCAGTTCTCCAGGCCACTCCAGGATCTGGAGCCTGGCTGTGCGTGCCCACGGACACGGGCATAGCGTGCAGTGGGCCTGAAGCCCAGGCAGGGGGTGTCTGTGGCCAGCGGCCGGGGCTGCTTCAGGGTGGAGGGCGGGCGAGCCTGTGGCTCTCCAGGTAGGGGGCTTCCCGGGGGCATCCTGTGAGGCCAGTGGCTTTCCTGAGGCTCCGACCAGAGGCGGTGGCTGCCGCGACTTCCACACTCAGCCAAGAGGGCCTCCCTTGTGCCCAGGTTACTCTGCTGGACGGCAAACGTGCGCGCTGCCCCCCGGCGGGGGACACCCAGGGGCTGTAGGTTACTCTGCTGCTGGAATCTTGGGCTGATCAGCCGGCCAGTCGTGTCCTTCAGGGCAGGGCCCAGGCGGGGTATAGGCCTGGCCAGGTTGGTCTGGACTCGGCAGGGCTCCTGGAGAAACACTACCCTCGGGGAGGGTGTGGTGGCAGGTTCTCTTCTCCCAGCCTGGCCCGCGGGCACCCACCGGCCACGTCCACTGCTCAGGACGACACCTGGGCTCTTCAGGAGTCTCCGTTGCTCTAAAGAAAATATACACAGTCATGCCTGGGGGTGGGGGTGGGGCACTCAGCATTCAGTGCTCAGCGGGGACAGGTGGGGCTGGTCAGGCCGCAGAGCCGGGAGGGACAGGGTCCCAGGCAGGAGAGAGCCTGGACTTCAGAGGTCGGTGTCAGCGCGAGAGGAATGACACAGTCTGACTCTGCCTGGCTGCTCAGAGCAGGGATGAGGCAGGGTCAGAGGCAGGGAAGACGGCAGAGGGAGGCTGGGGCACAGGACGCTGTTGAGGAGTCCCAGGCAAGAGACTGGCATCGGGGGTGGCAAGGAGGGCAGAGAGGAGACAGATTCCGATCTGCAGTGGAGATGGAGGCTGAGAAGAGGGGCAAAGGGAGGGAAGGGAGGAGACAAGGAGGAATCCCTGATTTCCCCCTTGAGCTCAGAAGCCCTGGGCGGAGGCAGCAGCCGGAGATGAAAGCAAGCCCCAGTGTGTCAGACAGCTAAAAGTAAGCTGCTCTCGGGCTGTGAGGTGGGGCTCAGAGCCCTCCCTCTGATTGCCCCCAGCCCCTGAGACCATCCCACAGGAGAGGGGGCCTTCTGGGGGCTCGTGCTATGCCTGGGAAGGCCTAGTATAGTGTGGGCCATAAAAGTTTGTAGATAGAAACTAGAGCTCAGAGAGGTCAAGCAACTTGCCCACCGTCACACAGCTAGAACACAGAGAAACTGGCGTGTGAATGAGACTCTAAGTTTGGTCTTGGGCTGCACCGGCTCTGTGGCCTTGAACTCTGAGGCTCCCCAGCCCACCATCCTGGCACAGACGGACCTGTGGGAGCACCTTCTCAGCCAGGGCCCCCAGCCAGGCCTACTCCCGGTCCACCCTCTTCCTGACCTCCCTTCAGAACTTCCTGCCCCTCCCTGAGCCCCAGGCGGGGAGGACTCAGTCCTGGCCCAGCTGTTCCTATCCAGCCAATGTCTGGAATTAGTGAGGCTCTGGGCTGGCCTGTCTGGCCTGTAGGGGGCTCCGGGCCACTACCTAGAGGGGACCCTACTCCTGCCTCCTCCGACCCAGACCCACTAAGCCTCTTGCCTGGCTTCAGGGGGGTCGGAGGCCGGGGAGGCACATTCTCCTTGTGGCCGGTGTCAGGTCTCTGCTCCATGGGCTCCAGGGCAAAGCCAGGGTGGCAGCAGTGTCCCTGGTCCACACAGCCAGCAGCCTGTTTGATCAGACGAGATATGAGGGGCGAGGACAGGGTGCCCTGGCTCCCACCAGGCCATACCCCAGCCCTGGCCCTCACCCCCCCTTCACCAGACCCCCTTGGGGCCTCCTCGCTCTGCCCCTCATACGACCCCCTTTCCCTCTCATTTTCTCCTGTGGTCCAGCATCCCTGCCCAGCCCCAGGAGGGGGTGAGGCTCTCTGGACCCTGTCCCCACCCTCCCCCATCCTCCCTCCCTCCGCTCTAAAACACTCAGTTCCAAGCCCCAGGCACTCAGTGAAGGAAGTCATGCCTCCCATTCCTTAAAGATTTCGGCTCCTGGCTCACGGACGCTTTCTTCAACACATACCTGTCTAAGTCCTTGGTGATTTCACCACCCACGTGGACTAGCCCTCCTACTCCTGGCCTACGGGGTTGATCCTCTCTCCTCCCACCTTCACCCCCTCCCCCCGCTTCAGCGTCCAGCTCCCACGATTCCCCCAGACTTTGTCATCCTAAATAACTGCACCCCTCCATAATTTCTGAGTCAGAGCCCACCCACAATCTTTCCAGCCCATTCCCTGAGCACCCCATCCCAACAGTCTTTCCCTCCAGTGACCCCCCCCCCCAGCCACCCACACCCTTGGTCTCTTTTTGCCCGGTGATGTCTCTCTGCCCTCCTGCTGCGCTTTAACCATCCGGGATTGTAATCGTCCCTCTTGCACACCCTCGGCCCGCTCTCTCCGCCCGCTCGCTCAGTAAGATCACCGCGCGGGTTAGAGTGGCTAAAGAAATCCCTACAGCTGCACTGTGGCCCGGTTCCGAAATCATGACCTGAAGGCTGCTGGAGAATCAGTTTCTACTCCCCTCTGCCCCACCCTCCTAGACACCGATTCACACCTTCCCCGTCCTCAAACCTCTGCCACCTCTTCTCCCCACACCCCCTTCAGCAGACCTTGTTTCCTACTGCACCGCAAAGTAGGACCATCAGAAGAGATGCTACCAGCTCCCCCACCAGCTTCATGCTCACTGCCTCTCCTGCTCCTCCGCCATCCGGTGTGGTCCCATCCCAGCCAGACCTTCCTCGAAGCTCTGGGCACCATTCTGTCTCCCCTGCCCAAGTGCAGCTCCCAGGGCCATCACCAGCCGCCAAGATGCCCTTCTCTGAATCAGGAAAAGGACCCGTAATGCCCACACCCCACAGCTGACTCAGCCACACACCAGGGCACAGAACTTGGGGGGCAGGACACAGGCTATGATGATGTGTCTGTCAGAGTCCTGTCCCTGCTCCCAAAGTCCCCTCCCCCCATCATTTATACTTCTCCCTTCTTTACTGACTCATTCCCATCAGTCATTAAACAATAAGCAAAAACACCAAAAACCTGCCCTCTCGAGCCTCCAGGGCCCGGACCACTTGTCCCCTTCTCATCGCATCCAAATCCTAATTCCTCTCCCAACTCCCCTCTGCTGACCTCCTTGCAATCAGCCAAGCCCTAACCCAAAGCTGCTTTCCTCCAGGTGACCTCTGAGCTGCCAGGTCCCTGGCCTGTTCTCAGGCAGCAGCAGGACAGTGGTCACGCGTCCTCCTTGGAGCCCTCCAGGACGCCACTTCTCAGCTTCTGTCCCTCCTGCCGGCGACTCTTTCCCAGTCTCCTCTCCTGGTTCCTCCTCTCCTGAGCTCTTAGAATTGGAGGTGCCTCCCTCCCCTGATGCATGCACCCCATGTGATCTCTGCCTCGGACAGTTCTAAGGCGGACTCCCATCACCCCCTTCTCTGAGAATGGCAGCTTCAGGCTCCTGCTGGCTCAGGGGACAATCCCACACCCTGACTTCTTCCCTCACACCACCTGCAATCCATCAGCTAATCCCATCTGCTCTACCTTCCAAAGATATCCAGAATCCAGCCCCTGCTCACCACCTCCGTCCTCACCTCCTTAGGTCACGTCCTCAGCTCCTTAGGTCACGTCCTCACCTCCTTAGGTCACGTCCTCACCTCCTTAGGTCACGCAACCATCACCTCTTGCCTCCTGACTGCTCTCCCCCTCTGCTCTCAGCCCCACACCCTGCAGTCTACTCCCCACAGTGGCCAGAGTGATCCTGTGACCTTCCATCAGCGCATGTTCTGACTCAACTCAAACAGCCCGAAAGGCTCCCCAGCCCACTCAGTCCTCACTGAAGGCTTTCAAGGCCCTACTGAGGGAGCCGGCTTGTTATGTAAATAAAGGGATGCTGGGACACAGCCAGGCTATTGATTTAAGGCTCATCTGTGGCTATTTTCTCACTACATGGCAGAGTGGTTTCCATAGACACCTTGCGGCCCACAAAGCCTGAAACATTTAGTTTCTGGATTTTAAGGAAGTTTGCTTAAGAAGGGAGAGGGGGTTGGGAAATGGGTGAAAAGGGGAATATAGTCAATAATATTGTGATAAGTTTACATGTTGACAAATGGTTACTAGAATTAGTGGGGTGACCACACTGGAAGGTATAAAAATGTTGAATTACTACACTGTACACCTGAAACTAATATAACCAATATAAGAATGTATACCAAGGATCTTAAATTTTAAAAATGTCTGCTGACCCCTGCCCCAGTTACCAGGCCCCCAGTTACCTTACCAACCTCATCCCTATTCCTCTTCCCTTGCTCTCTCTCTTTCAAACACACAAGCCTCCTTATTGTTCTTCCAAAATGCCCTGCATGTTCTGACCTCAGGGCCTTTGCACTTGCTGTTCCCTCTGCCTGGAACTATCTTTCCCTCTCTCCTCTCCTTCAAGTCCTGCCTCAAACAGTGAGCTCTTTGCTGACCACTCTCTCCCACCACAGCACCCTCCCCATTCCCTCCTCTCTTTACCCTGCAAGATGTTTCTCCATGATTTAGCACCACCTGAAGGACAAGAAATTCGTGTTTGCCTTTCTCCCTCCAGTGGACTATGGAATGCTCAGGGCGCCCCATGCCCCTAGAGGCCGCTGTCTCTTTTTTTCCATCTGTATTCACAGCATATGAAATAGTATCTGGCACACAACAGAAGCTCGAACACTGTACTAATGAATGAGCCATGCTGAGCACCATGCTGCCTTTAGGAGGCATCCTATCATCGCATCTGGACCGAAGCCCGAGGAACTAGGTCCTTTGCTTTAGCAGAGAGAAAAGTGGAACTTAACGAGTTTACCTGCCCAGCCCAAGCTCAGCGGCTGCAGGGGGCCATCTGGGCAACCTGACTCCACAGCCACGCTTCCTCACCAGGACAACCCCGCTCCCCACCTCTTCCCAAAGAATATTTGAGACAGCTCAATCCACATATCCCTTTCTACACTGCCCTCCAATTCCCTCCTATCCCACCCCATGCCTGGGCTCTCTATCTGCCCGGTACCACTCCACCTCCATCTCTGTCCAATTAAGGACAGCAGAGCCTCCGTCCTCTTCCCACCAAAGGAACTTGCAGTCTGTCTTCCTGTCCTCCTGACCTTGCCCTCCAGTGTGTCTGCCTTCCTCGGGCCCTCTTTCACCCCGTTGGGTTCGAGCCTGGAGGAGACCTCGGGTAGGACGGCTAACGATCCAAGTAGGTGGTGGCGGTGGGGCAACGTCAGAGAGCGTGCAGCCCAGCGTCCAGTGGCTGCCTCGAGAATGCTCAGGGCGCCCCACGCCCCTAGGTGTGTGTCTGCGCATGCGTGGCCCCGAGGGCGTGGCCAGGAGGCATCCGTGGGCGTGCGCAGTCCTTCCCTCCAGGGTTCTGCCCCGCCCCCACCTTGCGCTGTGCCTCGAGTGGCCAAGCATGTGGCCTCGTGCAAACTCTTGCACGCGCAAGACGTGTGGGTCTGCCGGCCTCCCGGTTCCTCGGAAACTGGTTGGAATCCCTCCTACCCACTCCTCAGCCTGTGTGCTTGGCCAAATCACACTTCCCGCTGGGTCACGCTCTTGTCCCTGCGGTTTGGCACAGCAGCCTGCCCTGCCCTTCCTCTGTCTAGACCGTGTTTCTCCTTTCTGAACGCCCGCTGGAAGAGGAAAGAGCACTGAGCCCGCAGTCGGGAGACCTGGTCGAGGTCGGTTCTGCCTCTGTGTGACTTTGGGCAAGTCCCTAACTGCTCTGAGCCTCAGGCTCCTTATCTGTAAAAGAGGAGTTGTAACATCCACTCTGCTACCCTCCTGCTCCATGTGAGTCAGATGTTTAACAAATGCTAGGCAGCCTTTAAAAAAAATGTTTTTATTGATTTTTTAGAGAGAGAGGAAGGGAGAGATAGAAACATTGATGAGAGAGAAACATCAATTGGCTGCCTCCTGCACTGAGCCTGCAGTTGGGGCATGTACCCTGACCCGGAATCAAACTGGGACTGCTCAGTCCATGGCACAGCGCTCAATCCACTGAGCCACACCAGGCGACCCTTTAAACTCTACAGCAATTCTTGAAGGAGAGGGTGATTATTACTTCCTTCGTAAGTCTATGCATCTAGTATCTCCTCCTAAACCTGACTTTTGCATCTCTTCACTTTCCGCCTTGCTGTGTCCATCTATTTTAGGTGTCTCTTATGAACACAACATGGTTGGAATTTTTTAAAAAATCGTTTACAAGTGTATGATTATGACATATTTATACAAACCGTCTTATTTTTGTGCTTGCTAATGGCCAAACTTCATGTTTCTTATTTTTCCTCCTTTCTTGTTTGTTTTTTTCTCCTACAACTGGCTTGGAACTTACGCATTTCTATTCTTTCAGTGGTTATCCAAGACATTTTAGTATGTGTATTTAATTTGGCAAAGTCTAAAGTTAATCCAATATTCACTCTCCTTCTAGACACCCCCTTCCTCCCACAAAAGGCTTTACAACACGGTGTCTGATCAACTCCTCCTGAAATATATTATTATTGTGAACACCAAACCATGTTTACTATTTCCTTCATGCTTGTCAGATCTTCCTTATGGAAGAATGTTCTTCTTCCACAAAAAGATTCTTTAGACGTTTCCACCTTAAAGATCTGTTGGTGATAAACGCTATTGTCATTTCTCTGAATGTCTTTATTTCACTCTCATCCCTGAAAGATAATTCACTAGTGCACAACTTCACGTGGACAGTTATTTTAATCACCACTTTGAAGATAACAGTTCTGTCTTCTGATGTCTATTATGACTGCTGTTGTCATCAGTTGCTGTTGTCATAATTGTCATTCCTTTTAGGATATATTTTCTACCTGGCTGCTTTGGGGATCTTAATGTTTCTGTTCCTGTTCTGCAGTTTTCCTCCACCCGTTTATCTACAGCTGGCACTGTTCCAGGTGCTGAAACTACAGCAGTGAGTGAACGAAGTTCCATTATGACTATAAGCAGTTTCTTCTGATTTATTTTGTTGGCCAATTATCTGGCTTCCAGAATCTGAGGTTTGGTGTCATTCTAGTTGGCAGAATTATCCTCCATTTTTCTTTTGAATGTCGCCCATCTCCCAATATCTCCTGCAGGAACTCTATATTGATATCAGACCTTCTGGCAATATTCTTTGCTTCTTAACCTCTCATATTTTCTGTCTCTGGTGCATTCTGGGTAATGCCTTTAAATCTACCTTCAAGGCTACTGATTCTCTCTTCTGGTGTCCTTGTCTGAGTCTCTTCTTTATGGATCTGTGTCCCCAGCTGTGAAATAAGGAGGACCTAGGGAATTGATTTTCATCAGTTTGTGCTTTGGGGATCCTACGTTAGAGTGTTGGTGGTGATGGGGAGACATGCTCCATTCAGCTAGCTATTTTATATACTGGCTAAGATTTCTTTTGAACAGAGTTTGAAATAAGATAGACTTTTCAAGCCACTGGGCTTGGGAAACTCTAAGCTACCTTCAAGTTCAAATTTGTGATTCTGCATTTAGATCTGAGATGATCATGTTTCATAACAACCTGTTGACTCTGTTGACAGTCTCCAGGCTGACAGGTGTGCATACAAGCCTGGAGAACTGGATCCTCAGGGTCCTGCTGTTGCCAGTGAAGAAGGTCTATTATACTTCCTGACAATTTTTTTCAGTGTTTTGAACAGGCGTAGAAAACACTTAATATTTATAAAATTAATAATAAATGAATATGTGAATGGATGGTCAGACAGACTAGTGTTGCGATTCAGGACATGCTACCCCAAAATATGGCAGTGGCATATTGGTGTCTTAAGCTGAAGGAATTTAAGAAATGAGAGAAGCAGCAAGATCAATTACCTCTCCCCCACTTCACCCTCCTTCCCTGAAACAGGTCATAAATCTCTCATGAGACGTCCCCTCTCCTACCAGGAAGAAAGAAGACATTATCACCAGAGATAGGGCATTTATGGCCTAGAAATCTGTATAAACAAGCCTTGTTAAACTAACCCTTATCTTGCTAGTTCTTCACCAGTTACTACCCCTAACCTGAATCCCTTTGTCTTGTCATCTCATCCCAGGTTGTTTTTTGTTTGTTTGTTTGTTATTGTCTAAAAGGTACAAAAGCTTCCTGTTCTAATCGCTTCTTCAGGTCTTCTTTCCCATGTGAAGGCTTCCGTGTACACATAAAAAGTCAGAATTTGTAGACTTTCCTCCTGTTAACCTGTCAGTTTCATTTTCAGACCCAGTCAGGGACCGTAAGAGGGTCGAGGAAAACTTTTTCCTCCCCACCTCTCTGAATGCAGTAATGAGATCTAACATTTATTAAATATGTCCTAATGTTCAATCCTCACTAATCCCTCTTAGGCACTGTTATTATCCCCACTTGTCAGATGAGGAAACTGAGGCTCAGTGAAGTTGAGAGACTGTCCAGTGTCTTACACAGCTAGTCCCAGAGGGCAGTTTGCATTTAAACCAAGGCTTGTTGGCTCCAGGGTTGGCTTAGAGGGAGGCTGTGGCAGCTAGAATTTCCAGACTGTTTTGGAGACTCTGAGGACTGGCCTAAGGCGGGAGTGGTGGTGTCTGTAGGTGCCACTGGCTCTGATCTGGGTTTGGCCAACAGAGGACAGTGACCGCCCTGGGCAATTCCTCTGGCTTCCTCCTCTGGAAGACTCAGCTTTGTGAAAACAAGAAATACAGTCCTTGAAACAGGACAAGTGACTTGAGCTCTCTCCAGCAGACCAGAGGCACGGCCAAGCAATCTTCACCCCGTGCCCCGGGCAAGAGGCCCTGCCCAGGTGCACGTTCCCTTCCGTTGGGGCTCTGGCCTCCCGAGCACAGACAGCGAGTTCACCGCTGCAGCTCCTGCACAGCCAGATGCTCAGCTTCCTTGCCGGATGCAGACAGGATGGTGGGGCTGTGAGCTAGGCCTTGACCTCTTTGTCCTGGGGACAAGCCAGGATGCGCCAGACACCGGGGGCCCTGTGGTCAATGCCCATCCCAATGTGGGGCGGGGCCCTGGCTAAGGGACCTCAGAGCTTCTGGACAGATATCTGTTCCAGTCAGTTCTGAGGCCAAGACCCAGGGTCTGCCGGGAAATGGCCACCTGTCGCCTCCTGATCCAGTATCATCACGGGCTCGAGGAACAACCCCACTGACAATTTAGCTGTCACCTCGGGACTGGGAAGCCCCTCCGCAGGCCAGGCACTTCATTTCGTGGGCGTCATCACCCCCTGGCAGGCCAGTCCTCGTCCCGGAGACGGAGGTCAGAGAGGCTAAGCGGCCCAAGGGCCCAGAGCCAGTCACTGGCAGAGCGAGCCTCAAACCAGTACCTGCGTCATCTGGTTCAGAGAAACATCCATTTGCCACACCGAACACAGGCCCGGCTGTCATGAGCCCCTGCCTCCTCCTGCCGCACAGAACAGGCAGCTTGGCCCAGGCGCCCTGAGGATTCGAAGGAGAAACCTTTCCAGGATCAGCGGGTCCAGGTGCCAGTCCAGCTGGGATATTGAACATGGCTGAACATACCCAGCTCAGAATTCCCCAAACTTTAATGCCATGGCCGAGAAGGGCGGCTGGGGGCTGTGGTGGGTCTCCAGTGTAGCAGACACTTCCTGCTTCTAGTCCCGGGGCTCCCACGACCAAGCGACCAGGTAGGGAGAAGCACAAGGACCTCGCCCCCCTGCCACAGACCTTCTGCGGGAGGGCTCGGCAAAGCGCCGGAGGCCCGGGGTGGGCATCGCTGGCACTGAGAGGCTGGACTCTGCTGGCCCCGGAGTGGCTGGGCCTGGGGCCTGCATAGAGCAGCTGAGGGTAGAGGGGAGAAAAGTGACCATGGCTCCCAGCCTGGGACCAGGAGATGCTTAGAAGGGAGGGGAGGCCTCAGGGAGCTTGGGACAGGTGTGTACACAGGGGCATTCAGGCAGCCTCTGAGCTGGGGAACGGGAGGACACATTCCACGTTCAGTCCAAGAAAGGGGCTCAGGTGCAGCCCTAGAACAGCATCCAGGACACAGGGATGGCCCTGCAGACCAGACCTCCCCTACAGTTTGTCATTCTGGCCCCTGAGCTGGGGCCAGGCACAGTGGGGCTGGCTTCAGCACCCTTGGGGGGTGTGACCCTTGCCCTCTGGGCCCGAATAAAAGTCTGTGGGTGCCTCTGGTGAGTCAATCGTCTGGTAGGCGCTGTGCTCCTGTGAAGGTCCAAGGAAACCTAGGGAGCAGGGGGAGGGGAGAGAAAGCAAAACCAAGGGTGAGGGCTCAGGAGTCAGCCTCGACCCACTCCACCCCCACCAGGCAGCCAGAGCTGGCGTCCTGCACTCGGGGCAGTGGTGGCGGCCACAGCCCCGGGCATCGAGCCTTTCACACATATTGTGCATTCAGTCCTCCCTTAACCCTACGGAGCAGGTACTTTGATTGTCCCCACTTTAGAGATGAGGAAACTGAGGGTCAAAGAAGAACTGAGGTGACACAGTTCAAAAGCTGAGGACTAGGATTCAGACTGGGTCTGAATTCAGGTCACTGGGTGTGACCCCAAGGCCAGGGCTCTTGGCCACTGTGCCCCTGTGCCTCCCAAGGAAGCGCGCTCAGGAATCTGGGCTGAGGCGCATCCCGCCCTGGGCTCCCGCTCCCCTCCAGTGCCCGGCCCAGGCAGGATGGACCCTGTGACTCCAGCCCAGTGATTTCCAACCTTGTTCATCTCAGGGCACACGCAAACGAACTACCATTCTGTGGCACACCAAAAATATATTCTTTTGCTGGTCTGACAAAAGAGCTAGTTCTGGTTCATTCACACCAGATGGCTATTGTGTTGGCTGCTGTCACTTCCTTGCTTGAGCAGCTAAGAGAAAAGAGGTCAGTGCCCCTGACTAAATAGGCAGGTACTGCAATGTCTTAAAAATTCTTGCAGCTCACCGGTTGAAAATCGCTGCTCTTCCCAGAAGGCCCAGAGCCTGGCAGATGCAGAGCCCAGAGAACTGGGGCTGGGGGTGCGAGGCAGGTGGTAGGGCCCCCAGTGCGCACACTCCACTCTCCCATCCCTACTCTGCTCATCTGTCCTATGATCCTGAACAAGTCCCAAGGGCCCTGAGCCTCGGTTTCCCCATCTGTGCAGGGCAGGCCCAGGCAGTATTGAGGTTGGCCAAGGTGGATGTCCCCACCATTCCTGCCCTGGGCCCCACTGCTCCCCCTGGTGGGTCACAGGTCACCCTTGGCCTCGTCTCAGGAGTGAAAGGTAGAAGCCCACACCCACCTCCCCCCACTTCTTTCTGAAACAGAGGAGCAATGAGAAGGTGTCGGGGAGAGCAGGAAAGCGGCTAGGCCAGAGAAGGGGTACGACTCCGAGAGGGCGCACAGCAGGGTGGTGAGGGGCTGAGCTACGGCGCGAGGGCCAGTTGGCAGATAAGCCCCTGCAGTTCAGAGCCGTCTTCGGCTGAGGCTGCCTGGCCCATGCTGGCCCCTCTTGCCCTTGGCCGCCCAGATCCCAGGAGGCAGGAGAAGGGGCTCTAGGGCTGGGGTTGGTGGGCGCTGAGAGGAAAGGGTGGCCCTGCAGGTGTCTTCAAGTAGAACTGGGTCACACCCCCAGCTGCATCCAGTGCTTGAGCTCAGAGGGGGTCCTGGCTGCAGCCCCCAACTCTGCTTATAGCCTGATGCCAGGGAAAGGTCACACCAGCTGGGACAGCTGGGGGACCACGGAGCTCCTGCAGCAGAGACCAGGAGCTGGCACTCAGTGCTCATGCCAAGCCCCTCCCTGCACCTTGAGCCCTCATTTCTTGGTGCAAGGTCAGCTCCCTAGGGCCGGGGCTGTGGGGGAGGCAGGGTGGAGACGGGGGACACGTGGGGAGATGGCAGTGCGGTCACCGGCCAGCAAGGGGGGGGTTGGGAGCTAGCTGCAGGGGCGGCCTCACCGGTGTGGAGCAGGAGCCCGCCCCCACGCTCCCGGTACATGGGGTAGACCAGGCAGCAGGAAAACGGCTTGAGGAGCAGGCTGAGGATGGCCATGCCGGCGCCGAAGCGCCCTGTGTCCGTGAGGTCGTCCCGTGGGTAGAAGATGCCGATGTGGATGATGTCCAGGAGGATGGTGGCCGCCAAGCCACCCAGAAACTGCAAGACAGGCCAGCACAGGGCCCAGGCAGGACCATGTGTCACCAGAGTTCATGAGCACACTGACTCCCTGTCACAGCCCACCGCTCCCCACCCTATGTCCAGGCCGGAAGCTGCATTTGAGTCCCACTGTGTCCTTGGGGTTTGCTGGAAACAGATCCAGCAGGCAGGCGGGACCCTGTGGATGACCCCCCAGGGGACTGCGGGGCTAGGGCAGGGACTCCGGGCTCCCCGAGGGCTAGACCCGGCCTGCCAGCTCCACCAGAGCCCCGCCCGTCTCCTGTCACCCTTGAGGCCATGACAAGGCACAAGACTTGGTTCTAGAACCTCCAAGATGGAAGGTACCTCAGAGTTCACCCACTCTGTCTCCACCACCAAGGAAATCCCTTTTCTGTCATCCTGAGAGGCCCTGGCCACCACCCTTTGGGGCTTAGTGGGTGTGGGGAAGCCTCCCACCCCCACTACCGCCGAGGGATTGCTTAGCAGGCTGTACCCACTCTGCCCTCACAAAGTAGTGGAGTTCCCTCTACAAGGGTCTCCCAGCCAAATCCCTCCCTCTAAGAGAGGGTCCTGGTAGGGGGTTATTGAGTACGTGGTCAACCACTCCCTTGAGGAGTGGCCGATCTGGGGCGTGGTGGGACCCCCCCCATGCCTCCCTGGGGAAGGACCGTGGGCAGACTCCAGGCTCTCTGAGCCAGGCCAGCGACCACGCCGTGGGCTGCTGCCAGGGTGGGCTCATCCGAAAGCCTTTAGAAAGTGGAAAACAGGAGCACCAGGAACAGACAGAAGGTTGGGACGGGGGAGGGGAAAACAGAGCAGGGGCCACAGATCATGAAGCCGGCCCGCGCTGCTTCCCCGCTCACCATGCTTATGGCGTCGACGGAATCCCGCTGAGCGACGGCCCACACGCCCAAGGCCAGGATGGTGAAGTTGGCCCAGGCATAGGGGCCCCCGAACAGGAGGCAGCCCCTGTGGGAAGACGCACCCAAGTGAGGTTAGCAGGTGACTGCCCACTGATGCCCACACCTCCCATAGGTCACCTTCCTTGAGCCCCAGGGTCTCAGGGACCCTCTGAGAAGAGGCCACTGTTCCCAGGCTATGAGCCAGGGATGTCAGCAATCCCACTGGCTCTGCTCCCCAAATAGATCCCCTCAGGTCCAAACCACCATCCTCTCCTGCCAGGACCTGCCAGCCTCCCCAGTGGTCTCCTTCCTCCCACCCCTGCCCCCTCCAGGCCATTCTCTGAATAGCAACCAGCAATGTTCATCGGGTGATAGGGCTCCTAGAAGTCCTCCAACAGCTTTCGGTCCCACTTGAAATAAAATTGACTTTCCCGTGGCCTACGGGCCCCCGTGGGAGCCGCCGGTGACACGCTCCCCTTTACCTCCCTCTGCCCCGCACACCTGGCCCCTTTTTGTCATTTTAGTCTCAGCTCAAATGTTAATGCCGAGACTCCTTCCCTGACCACCCACTTCTAAATGCCACCTTGTCACGAATACAAGTCCCACCCTATTTTATTTTGTAGGGCATTGCCACTCACTGACACGTTTACTTATTTGTCAACCCAATGAGAATAACAGTGAACACAGGGCCCTCGTTAGTATCCGGCACGTTTCAAATGCTTTAAATCAATTACGTTATGTGCACTTGTGTTAACAGCTCTAGGACGGAGGCACTATTATCAGCCTCATTTTACAGGTGAGGAAACTGAGGCCCAGAGAGGTCCCGCGGCTGCTAAGTGGCAGAGCTGGGGTTTGAACCCAGGCAACCTGGCTCAAGAGGCCGTGCTCTTAGTCACCATTGTCACCGCCCAGCACTCAGCGAGGTGCTTCACTAACTTAAGTAACAGTCACTGAAGTGTGCCCATCCGGAAACACGTGCAGAGCAGTGAAACGCAGTCTGCAGCTCGGCTGGCTCAGTGGTCTGAGTGAGTCATCTCATTTGGGGGTTTGAAGGAAGGAAGTGCTGGGGCCGCAGCCCAGACTCACCACCTCGGAAGCTAGAGGGGTGTTGCTGAGAAATCTGTATTTGACCTTGATACCCTGGACGAGGGCTCGCAGAACCCAGGAGGCAGGATGGCAAAGGCCTCTGGGAACTGCCTGCCCCTCCAACATTCTTGGGACGTGGGGAGCTTGCTGATGATCTTCCTGACAGAGGTGCTATTGAGTCTTGGAACTGGCTGGGACACGGGGGGGACAAGACCCCAGGAGACAGTGGACCCATATCCCAGGAGGCAGGTGGACACCGGAGCAGACACCTGTGGAGTCACTTACCAGGTCGTCAGCAGCCAGTGAACCAGGATGATCATCTGTGGCACAAAACGGGGGATGGGGGAGATCTGTGAATGTGACCACCATGGGGGCAGGAGGCTAGGGGCAGGGGTGGGGAAGCTTCTGGAGCCAAAAAACACAGGAGACCCCCTGCCTAGCACCTCAGAGGGCTACACAGATGTCTGCTGAAAAGAAACCCAGCAATGGCGAGTGAACGGGGTGGAGGAGGAACAGGCCAGGCTGGGGGACACTGCCACATCGCCCCTCCCCATCCCCTCGGGGCAGCTGACATGCACACCCCTCCTGCTTCCAGAGGCTGGAGGCTCCTTCTGGGAACGGGAATCAGCTCAGGAATGGAGGAGACCTTGATGTTAAATGGCCAGCAGTGGCGGTGGGGGGACCTCAAAGAGGCTGATTTCCCGGGACACTGGAGCTAGGGTGTTGTGCCGGGCAGGAGTGGGGGCGCAGCTGGGTGGCAGGGCCTTAGGGCCTAGGTAAGAAGCATGGATTTTATCCTAGGTGCGCGGAGAGGAAGTCACGGGGGCTCTTCTGTAAGGAGGCAACTCGGTATGATTTACGGTAAGAGGAAAAAAGAACCCTCTGGCTTTTTTCTAGATTTCTGTAATATTCCCACCGTTTTATTGCCCCGTATGTCCTTAAGGTATCAGCCCCCTGGACTGGAACTGCTGGTCATCAAAAGGGGACTGAGAAGAAGCCAATGTGACTGGCGGAGAAGGAGGGGGAGGGACAGGAAGCTGGGGTTGGGAGAGGTCTGATCTTTATCTTAAGTGCTGACCACTGTCCCCTCTGTCCAACAGGAACCCCCGTCCACCGAGGGGAGGGATCTGCCAAAGGCCACACGGTGTGACCAGCCACAGTGGTCTGGGTATCTGGCTTTCAGACTGAGAGAAGGCGCGGAGGAGACACGGGGGAGGACAGACACGTCAGCCACGTCAGCCTGAAAGTCAACACCTGACCCTTCCCACTGTTGGCTTCTGTTTCAGAACCGGTTTTCATTGCCCAGTGCTCTGGCTCCTACATCTAGACTCTGCACACCGCAGGGCTTCAGCAAATGGGCCTGCAGAGCCCGGTTTTTCCATGGTGAGGGGAAAGGCTGAGACACGGGTGGGCACTGTCTGCAGGGAACCTGGGGGAAGTGGCTCTGTGTACCTGTGAGATAAAGACTTTCCCCTCGAGACGGAAAGGCCAGCAAGGCGCAGTGAGACCCTGGCTAAGGTTCAGAACTATGCCATCTCTTTGGGGAAGAAGAGAGCATAACCTGGAACTATTGCAGGGCCTCAGTCCCCTCCGTGTGATGTCACTTTGGTTTTATAAATATTTAAGAAACTTAGCATTATATGATCACTTCTCTTAAGTCGCTGGGCAAAGAAACCCACTGAAGGCTCAGCCTCCTCTTCCTCAGTTTACCCATCTTTGTAATGGGTGGCACAAACACCCAGGCCTAGGTCCAGGTCTCTGTCCAGGAAAGCTCCAACAGGAAACCTGGCCAAACTGGCCCTGCCCTCCCCCAGAGCCCTGCAGAACAGTGACTCATCTCAGCACAAAAGAACTATCTGCTGGCTCCGGGGGGGGGGGGGGGGGGGGGGGGGGGGTTTTCCAGTAACCAAGGAGACCCCTGGGGTTTTGAGCACTTTGAGCACTGCCACAGGGAATGCAGGAGGGGAGGGAAGGGCCAGGGTCTGAGAAGGTGCCTGGGCCTCCTGACCTTTCCTGGTTGGGCAAGAGGGAAAAAGGACCTGAACTCCTGACCCTTCGCATAGTGCTTGGCCTAGGGCGGCTGCCCAGCTCTTCCGGAGACAGGCATCTGGCCGGTCCTTGGATGTATCCGCTCAATAAGCATAAGTTCCTGTGTGGGACAGGCATCCTGTAACAGCATTAACAAGAGCAGCTCCTGCTACCGAGGACGATCTGACGGCCATGTGTCTACATGGCCTTGAACTCTTCACCCGTGTCATCCTTGCAACTACAGGAGGGAGAGCAGTAATCTCGTTTTACTTAGGGAGAAACTGAGGCTGTGAGAGAGGAACTGGCTGAAAACAACACTTATCAACAAGAGAGTTTTTATGCCAATAAAAATATAATGCTACACCGCTTCCTGGCCCACTGGATCCTCCTCTTATCACCTTAGAGGATAAGGTTTATTTATATCCTCTTTTTACAGTGAGGGAACTGATATTCAGAGAGGTTAAGAAACCTGTTCAAGGTCACACAGCTAATAAGTAGCAAAGTCTTAGCCCCAGGGCCTGTGCTACACTGGCAGGATCTGGAAGAGCAAAGGAATGGCGGAAGGAAATGAGGTTTAACCTGGGGAACAGAAGGCTAAGGGGCAACCCAGGGGTCACGTAGACCTGGACTTAGACCCTCTGTTTGCCACTAGAGTCCATGGGGGATTGGAGTGGTGTGGAGAACTTCCCAGACAGGTAGATGACAGACCTCAGATCAACATACATATCAATACGTGGAATATATTCCAACCGGTCCCGTGCAAACAGCCTGTTATGTGAGGTACGGTGACCCCTGAGGATGACTGAGGCTAAGGGACACCAGTCAGGGCTGCCCTAGAGGGGAGACAGAACCAGGCAGTGGTGAACTGTATGAGGACTGGAGCCGAATAAACAGGCATGATCCTGGCTCCATGACAGAAGCTGTGTGACCTTGGGCGTGTCACCTGCCCTCTCAGAACTGCTGCGTGCTCTTCGTATATTAGGGCCAATCTGCCTGTTCATGGGGTTGCTGTGTGGATCTAGCGGCACAGGGAAGTGAAGAGTTTGTGAAACACGCAACACAGTGCCTGCCCGGTAGTCAGCCCTTGACACCCAGCTGTCCTCCTGAGTTCTTAACCCTAATGCTACACCACCACCCCCTTCCCAAGGGCCTCTTCCAACAAGGCCTCGTGAACCCAAGTCCAGTCCTTTCTAAGCCTGTCACAAAGTCACTGCTCCAGCTCAGGACTTGCCTTATGATAGGGCTCGGTTAGGGACTGTCCTTTGTGCAAATGGCCTGGGGCAGCTGTTTCTTCTCATCTGGCACCACTGCCCACTCTGGCTGGGCACAAGCAGGCATTCGGCCAATGAAGTGGGGAGGGAGTGCAGGGGCACAGGGCTGCATTTCCCCAGCTCCCTCGAGGCCTGATCTCAGAACATCTAAGTGCCTGTGAACGAGGCATCAACAGCTGCCCTCCACAGGGTGGCCAGATTTAACAACAAAAACACAGAACACCTAGTTAATTTTTAATTTCAGATCATGAATATTTTGTTAGCATGTCCCGAATATTGCCTGAAATATACTCATGCTAAAAAATTACTCATTGTCCATCTGAAATTCAAAGTCAGCTTGATGTCCTGTATGTTACCTGGTAACCCTAGTCCCTCAGGGCCTCCCAGCACTTACTTGTCTCTGACTAGGAGCAGCTCAGACCCTTAGAGACAGGGGTCCTGTTTCCTAAGTGAAGGGAAGGACCAGCCGTTTCATCCTGGGCTCCGAGAGCTAACACAGCCCACACCTGTGGCCACACTTGGCCCCACAGGTATGAGCCCCAAACAGACTCAGTCCTTCCTCCTGATGGACAGACTGTCAAGGCAGAAGTCAGCCCTAACTAACTGATGGCCAAGAAAGGACACAGCTTTGAAGTCTGACCCTGTGGGTCCAATTCCCGACTCCGCCACCTAATCCCTGTGGGACCCTGGCAAGTTATTTACTTGACCCGAGCCAGTTTGTTCATCCGTAAAAAGATGCCAGTATCAGCCTTCTCAGAAGGTTGCTGTGATTAAATAAGTAACCTGGCATACCACAGATGCCCCTTTCCATTCCTGCACCCCTGTCCATCACCTGATTCTCTCTTGGCATTATTTTAGGCAAATCTCTAATCAGAGAAAAGGCAGTTGGCATTAACCCCACACTGCCGGACACAGAATGAGTATGGATACCGACAAACCCCGGGTGTCCCCATGTACATTTCCTCCTGGCTAATCTGTCACCCCAAGCCCATTCATTCCCTTGATCCAGCCATTTCTCCACGCAGCTCCAGACTGGAAACTTCAGGGAGGTTTGCCCAAGTGAGTGAGATTCTGAAGTCTGCCTGTGTCAAGCCATAGCACAGACCTCTCTCATAAGCCTACAATGGACGGTGTGTTTATTCTGTAGTCATTTATCACTTGGGTTCCTTTAGTACTAGACGCCTCTGGCTGCTAAATGCTTTGTCACTTGCGAGTATTCGTGAACACAGTCTCAAAGGAGACTGCACAGAGATCCAAAACAGCAGCTTTGGTCCAAGGTTCACAGCCTCCCGACCAAAGCCAAAGGCTCCGGCCCCTCTGTGGCCAGAAGCGCACCCGGCTGGGGTTGGGGCCTGGGGGCTGGGGGCTGGGGGCAGGGGCTGGGGGCTGGGGGCCGGGGGCCGGGGCCTGGAGGCCAGGACTGGGGCCGGGCCCGGGGCCAGGGCTGGGCGGGGAGAGAACAGCTAAGCGCATCCAGAGGAGCTGGGGAGGAGGCTCAGGAAATGAAGACACCCAGGAAGCCCGGCAGTGTTTTCCTAAGTGCACTGCTTTTGAGCAACTTCTACTGGAGTTCGTGTTTCTTAGGAAGTAAGGTCGCTGGGTTTTGATATTTTGGAAAAACGACTTGTCTGGGAAATCTAATTTTCTTAACCCGATTTAGCAAGTAAACGAGGCTACCAGGCGGTGCTGGGAGGCCAGGTAAAGGGTCGGGCCCCTCTCTCTCGATGGAGTGGGGTGTCCCGCCCCAAGCTCGCCCCAAGCTCCCCCCACCCCCACCGGCTCCGAGTCCCTCCCCGCGCTGAACCGGTTCTCCGGGAGGTTCTGGGCCCGTAGGCCAAAGCGATCCTCTGGGGCTGGGCGCTCCCAGCTGCCCGGGGCGGACTCCGGGAAGGGGCGGCCCTTCCCCGCCCCTACCGCCCCTCGGTCAGCCCTGGGGGCCTCTTCTGAACCCCGCTCCCGGCCACGATCTGTGTGCCCGCCCCCTTCTCACCTGAGGTCGGTGCACTCTTTCTCCCTACGCCTCCTCTTTTCCAAACTCTCGCCCTCCCACTTCTCACACCCTACTTCGCAGAAGCAGACGCCCCCGCCCTCGGGACACCCGCCCCGCGCCACGCCCGTCGCCACCTTCAGGTTCACGGCCGGCAGCTCCATCCCGACCGAGGCTGGCGGCACCTGCGCGACCGCCGCGGAGGCTCCGAGCCTGCGAACTCCGAATGAAAACGTGCCAGTTCCGCCCGGCCCGCCGGCCCGGCTCCAACCCCAGCCCCACTCCCGGCCACGTGACTCGGGGCACGTGACCGCCGCTCGGTTGCTAGGAGATGGCGTCGGGCTGCCCGCGGGTCGTCCAGGTCTGGACTCCCAGCTCCCCCACTCGCTGCTCAGGCCGGGAAGGGCTGGAGGACGCCAGGATTTCTGCCACAGAGGGCGCGGTATCTATTCACTATCCCAGCAGGTGGGCTGATAGGACTACCTGCAGCCGGCAGAACTTGGGGGGATGTCCAGGTGCAAACTGCAGAGGTGGCAACAGCTGGTGTCTCATTTCTTAGAGCATCCTCTCTCCTCCCTACCTCCCAGTGTTAAAGTGGAGACATTTACAGGACCTACCTCATAGGATCCTTGTGAGGATAAAGGAACGAGTTAATGCTGTTAAAGAAGTGATTTTTTTTTTAAATCCTCACTCGAGGACATTTTTCCATTTTTTGCACAGATAGAGTGGGAGGGAGAGAGAGGAAGAGAGAGAGAGGGAAACATCGATGTGAAAGGGACACATCGAGTGGCCGCCACCCGCACGACCAACCAGGGCCGGGGACAAACTGCAACCGAGGTACATGCCCTTAGCGGGAACCGAACCCGGGCCTCTCCGGACCGCAGGCGGATGCTTTAACCGCTGAGCCAAACCGGCCAGGGCTAAAGAAGTGATTTTGACACTTGTTAAAATGCTAAGGAAGACTTGTAATCGGGATATTGCAAGAGAAGAGAAAAATCCAGCTCAGTTATGAACACAACAAGGATAAATGGGGTGTTATAGCCAAGCAGCACAGTGAGGGGTCAGTGAATGGAAAATTACTAAGAGGAGATGTCAAGGGTAGGTTGGATTATGCTAAACTCACCTAGCAGTATTCCTGCTAAAGGTAGGCCAAGGGCTTAGACATCAAAAGTGCCGGGGTGGTCCAGTAGTTGAACATTGACCCATGCACCTACAGGTTGTTGGTTCAATTCCCAGTCAGGGCACATGCCCAGGTTGTGGGCTAAATCCCCAGTGGGGGGCATGCAGGAGGCAGCCAATCAATGTTCTCTCTCATTGATGTTTCTATTTCAGTCTCCCTCTCCCTTCATCTCTCTCTCTCTAAAATCAATAAAGAAAAAAAGATTTTTTTTAAGTGTCGGGGTGGGGAGGAGTTGGGGGGATGGACTTAATCAGATACAATACTGAGGACGAGCAGATACCAAGATCAGGATTCTTGCTAAAACGGGGCTATGCAGACCCAGCAAGAACAGGAGGACACAGGGGCCAGTTGAGGGCTACCTAGTCTAGGAGGGAGCTCAGAGGAGCCTAACTAAAATTTGGTCAAGGACAGAGTGTTTGTCAGGGTGAAATGCCTGGCACTTAGTAAATGAACACCACATATAAGATATTGTTATTATATTACACAATGGTTGTCGCCCACTTGAGCCATGATACTAAAAGCTTTAGAAAAATCTGGCTTGCCCAGCTGGTGTGGCTCAGTGGACTGAGTGTTGTCCCGTGGACTGAGAGGTCTGGGTTCGATTCCTGATCAGGTCACATGCCTGGGTTTTGGGCTCGATTCCCAGTAGGGAGCGTGCAGGAGGCAGCCCATCGATGTTTGGCTCTCACATCGATGTTTCTCTCTCTCTCTGCCTTCCTCTCTCTCAAAAAACAAACAAACAAAAAAAACCCCCCCACACACAAAATACATATTTAGAAAAATTTAGGAAGATTGGCGGAAAACCTATAGGATACATCTATCCCCGAAGGAAGAAGACTGGAGAAGACAGATTCTCTCAACATCCTGTTTGTCCCTTAACTGGGAGTGGAAGACAGTGAGGAAGGAAAAGGCTGTCTTACCTGGCATCTCAAAAACCATTGACCACCCCCTAACAGAACATCAATTCTCACTGCCTCCACCCTCCTCCCTACTCCATCCTTCACCCATGACCAGAGAAGACTTCCATTCGCAGAACACCAGCTTTCATTTAGAGTCACCTGGGGTGCAGGTCCCCTGGGGTCCTTCTGAGAACTTGTTCTTCCTTCCAGGAGGGGAGAATCCATGTGGGACCCTGGGAAAAGGCCTGGGTGGGTCCTGAGATCATATCAAGACACGTACTCTCTCCAGATACAGAGAGGATTTTTCTGAATCGGAGTGGGGACTTTCCCAGGGCCCACTGACCTAATCTAATGCCCCCTGCGGAGATGCAGCCCTCCAGCCCAGGGGCAGAGCGGCACAGCACCCCCCATTGTAACTGAGGGCCTGTGCACTGTACAGACCAGCCAAATGGCTACATCGGCTTGGTTTCTCAGGATTCAGAGTACAAGGGAACAGCTCTAGACCAGAGCAACAAGTGTGGGTCCCGGCTTTGTTCACTTACTGTTTGAACTTGGGCAAGTTGTTTGCCTCTCTGTACATCAGTTTTCTCATCTGTAAAATGAGGACAATAACAGTATCTTCCCCAAAGGTTTGTTAGGATTTGTTAATACATGAAAAACAAGTAGAACAGTGCCTGGCAGACTAAGTCAGGATTGGCTATATTTTTTATCATAAATGATTAGTTCATTATTGTTATTGGCAGAGTACCTAGAAAAGAGTAATTCCTCAATAAGTGGTGGGCATTATAACATTGTTATGAGATTATCAGTTTCCTTCTAAGAAATGTTCCCCATGGACTCCAGTTCCTAGAAGTGTTTAACCCAAGCCTGTATGTCTGTAACAAGACCATGATCACCTTGTATAGAGAAACTGCAAACCAAGCAATCCCTAGGATTAGAACTGACTTTTATTAAGGACTGATTTTGTGTCAGGCAGTGTGCAAAGCGCTCAGAGTCAACAGTCACAGCTACCCCATGCTGTAGGTGCTATTCATGTCCAGAGTTACCATAAGGTGAGTGAGGTGAAGAGAAGGTAAGAGGTTTGCCCAAAGGCAGGTCACTAGTTGTGTGAAAACTGGGCTGGGACCCAAGAGGTCTGGCTCTAGGACCCTGACATTCAGCCACTCTGCTCAGCTGCCCACATCCAAAAAAAATACTGCCCAGGCTGCGATGCAAAGGATGGAGGCAAGGAGCAGAAGACAGAGTGGAGTCAGATGAAGCACAAGGCTGGGTCTGTGGAATGTCCCTGCAGCTCACCCAGTGAAAGTGCATTCATCTGGACCAGCTGGGGTTAGAGGCACGGGAGAAGGCGGGGGGCAGACACAGCTGTCTGGGGTGGGGAGGGAGCCCAGAGGAACAAAGGAAAGTGAAACTATTCTCAAAGTAGCCAGAGTTCCTGCTATGACCCAGTCCTAAGGAAGGACAAATGGACCCCCACAAAGCACATTCCACAAGGCTTTGGGAGGCGTGTGTGTCATACTTTTTGAGTACACTTTTGGAAGTCAAATTTAAGTTTTTCTTTTTTAAATATTTTTTCTTTATTGATTTTTTAGACATAGGAAGGGAGAGAGAGATAGAAACATCAAAGAGATAGAACATCGATTGGTCACCTCTTGCATGCCCTGCACTGATGATGTGCCCTGACCAGGAATCGAACTGGCGACCTCTTGGTGCATGGGTCGACTCTCAACCAGTGAGCCACACCTGCCGGGCTCAAGTTTAAGTTTTTTCATGTCCCTGATCAATCCCATCTGTCTCAGCCAAGTTTTATCTTTGTACCTTCAACAAACAAACTGACATGCAGAACAGATTCGTCCATTTGTTCGTTCGCTCATTCATTCATCCATTCATTGAACACCTACTTGGGTAAATATCTTGGAGAGGAATGGCTGGATCATATGGTGGGTGTACATGTAGCTTTTTCCCTGGACTGCAGGCCGACGCTCTAACCACTGAGCAAAACCAGCCAGGGCAGTACATGTAGTACAAACTGTTTTCCAAGTTGGTTGTACCAAGTTGGACGAGTTTTTTTTTTTTGTATTACTTACCAATATCTGAAGGTATTGTCCTATCAATTTATGTGTTTCCTTGTTAATTGTTTATCCCCCCCAACTAGACCGCAAGTCCTAGGAGGGTCTTGCAACCTCAACAAACCTCATAATAGGTGTTCAGGGAATGAACCGACGTGCACCAACGGAACACACTGTGTGCACCACTTCCTCCTGTCATAGGCACCCAGAAGACCTGCCACTCGGCTCCCTGCTTGTCCTCAGGTGCCACTAATAGTCCAGGCTCTGTCCAGGAAGTCACTTGGTCAATGCTCCTGGTTATGGAAACGGCTGATAAAGCAACCACAGCCGTTTCCTTCCTGTGGTTGCTGGTAGCCTTTAGGTAAAGGTATTTTTTTTAGATCCCTGCCTTGCCCCCTCCTAGTCCTGTAGAGTGATCTTGGGCAAGTTATTTAGCCTCAGGGTGATTGTGGGGATCACGGGAGATCAGTTACACAGCATGCCTGGCCCAGCTCCTGGAACTTCGTAAATGTTCACTAAGCAAATAGCTGCCCTGTTGCTGTGGAAACAACGCAGCATCTTTCAGCGTCTCTCAGCATCTCCTGGCCCACGATAAATGCCAGGCTGGGAGTGGCAGGAAAAGGCCCCTGTGATGGAGAGACGACTCCACCCAGATCCCTTCCTGAGAGCCGGGCCTCAGCATTTGAGCGTGCTGTGCCCTCCCAACCCTGACCCACCCCAGCGCTGCCACTTCACACCTAAGTGACCTTGCATCTAAAAAATGGGGACAGTCAAGCCTGGAGCTGTGTGAGGCGTAAAGGAGGCATGGACTATGAAAGGCTCTGAAAGGGTTCCAGCTGTCCTTCGGTCCCCAGCAGTTCTGATGTGGCTTGGCCGCTTCCTGTCCCAAGTAGGTAAATCCAACTGGAACAGGGAGAGAAGATAACCAAGACCCTCTCTGCAGGGCGCATGCGTCTGTGAGGACACAGGGCCCCGTGCGTGAGAGAAGGGTCTGGAGGGCAGTGTGGCCATTGGTGGCCGAGGGTGTGGCACTGGGATTTGATCTGCAGACCTGTCCTCCAGCGCTTCTGCTCA